CCCTCCCCTGCTCCTTAGCCCCCAGGAGCACACCGAGTAGAAATAGGGCTGCCGATTTCATCCTCTGAGTTCCTCTGATTTCAAAGGGCAGCCTATGTGTGCTGATGCTCTCCTGCTCGGAACTCCCTGGGGGTGCTCTTTTCAGTCTTAGTGTAAAGCCCCTGTGAGACCCGACATAGCATGTACACTGAACTGACGTCTTTAAGTGAAAGAATTGAGACCAGGTGACTTGTTCAATGACTGTTTCAAGCTTTTAGGTGTTGCGTCTCCTGGTTCAAATCCTGATGCCTCACCACGGACTCAGATAAACATCTTGTCTCCATCGCCCCCGTCTGCTCCTGTCTGCATCTCTTGCTGAGCGCTGTGATTTATCGCGCCTTTGCAACTTTCCCCAAAATACAAGGGTTCTCGTGATCACGCCTTTGGTAGCAGTCGTTCGTATCAGTTTATGGGAGTAGAGCTGTTGATCGTTAGCAGTGTGTATGCCATGCATCTCAGTGTCTTCACTGGCCCCTGGGAAGTGTCTGGGCTGACAACACTGAAGAATCCACAGGTTAATCACACAGAGACCTGTGGATTTGCCATGGCCTGTAGATCAGCAGGAGAAAGTTGTTCATATTAAAATGTCACTTAGGGCCTTATTAAATACCGGCTCAGCATCATTTTCCAAGTTCCGCAGGCCTATCTTATATGTTTTTCTTTAAGTTTTTGAAAGATAAAATTTCAGTATTTTTCTAGAATTAATTACTATGTCAGCTTTGAATCTTGTTTCTTGGAATCACTGTTTTTTTTTGTTTTTTTTTGACAAAGTGTTCTATTTCAGGTGCATCAAACCCTGTCCTTGCTTCAGGACCTGTGGCCACAAGGAGCTGAAATCCGAGGTGTTGTCTGCTCCGTTTCATGTTCGGTGGCACTAAAGCTCTACAAAAAAATGTTACTAGATTTAGAAGACCGTGAAAACCCAAACACATACACAGAAAACAGTGATACACAGGTGAGACTCCTTCAAAACCAATGAGCCCGTCTCATGCCACTTTTGATGATGTGACAGTGCTTGTGGGTGGTGGCCCTATGCATAAGCTCAAGGTCAAACAGAAAATACGACGTGTGGATCACATGTTTGCTGGCTAAGCATGGAGATATCATTATGATCTCATTCTTATGAAAGCTGGCAAGATTCTTTATAGATAGTTGAGATGAATCTGTCACCTCTTTCATCTCTGATCACAGGACAAATATCTTTTGTCCCCTGGCTCAGAGCTGGTCATCATTGCTGCTTGCAATCTCCTGGGCCAGTTTCAATGCATACGTGGTGACATTGCACAGAAGTTAGCATTTGTCAAAGCCGATAGGCAGTGGGACCTGACGATGAGCCCACTGTCCACTTTGTGGCTCAGCATCACGTTTTCTGTAATGATAAGGTTGCTCCTATTTGTAACAGTAGTGAGCTAGTAGAGTCTGAATTACTTGTCAATCCTTGCTGTAGTGGGCATGCAGTCACCAACTTTTTACTGTTCTTGGTGGTCTACTACATGGTAATAAAAGTCAAGCAGCTACTCGGGGCAGAGCTGGATGCAACCCATTTTTTCCTTTTCTGTTCTGCTACGTTGCTTTACCGTATAGATCACAGCCATGCTCAGCCCTGGTTCTACATAGGAACAGGTGTGACAGGAAGCAGCTTTTCTGCAACCCCTGTACTTCTGCTCTTGAGGACATGAATAACTGGCTGCTGGACATGTCCTTAAACAGAGGCCATCCCCTACCATTTTATCAAATGCAAGGTTTAGATACAGTGAATTTCGGAACTCCATGTATTAGGCAAAGCTTTCACTCCTAGGCAACACAGCTAGTTGTGTTGTTTTTCATCCATCACATGCTTAGTAGAATTTTTCTAGAGATAAAATTACCCCCAAAGAATTAAATCGTCACATGGGAGAATTTTGGGTAAGGTGCCTTAAAATATTGTTACTGCATGTCTGAATTTTTTCAAGAAAATTTGACTTCTTGTTTGTATTTTTCTCTTTAAAATTTTTTCTTTCTTTGTTTTTATTTTTGAAAGGGAGAGCAGAGAGAGAACATGAGCAAGTGCAAGCGAGCCCATCTGCCAATTAATTTCTCAAATGCCCACAACAGCAGGACTGGGCCAGGCTGAAGCCAGGGCTCTGATCTCAGTGTGGTTCTCCCAGCTGAATGGCAGTCATCACCTGGGGTCTTAACGTTAGGAGGTTGGGTGTTAGCAGGAAGTTGGTCTTGGAAGCAAAGCTGGGACTCCATCCTAGACACCTGTTACGGGATGTAGGTGTCCAAGCAGACTCAACCCGTGCACCAAAGGCCCACCTTTGTATCTGAATTTTTATGTTGCCTGTGCAAGTGGACATTTTAAAAATTCATGTTTTTCCAGGATTTGAAGGAGGCACCCACACTCAGTGAAGCAGCAGACCTGTGCCGAATGTACTGTCTCAGTGTGATTTTCCTTCAGCATTTACCTCTGATCCAAAGAGCTAAGAGTAGAATCATTACTCATAAATGGGATGCAACACTTTCTCCCCATTTCTAAGAATGGTAAGTGAACCACCTGGAGATTCATAAGCGCTCAAAATTCAATAAGGCAAAACTTGGACGGTGCAATCCTGTGTCTCTACTGATGCTGTTTTGCTTTCTATAGTCATCTTAAAAGGTTCTTTGTTTCCTGTATCCATCTTCAACATGGCTACCAACAAACAATGCATGTTTCCTTGAAAAACTGAGTCCTAGATAAAGCACTCCATACAAAAATGTAGTCCTCCCTAGTATAAAACAACCCCCACACTGAAGAGTTCATTGAGAAACAACTCTAATGAGTATATATAAATAGTGAAGTAATGAATAAAGAACTTACATTCATTGCGTTTCACACTTCGTAGCCAGTTGAAACAGAGACGACAGGAATACAAAAGTCCTTTGTAAGTTCTTAGGAAATTTAGGAAAATTTGAAAACCTTGGTTTTTTGTACTTAGCACAGTTTGATGCTTTTATGTAGTTAGTTGTGATCTCACTTCTTTTTTTTATTTTTATTTTTATTTTTTATTTTTATTTTTTGACAGGCAGAGTGGACAGTGAGAGAGAGAGACAGAGGAAAGGTCTTCCTTTGCCGTTGGTTCACCCTCCAATGGCCGCCGTGGCTGGCACGCTGCGGCCGGCGCACCGCGCTGATCCAAAGGCAGGAGCCAGGTGCTTCTCCTGGTCTCCCATGGGGTGCAGGGCCCAAGCACCTGGGCCATCCTCCACTGTACTCCCTGGCCACAGCAGAGAGCTGGCCTGGAAGAGGGCAACCGGGACAGAATCCGGCACCCCGACCGGACTAGAACCCGGTGTGCCAGCGCCGCTAGGCAGAGGATTAGCCTAGTGAGCCGCGGCACTGGCCGATCTCACTTCTTTTTTAAGATTTATTTTATTTCTTTGAAAGACAGAATTACAGAGAGACGTAGAGACACAGAGAGAGGTCTTCTATCCACTGGTTCACTCCCCAAATGGCCGCAGAGAGAGAGAGAGAGAGAGAGAGAGATCTTTCTTCCACAGGCTCACTCCCCAAATGGTTACAATGGTGGGGGCTGGCCCAGACTGAAGCCAGGAGCTTCTTCTGGGTCTCCCATGTGGGTTCAAGGGCCAAAGACTTGGGCCATCTTCTACTGCTTTCCCAGGCCATAACAAAGAGCTGGATCGGAAGAGCAGCAACCGGGACTCGAACAGGTGCCCATATGGGATGCCGTGCTTCAAGCCAGGGCTTTAACCCACTGCGCCACAGTGTGTCGGCCCTTGAGCCATCTTCCACTGCTTTCCCAGGTGCATCAGCAGGGAACTGGATTGGAGAAGAGTGTCTGAGACTTCAACCAGCACCCATATGGGATGCCTAGTAAAGGCCCCATAGACCTAACTCTTGAAATGATACCATAAATAGCTTTTAATTGTAAATCTGTAGTAAAGCAGTTAAATGCCCACTACTTTTATATATTTATTAGTTCGAATCAATGAGGAAGTATTTATTGAAATTATGATTGGGATGAGTTCAGAAGAAAAAATTAATGTTAGCACTGAAAAATACCTCAAAGGTTATACACGGTTTTTCAAAAAGTTCATGGAAAGGGGCTGGCACTGTGGTGTAGCAGGTAAAGCTGCCACCTGCAGTGCCAGCATCCCATATGGATGCCGGTTCAAGTCCTGGCTGCTCCCTCCACTCCTCCAGCTCTCTTCTATGGCCTGGGAAAGCAGTAGAATACCCAAGTCCTTGGGCCCCTGCACCCACGTGGAGACCTGAAAGAGTTCCTGGCTCCTGGATTGGTGCAGCTCCAGCCATTGTGACCATCTGGGGAGTGACCCAGTGGATGGAAGACCTCTCTCTCTCTCTCTCTCTCTCTGCTTCTGCCTCTCTGTAACTCTGCCTTTCAAATAAATAAATAAATATTTTAGTATATGTGCTGCTGAAGCGAGCACAATAAATAAATATTTTTTAAAAATTTCATGGAACTACAAGGTATCGTGAATTTCCACAAACTTTTTGAAGACCCCTTGGATATTGCCCTTGTTATTTTGCAATGGGATGGACCGAAGAAGGTAACTGGCTCTAAGCTCTTGGTCTTCACTGTATGTCCTTTGTCTTTGTACAAGGAGTAGATGATGCTCAGGGAAACTTAATTGACACAGTCACATTTTGGAAGATTTTATATCATTAACACCTGTTCCTCTCTCTCTTTTGTCCTTTTGTATTTTTTCCAGCTAAAACAATGTGAATTTCTCATCCTAAAACAATTAAAAGTTACAAATAATTGGAGTGTGGATTTCACCGGCCTCCCTGACTTAACTGATAATATTTTATGGAAAAATTGCTTATTATTATGAAATTGAGTATCACAGAGGTATGTTTTAAATAGCTGTTCATTAAATAGTTTTTTAAATTCATTGTCCATGCCTGAATGAGAATTGTATCTAATAATAATGACAGAGGTTAGTCATGCATCAATTAGGTTGAATTACATAAAAAGTTTCTCTGAAGATATGTTTTTTTTAAAAAGATGTATTTATTTGAAAGTCAGAGTTATAGAGGGAGAGAAAGAGGGAGAGAGAGAAAGAGAACATTTTCTATCCACTGGTTCCCTGGTTCCCTCCCCAGATGCCTGCAATGGCCAGTCTGGGCCAGGCTGAAGCCCAGAGCAAGGAGCTTCTTCTGGATCTCCCGTGTGGGTGGAAGGGGCCCAAGGACTTGGGTCATCTTATATTGCTTCTCCCAGGCCAGTATCAGGAGCTGGATTGGCAGTGGAGCAGCTGGGGCTTGAACTGGCGCCCATATGGGATGCTGGCCAACCACCCTGAAGATATTTTCTGTGGGATGCTGGCCAACCACCCTGAAGATATTTTCTGTGGAAAGTCTGTATTTTCTTTCTTTCTTTCTTTCTTTCTTTCTTTCTTCTTTCTTTCTTTCTTTCTTTCTTTTTCTTTTCTTTCTTTCTTTCTTTCTTTTCTTTCTTTTTTCTTTTTTTTTTTCTTTTTTTTTTTTGACAGGCAGAGTGGATAGTGAGAGAGAGACAGGTCTTCCTTTGCCATTGGTTCACCCTCCAATGGCTGCCACGGCTGGCGCTGTGGCCGGCACACCGCACTAATCCGAAGGCAGGATCCAGGTGCTTCTCCTGGTCTCCCATGGGGTGCAGAGCCCAAGCACTTGGTCCATCCTCCACTGCCTTCCCTGGCCACAGGCAGAGAGCTGGCCTGGAAGAGGGGCAACCGGAAAGAATCCGGCGCCCCGACCAGGACTAGAACCCGGTGTGCCGGCGCCACTAGGTGGAGGATTAGCCTAGTGAGCCGCGGGCGCCGGCCTGGAAAGTCTGTATTTTCACAAGGTTCAGTTGAGAGGTCTTTATAAGAGTTTTTTTTTTTTTTTTTGAATAATTATGGGTAATTGATTAGTTACTTGGGGAAAAAAAGGAAGATAAATGGAAAGGAACTACGGAGTTGTAATTTATTCTGTGTCTTCCATATGAGGTGCTTCAAAGTGTTCATGGATAATGGAATTAAATGCCACATCTTCTTTCTTATGTGGAAGGAAAAGAAAAAGAGACTATCTGAACTTAGAATAGTGACCAGTAGTGCTTGGAGGGGATGGAGGGAGGGAATTAGAGGGAGGTTGGCTATAGGGTCTAAAACCCCACTAGACAGAAGTAACTGGTCCTAGTGTTGCACAGCACAGGGAGAGACCGTAGCCCATAATAACGCATTGCACAGTGTGGAGAGGAGCTGGAGGTGGGCATGCTGATTTCCCGATTTGATCAGCTTTCACTGTTGAAATATTGCACCATGCACCATAATGCTGTGCAAGTATTGCATGTTAATTAAAAATGCAAGAAGTAAAGTATAATAAAATAAGTTGATTTTGGTATAAAAATTTCTGGAATCTCCAAAAACTTTGTGGAAAATGAGTATGAAGAACACCTTATGCATAGATTTCAATTCTTTTTTGCACCAGAATCAACTTTTAGTTCCATTTTTCCATGCAGTTTTTGAAGAACCCTCCTACACCAGATATTGTGTATGTGTTGGAAAATGACAATGTAGCTTTGCTGCTGGCTGCTTCAGATAAGATGTTGTTCCCATGGAAACTGAAGTGGCGTACCAGCTTGGAGCATTTTCTGAAGGATGCTCACTCATGTGTGCATGTGAGAGCGAGAGCAGAGAGAGAGAGAGAGAGAGAGTGTGTGTGTGTCTCCATATGCTGGATCACTCTCCAAATAGCCACAATGGTTAGGGCTGGGCCCAGCCAAAGTCAGGAGCTTGGAGCTCCACCTGGATCTCCCATGCAGGTGGCAGGGGCCCAAGCACTTGGACCATCATCTGCTCCTTTCTCAGGAGTGTTAGCAGGAGGTTGGATGGGAAGCAGCAGCCGGAACTCCTACTAGTGCTCCAATATGGGATGCCAGTATCACAGGTGTCCAGGATGGGATGCCAGTATCACAAGTGGCAGCTTGACCCACTGTGCCACAATGCTGCTCCCTGCTTTTTTTTGTGGCAGAAAAATATAACAATAGCAGTATCAATTTTATTTTTGCTCTAGCAGTCTTCAAATATTGAGTACGTAATGAAAACATCATATTCTGTCCTGCATTAAGCATCTAACATTAGAAGCTAGTAACTATAAACTTGAATAACTCAGACACCTGTAACACATAAATTCAGACTTTGATTATGAATTGGAATCTGTTACCTTCTCCTCCCTAGGACTGGACTTGGAATTGGGTGACGCTCTGATGCACGCATATCACAAGCTGTGGAACACAACGTTAGCCTTGTCAGAGGGTGGTGACTTTGGAGACTCCATGCCCGTGAGGACAACTTCCAGACTGTTCCTTACACAGAAGGAAACATTGCCTAAAGGTGCTGACAGTTTGCTAGAAAAGATTTGCTTGTTATTTGAAAGACAAAATGGCACAGAGAGAGAGGGAGAGGAGAGAGATCTTCCATCTGCTTTTTCACTTTCCAAATGGCTGCAACCACTGGGCTGGTCCAGGCTGAAGCGAGGAGTCAGAAACTCCATCCAGGTCTCCAACTGAGGTGACAGGGACCAAGCACTTGGGACATCTTCTGTTACTTTTCCAAGAGCATTAGCAGGGAGCTGGATCAGAAGTGGAGCAGCTGGAACAGCACTCATGAGATGCTGATGTTGCAAACAGCTTTAACTTGCTGCACCACAGTGCCAGCCCCAATAGTTTTTTAAAAGTGGATCTCATTCCAGATGGAAAGAGATTAGCAGTGCAATCCTTGTTTAGAAAATAGGTCTGGTCTTTATAAGTTTTGCCTTTTGGCTGGGATAGTCATACTGAATAGCTTCTACTCCTCTAGCAACTCCTTTGCCTTGCGATTGTTTTTATTTATTTTTCTAGTTGGTTTCCCAATCAACCTTGCTGGTGGTATTATCAATCTCATTTTAGAGGTAAGATCTTGGGAAGGTTGTTGTAGATCACACAGCAAATTCATGGAAGAGAGAGGATTTGAATCCGTGTCTGTCTGTCTCCGTAGTCAGGTACAGAAAACGTTGTCATAGCTTTACTACTTTTTTTTACCAAAGGCAACTTTTTCCCTAAAGCTCTATGAAGAAGTAGCTTAAATTTAAATAGGTCTTAAGGTGTTGTGATTGACACATCAGATGAGTCCATTCATGCAGAAAAAGGTTTGGGATTTGAATGAAATATACAAAAGTTCTTTTGAATTTTCGCTAGCCCGAGATGTGGAAATAAATTAATGCACTTTTTGGTACCGATGTTTAAATTTAAAACATTTTTATTAAACAAATTTATTTCTCTTGGTTTGGCCTATGGAAAAATAAGCAGAGATCTTTCTGTGGTCTAGAATAAATATTTGTCTTTTCTAGGTTACATAGTGATTCTTTGACTCTTAAAAAAATTCTACCTAACTCCATTCAGATATGAGGAGCTTTCAAAAAAATTAATGGAAAATGAGTATTAGGGAAAAACTATGTGGGATTTCAAACAACTTTGCACCAAAATGAACTTATCTTTTAGTATCCTCACACTTTAAATAGTTCATGGAAAATGGAATTTTAAAACAAACTTACATTTTGCCAGATTTTGAAATCTACACCTATGAGTATTTACATTTGTGACTTAATATGTGGAGCAGAAATGTGATTTGAACGCCTACTTTGTAGAAATTCTATTCAGTTTCTATTTATTTGGTAATGAGAGATTACTTAGATTACTTAGGCTTAGTTTTGCTATTGCAGAAATGCCTGCATCAGAATGGTGAATTTTAATTAGAGTTTAGTGTTCAAATATCAATTGTATTTCTGAATATTGCCAGGATCAAATCAAGAAATTCCCAAGCTTGGACTAATTCCTCTGAAATCCGAGGTTATAGAAGATTACGCTGGAGATATTTGGTCCGAACTACCTTTTGTAAGCAGGTATTTATCTTGCTTGTAATAGCTCTGTGGCTGTAACCAAATATCTTTTTTTAAACTTTTATTTAATGAATATAAATTTACAAAGTACAGCTTATGGATTACAATGCCAAATATCTTTGAGTATGGTGGACTGCATCTATTGTATGTGGTGAAAATTCACATTGAGAGATACTTTTTTTTCAACTTGATTGATTGGTATGATTTTAAAAACATTTATGTGTTTGCTTTAAATGACTCTACACTGCTTACATATCTTTACCTTTTTCTCCATAATAATGTCATCATAATTAATAGTATAATGAAAGCAGTGGGTTGTTGAGGTGTGGCTGTAGCAAGACCATAAAAATTCAAGGCCTGATGTTGGATACATCATCTATGTGGATCTTAAAGTCAGCAAAAATGATCAGTGAGAACAAGGAGGTGACAAAGAGAATTGTTGGGTGGCTGGGTTCAGGTTCTTATCTGTAATGCAAGAAAGAATTTGATCTTTAGATGTGAGTAAAGGTTGGCAGAGGAATAAGATTGATTATCCATAAAGTGAAAGTACACACTCAACAGGAAGCGCAGGTGTACCTGAGAGTGAGCTGCACCCAGCCAGGTTTGAGTTACCTCTTTTAGATGAAATTGAGAGATGGGAAGGATAGAATATTCTTAGGAGGTGTTATGTGGGGCAGGGTTTTCTAGGGGTAGGGGGAGAGTCGATATTTGGGCACCTCCCATTTACTTGCCTTTTTAGGAAGTCTTGGAAGAGTCTGGTGTCAGGCACGTGGAGGGAGTGAAGTGTCAGCAGTGATGTCATTGTAACTGGTTGTGGGTATGGTCAGCAGTCATAGGTTCCAGGCAGTTCTGTGGTGATTGTGATTTTGGTTACGTTAGCCGCAGCACAAAAAGGGAGGGATTTGGGGAGTAGGTGAGGTCCTGGGGGAGGGGCTGGTGGCGCCTGTGACAAGGTGATTCAGCAGAGAAGGTTGTTGGAGTTTTTTTAAATTAATTTATTTATTTGAAAGGCAGAGTTACAGAGAGGCAGAGGCAGAGGGGAGAGAGAGAGAGAGAGAGAGAGAGAGAGAGAGGTCTTCCATCTGCTGGTTCCCTCCCCAGATGGCTGCAATGGGTGGAATTTCACCAATCTGAAGCCAGAAGCCAGGAGTTTCTTCCAGGTCTCCCACGCGGGTACAGGGACCCAAGCACTTGAGCCATCCTCCACTGCTTTCCCAGGCCACAGCAGAGAGCTGGATCAGAAGTGGAGCTGGGAATGGAACCAGTGCCCTTATGGGATGCCGGTGCTGCAGATGGCAGCTTTACCTGCTATGCCACAGCGCTGGCCAGGATTATTGGATTAACATGAAGTAAGGTTGCTCCACACCTTTATTTGCTAGAATTGTCAGTGTCACATTGGAGGCATAGGTTTCCGTGTTGTAGAAGTGGGGACGGTGTTCTTGAGACAGCAGTTAAGTGTACTAAAGGCTCAAGAGTAAGAGGATAATTGGTTGAAAAATTAGCCAAACTAGGCCGGCGCTGCGGCTCACTAGGCTAATCCTCTGCCTAGCGGCGCCGGCACACCGGTTCTAGTCCCGGTCGGGGCGCCGGATTCTGTCCCGGTTGCCCCTCTTCCAGTCCAGCTCTCTGCTGTGGCCCGGGAGTGCAGTGGAGGATGGCCCAAGTGCTTGGGCCCTGCACCCCATGGGAGACCAGGAAAAGCACCTGGCTCCTGGCTCCTACCATCGGATCAGTGCAGTGCGCCGGCCGCGGCGGCCATTGGAGGGTGAACCAACGGCAAAAGGAAGACCTTTCTCTCTGTCTCTCTCTCACTGTCCACTCTACCTGTCAAAAAAAAAAAAAAAAATTAGCCAAACTGAAGAGATAACAAAGGAAGCAGAAAAAATTCCAAATGTAAATGTGTATATGGCAGACAGAATAAAGCAAATCCTTGTGAAAGTAGCAAATTACTTTGCAAATGGTATGTTTTAAAATATCTATATTTATAAAAAATCAAAGTCTCTCTGTACATAACACCATGCCATAAGTCAAATCTTGGTGGTCAGAAATCTAAATGTGAAAGACAACAGTCACATTTTCAGAAGACAATACAGGAAAATACCTTTATGGTGCCAGAGTAGAGACGTCATGGCCTTCAAAGACAGTATAAAACTCCAAGTCATTAGGAAAATAAGGATACATTTGACATTATAAAAATCAATAATAACAAAACAGATTTTGGAAGTCATTTAGAAGGTATATAAGCATCACAGGGTTAGCATAAAAGATTTAGGATAAAGATGTCCTAGAACTCATGAGAAAGACAGGAATGACAGTAGAGAAAGAGGAATAGGGAGAAATAGGTCATTAATAGAGAAGCTAGTGGGGAATGGCCCGTAAAACTGTAAAAAGATATCTAAAGGTCCTTGTGCATCTAAGAAATGAAAATTAAAGCTACAGCGAGGCCCTATTCAACACTCTTCCTTTTGATAAAATTTATGACTAAGTAAGGCCAAAGGTGTGAGGCAGTGGGCACGTGGTGGCAGAAACAGAACCAGTAAAAGCTACACAGGTTCAAGATGTGCTGTCCGCAACCTGCAGCTTCCCTGGAGAAACTCTGATTCTCTGAGTGAGGTGAGTTTGCATCAGTGTCACTGCAGGATTGTTTATATAGATGCAAGCCATCTGTAGGACAAGGAAAAGAATATTGTGGAACAGAATATAAACTAAAAAATATTTGTTGAGAGGCGGACACAGACACACAGAGAAAGAAACAGAGACTCACACACACACACACACACACACAGCTCTCCTCTATTGAGTCACTCCCCAGATGCCTGCAATAACTGGGTTTGGACTGGGCTGCTGCCCATCCAGTGTCTGCATTTACAGGAAGCCAGAGTCAGGAGCTGGAGCCAGGAATCGAATCTGGGTATTTCCAATGTGGGTGTTTTAACCGCTGGGCTAAATGCCTGCCCCAGTAGTGGGATATTCTTACAATGCAGTACTCCACAGTAAAAATAAATAACTGCATATACATACACACACAGCCATGCACGCATCCACACGGGTGAATTTCCAAACCACACTGCTTATGTAGCTAAGTAAGTTAGAGAGTGTTGTGACTCTCATATCATTTATGGGCACGCTACTTGTTTTTTTTTTTTTTTTTTTTTTTTTTTGACAGGCAGAGTGGATAGTGAGAGAGAGAGACAGAGAAAGGTCTTTTCTTCCTTTTGCCATTGGTTCACCCTCCAATGGCCACCATGGCTGGCGCGCTGCGGCCGGCGCACCACGCTGATCCGAAGGCAGGAGCCAGGTGCTTCTCCTGGTCTCCCATGGGGTGCAGAGCCCAAGCACTTGGGCCATCCTCCACTGCCTTCCCGGGCCACAGCAGAGAGCTGGCCTGGAAGAGGGGCAACCGGGAAAGAACCCGCCCTGACCAGACTGGAACCTGGTGTGCTGGTGCCGCTAGGTGGAGGATTAGCCTATTGAGCCGCGGCGCTGGCCAGGGGCACACTACTTGTAATGTATGCACATTTATATTGTGCATGGGCATGATATACATATAAGGAAGAAGCTGCTTCTTAGAAGAGAGAATGAGGGGTAGTCTTTGATGCAGCAGCTTAACTCACCACTTGGGATGCCTGCAATCAGAGTGCCTGGTTCAAGGGTCAGCCACTGCACTTCCAATCCTGCTTCCTGCTACTGTGCATCCTGGGAGACCGCAGATGATGGTTAAGGTCCATGAGTCCCTGCCACCCACTTGGGAGACCTGGATGGAGTTCTGGCTCCTTGCTTTGGCCTGGCCCAGCCCTGGCTGTGTGGGCATTTGAGGAGCAAACCAGTGGATAGAAGATTGTTTTCTATCTCTGTCTCTTGTCTCTGTCTCTCGCTCTCTGATTCTTTCAAGGCAAAAAAAAAAAAAAAAGACATAAACATAAAAAAAGAGAAGAATGGAATTTCTGAGAAATATAGGGGGCTTCAAATATATCTACAGTGGTTTATTTTTTCTTTCTTCATTTGACAGATAGGGTTAGACAATGAGAGAGAGAGACAGAGAGAAAGGTCTTCCTTCCGTTGTTTCTCTCCCCAAATGGCCGCTATGGCCAGAGCTGTGCCCGATCCGAAGCCAGGAGCCAGGTGCTTCCTCCTGGTCTCCCACGCGGGTGCAGGGGCCCAAACACTTGGGCCATCCTCCACTGCCTTCCTGCGCCACAGAGAGCTGGACTGGAAGAGGAGCAACTGAGACTAGAACCTGGCGCCCATATTGGATGCCGGTGCCACAGGCGGAGGATTAACCAAGTGAGCCACAGCGCCAACTCTTATTTTTTTAAAATCAATGAAATCTGAAACAAACCTGGAAAAAAATTATCAGTTATCAAAATGAGTTGCCATCTCCTTGGTCAACCAATCTCATGACTTGAGGATGAACTGTCGCAAGTATCAAATTCTTAACTCCAGCTACCAGATAAGAATTGGCTGAAAATTCTGTGACTCATGTATTTTTTTTTTAAGATTTATTTATTTATTTGAATGGCAGAATTACAGAGAGGCAGAGGCAGAGAGAGAGAGAGAGAGAGAGGTCTTCCGTCCACTGGTTCACTCCCTAGATGGCTGCAAATGGCCAGAGCTGGGCTGATCTGACGCCAGGAGCCAGAAGCTTCTTCCAGGTCTCCCATGCAGGTGCAGGGGCCCAAACACTTGGGCCATCTTCCACTGCTTTCCCGGGCCACAGCAGAGAGATGGGTCGGAAGTGGAGCAGCTGGGTCTTGAACCGGCGCCATTATGGGATGCTGGCCCTGCAGGCGGCGGCTTTACCCGCTGCCCCACGGCACTGACCCCGTGACTCGTATCTTGAATCTGCTCTCAGTTGCTGTCTCCTGGGCCCCGTAAACTCACTGTGTGCAATGCCAGCGCCCACTGACCTCACAGGCACCTAGAGGTCCCACCGTGCATCTCTATCATTCTCTCTTCTCTCTCCATGTTTTTCTCATCATCCTTGGCGATGTCCTTGACTTCCCTTTCTGTTTCTCATCTAATCTGGCAGCGAAATCTGTTCCTGTTCCTGCAAGATGCTTCCAGAGCCTGGCCTTCCTTGCTCACCCTGTAGCTGTGCGATCGGCCCCCCATCACCCCAAGTGATCTCCTTCACAGTGGTGTCCAAACATCCGCTGCGGGGAGAGATCAGTTTGTTTCTCCCTGCTCAAACCTGCTAAGGAGCCTGACCAGGATCTGCTGCTCTGTCCTCTGTCTTACTCTCCCTGCCCCCTTAACCTCATTTGAGCCTAATCTGTCCCCCTCTGAGTACTCCTCCAGGCTGGCCTCCCGCTGTTTCTTGTACACAATTGCTCTCCCAGCTCACAGCCTTTCTATTTTTTTTTTAAGATTTATTTTATTTATATGAAAGACAGAGTCACAGAGAGGTAGAGCCAGAGAGAAAGAGAGGGAGGGAGAGAGGGAGGGAGGGAGAGAGAGAGGCCCTCCATCTGATGGTTCACCTCCAAAGGACTGCAACAGCCAGAGCTGAGCTGATGTGGAGGCAGGAGCCAGGAGCCTCCCACGGGTCTCCCATGCAGGCACAGGGGCCCAAGCACCCGGGCCATCCTCCACTGCTCTCCCAGGCCACAGCAGAGAGCTGGATCGGAAGTGGAGCAGCCAGGACTTGAACCGGCCCCCATATGGGATGCTGGCACTGCGCCACTGCGTTGGCCCCCTCACAGCCTTTCTGCCTGTGTTTCTGTTGGTTGGCAATGTTCTGAGCCAGACGACTTTGTACCCTCTGCTCCCATAGCTTCTCAGCCAGGCATTCTTCACCACTCTGCTTTAAGTGGCACCTTCTCCTCCTCCTCCTCTGTCTCTCTGTGTGATTTTTAATCTGTATCACGCACCATCTACCACAGTGTGTATTTTACCTTTGTATCTCTTTATTGTCTGTCAGTCTCTGTGAACACATGAACTCTGTAAAGGGCTCATGTCTGGCCTAGTGTTTAACATGATCCTGTGCTTCTAGGAGCACCTAGATTCACTTCCTGGCTCTGTTCCCGATTCTGGTGCCATGTTTCCGTGCACCCTGAAAGACAGCAGTGATGGTTCAGGTAGTTGAATTCCTGATACCCATGTGGGAGGCTGGATTAAATTTCTGGCTCCCAGTTTAGCCCAGGCCGCCCCAGCCAGTAGGGAGTAACCAGTGGTGGGCACATTGTCTGTCTGTCTCTCTGCCTTTCAAATAAAATAAATAAATAAACACTCATTGAAGAGATTTTTATTCTATTTGTACGCTGATATGTTCTTAGCATCCATAAGAGTTTCTGGCATATAATTAGGACTTAATGGATGTCTTATGAATGAATGCATGGTAGATTCATGGTTATCATTTATTCTCTAATATTTTCTATGTTTGAAATATTACACAAATACACATACATACACACAAATAAAAACGCTGCTTTTTTAAAAAAGATTTATTTATTTATTTGAAAGTTAGAGAGGGAGACACACACACACAGAGAGAGAGAGAGAGAAAGAGAGAGAGGAGGTCTTCCTTCTGCTAATTCACCCCCCAAATGCCTGCAACACCAGGGGTTGGCCAGGTGGAAGCAAGGCGTTTGGAATCCAATCCAGGTCTCCCACAAGTATACTTGACCCATCATCAGCTGCCTTCCATTGTGGGTTAGCAGGAAATTGCAATCAGAATGGGAGCTGGGACACAAACCGAGGTGCCTGGGTATGGGATACAAGCATCTCAAGTGGGGTCTTAGTTGAACACTGACCTACACATGTGTTTTCTAAATTATACTCCCTCCCTCCCACCGCAGTGATGACCCAGCTATCACCTGTCTTTCTAAGAAGAGAGAGTTTGATGAGCTCATACATTGGCATTCCTCTCACCTCTAAGTGATGATTTTGAAAGGACAAGAAACAGCGATAGTGGTGAGTATAATTCATACTAGGGAATGTTTCCAGCAGTTTTCTTGTTTAAACAAGCATCATGTGTAGAAGGGAAAAATTACTCATCTGGGGATAGTGACGTCTCACTTACAGTCTCCTCTCTCTCTACCACTGTATGCACTCCAGTGGCTTGCAGATACAGAAATGGGCAAAAGCTAGTTTCTGTAGGATGAACAATTCTCATAAATCCATTGAGGGGAAAAAAGTCATTGTGTGCAGCCAAGTCATTGTGCCTAGCTTTCTAATTTTCTTAGATTGTTACAACAGTTACTTTATATGTTATTGTTGAAATTCCTTTTGTTCTTTGCTGGTTTGCATAAAAGTCCCCACTGTATTGTTTCACAGGACCTGGTGTTTATATTAATCAGGCACATAGTGTTGTAATTGCCAAAATTAATAATTGTATTTATTACTTGTTATAAAACATTGGTTCATAATTGTATTCATTAATAAAAAATATTTAAATCACCAAAGAATTATTTTGGGTGGTAAGACACCATGAACCAATATAGTTTGTAAACTTGTCTTCTTGGATTTCAAACTGGTGAGGAAAATGGATAGAGGTGTGTATACACAGATACATACAGAGAAAAAGACCAATGACGCATAAGTACGATTCCTCAGGGGCGTGGACACTAGCGGCCTGACTGGTGCTGCCAATCTCTGGATGTATTCAGTGTCTGAATTCAGGCGTGCCCTGTCCCTGTCCTTGGCTCTGTGCTGGGCTCTGGACTTGGTCTTGTAGCACTCCTAGGGCAGAGGGAGAGGCGGGATGAGAGCAGCCATGGAGAGAGGTCCTTACTGAAAATTCTAGGGAGTTGGTACAGCTGGGAGCAAAAGGCAGGGAGGGAGGTGTCCAGGTGTCCGTCGGGAGGACTGGGGGCGACTCTAGCCACACCCGAACCATGCGGAGAGTCCTGCCGGAAGTGGAACAGGCTGTGACCGAAGTGAGGCGGGCTGTGACCGGAAGTGGGAAGGGCTGGTGACCGAAGCAAGCCCGAGAGCCCCAGTGACGTCAGACAAGTCGTGAGGCGCTAGCGGTTTCGTCTTTCCCAAGAACCGAAGAGCAAGGGGAGGCTGCTTAAACGTCTGCCCGGAGGGAGCCCTGGCGCTCAGGTACATGTTTAAGGGGAAGGATTTTGCTTCCACCTTCGTCGTGCGCTCCGTGCTGGGTGGCCCGCTGGGGCCTTGAGCAGCTGGAACTGCGTTCCTGGCTTCTGGCATCTTCCAGTTCAGTTTCTCGTAGAGTGGTCCTCAGGAACGGCCTCAGAGCAGTCGGGGAGTTAGAGGGGAGAACGGAGCTGTGGTTTGAAACCGGACGTGCCCGCTTAATGCAGTGATGATGCTGAGGGCGTGGGGCTGCCTTCCGACGGTGGTTCTCAGCGGGTTGGTTGCTGGGAGCCCGGTTGGGACCCCCCGTTGCTCTGTAGCTTCCTGGCTCAGCTGCCCTGCAACCCTCCTCCACCTGAGCTCCGTTCCCTGCCTCGACCCTCAGCATGGCCTGAACCATGGGGCTGCCCATGTGGGCGGGATGCAGAGTAATCCTTTTTTCTTCCTGAAGTTAGTTTTCTTTTTAAAGATTTACTTATGTATGTGAAAGGCAGAGTTGGAGCGAGGAGAGGCAGAGAGAGAGAGAGAGAGGGGTCTTCCGTCCGCTGGTTCACTCCCCAGGTGACTGCAGTGGCTGGAGCTGCACCGATCCGAAGCCGGAGCCAGGAGCTTCTTCCAGGGCTCCCACGTGGGTGCAGAGGCCCCCTGAAGTTAGTTTTCTCAGGTATTTTGTTCTAATGATAAAAAGCTGGCAAAAACACCTGCTCAGGCCTCTGAATTCTTCATGGACGTGGATATGTAGTAGGTGTGGATGGGTGAGTTGCTGACACTCACCCTGAGGCCATGGTGTTGCCAGCGATAAACGCCTTTGAGTTCAGCGCTGCCGCAGGCTTAGAGTGGTCTGGGAACTGGTGGACATCTTGTTTCCAGAGTCCATTCTCTCCTAGAGCAAGAATCTGGCTGAGTGGTTGTAGCCAAATGTTTCTGGCCAAATTTGGGTATAGTTTTCAGAAACTCTGTTTCCGAGTTCATGCAGTGCTCATGTGCTTCGTTTTTGATCCTGTGTCCAGAGACAGCAACCATGTCCAAGAGCAGGTGTTTTCTTTTGTGGCTTTGATAGCGCTGTAGGATAGCAGGTCATATCTCACCCTCGACTTACTCTATGGGATGCACCCATAATGCTTAGTAGTTGTAATAAAATGAATAAGTAAATAACTGATGTGATTTTTAAAAAGATGTGTTTTATTTATTTGAAAGCAGAGTTACTGGGGGGGGGGGATCTTCCATCTGCTGTTTTTTCTGCGAATGGCCACAACGGCTGGGCTGGGGCAGGCCAAAGCCAGGAGCCTGCAACTCCACCAGGATCTCCCTCATGGGTGGCAGGGGCCCAAGTACTTGGACTGTCTTCAGCTGCCTTCCCAGGTGTATTAGCAGGAAGCGGGATCAGAAGTGGAACTGCCAGGACTTGTACTGGTGCTCATATGGGATGCTGGTGTTGCAAGCAGTGGATTAACTAACTCTGAGTCACAATGCCAGCCCCAAGAACAGATGTTAATTTGGATCATCTCATGATATTTAAATATGGTTCAATAATTTTACATTTCCACATCTCAATCTCTGTAATAGTAATAGCCTCTAATTAGAATATTATGAATTTCTCAGGGGATTTGTCAAAGCCTTTCTCATGAATGCTCTAGGAATGCAACTTTTATATATCAACAGTAGAGTCATGATATTTTAATAACTTTATTTCCCTCAGCTAAATCCAAAGATGCCAAAGAAAGAAGAGATACACAGAAACTGTATCATTTTTATCATGTGTTTGGAAGGTCTTTGGTAGGAAGTAACAGATCAATAAGGATTACAAAAGTGGGCTCGCTGCCATCTCCAGCAAATTCTTCTGGGCAGAAGAAAAGACAGCATCAGGTGCGTTCTTGGGCTAGCGGAGCTCATTGCTGTGGGGGCTTGAGACTTCTACTCCCACCCTGTGAGACCTGCTGTTAACTTTACTCAGCATGGCAACACTGGTAATCTCATGTTATTGGAGAAAAAAAATTATTTTGTTTAAAAAAATACTCCCAAGTACTAACCATGAATTATAACAGATAAAGGACCTTATTCTCCTTTTAGAACACTGGGAAAATGAAGGGAGGTGTAACGAAGAAAACAAAATCCTAATGGGACCGGCACAGAATTGAGCACTGGGAATGCTTTGGTGAATTCCCTCAGTCACAGCTTCTCTCCAGTGTTATTAAACATCTTTTGCAACATAATTTGTGGATGGATACTCCTCCATAATATGGCAATGTCGTGGTTTGTTTAGTTATTTCTTTGTTGGAATATAGAAAAACAAGTAAGGAAAAGAAAAGAAAAATCCACATTCTCACGTCCCACAAGTAACTGTATGACTATTTTGGCATAAACCTGTGCAGTCCTATATTGTCTGTTGTTTTTTTCTATATGTATTCCACATCTACTAATAGTATAGCTGACTTCTTTCTGTATCATTAAATATACAATAAATTCACAATAGTATGTTATTTCCCAAATTTTAAGCAACTTAATAGAAAAAATCCAGCACACACACACACACAGCTAATTCAGGCTATTCAGAAAGGTACTTAAAGTGTGAAAAATAACTAACATTTTACCTTCTTCAAAGACCTGGTCCTATTAACTTTGGTGAACATCCTTCCAAATACTTACAGTCTATACACACTTACTAACACGCACAGTTTTACAGTTTACATATGGCTTTATACTTTTTTTTTCCCATTAAACAGTGTGCTTTCTAAAACTTTTTATTGCAATGAGTGAACAGTAAACTTTCCCTTTTAATATTTGCATAATATTCCATGTTTATTTTCTTTGTTCCTTTTAATCTTAATATGTGTGCATTATTTTACTGTTATAACCCTGGTGCTCTTTTCTGTTTAACCACAGAGATACCCAGTATCATTCTGTGAGTGTGCCTGCTTTTTTGTTTAACATCATCTCAACAAGAGATTTTGATTGCAAATTCAAATACCAGTGATATGAGTATTAGTCTATTTGTGTTTCTTCCCCTGTGACTTTCTATTTTATCTCCTTACTATTTGCCATTGTTATTATTATTTTGCTTATTGACTGCTAAAACCCTATGATGAGGGAACTTCAGAAAGTCCGTGGGAGAGTGGGCCTTTGGCACAGTACTAAAGTTGCTGCTTGGGATGCCTGCATCCCGTGTTGGAGTGCTTGGTTCAAGTTCTGGCTGCTCTGCTCCTCATCCAGCTTCCTGATAGCGCACACCCTGGGAAGCAGCAGAGGATGACTCAAACACTGGGGTCCATGCCACTCAAATAGAAGACCCCAGCCCAGCCCAGCCCAGCCCAGCCCTGACTATTGTGGGCATTTGGGGAGTGGACCAGCAGATGGGAGATCTCTTTTCATCTTTCTATCTTTCTGCCTTTCAAATAAAGTTTGAATTAATAGATATTGAAAAGTTTATGTTCAAATAAAATTAGATAACTTTATTCAGTGCAAAAATTTTGAAATCCAAGCATTTTTTAAAAAATAATATACATTTTGGTGCATTTCTGAAGCCCCCTCTGTATTTGCTTAAAAAATTTTTCTTAGTGCTCATTTTTGGTGCTTTAGGAAGTGCAGTCAGTGCGGGCTGTTATCCTGTAGACCGTACTCTGCAAGCATACTTTCTCCTCTTGCGTAGGGTGTGCACTCCCCTGAGGAGCTGGTGTCATTTGCTAGTGCTCAGATATTCTTAGATGGCCTGTATTTCCATACTGGGGGTGGAAGGCTGGGCTAAGTAAAGATGTGCCCGGAGAACTGGACAAGAGAGTTAGCCAGAGAATGGCCATGGTGGCATTTTCCATTGCAAGCAGTATTCCAGCTATTGCAATTTTAGGTCTGATTTTTATCTATTCATAACTGCTTTCATCATATCCTGTTCTCTTGGCTACCACTGCACAAGAGTTGTATTTGATTTCTATACAGTGCAATGTGTCACACCCCAGGGAGTTTTTGTAATTTTACCAGTTGGTCTGGTCATATAAAAGATACTTATCCTAATTGGACCTTTGCTGGGTGTTTCTTGGACTCAGCACAGATCTGGACTGCCTAAACACTGGCTTTCAGTATAATGGACTAAGGGGGTTAGCAGCTGAGAAGATAGAGAAAAGGAATAGCCAATTACCATCTTTGTGTATAAAAAAAGATATTTACATTTAATTCTTTGCAACACCAAAGGTCCAATTTGATGTCCTTAAGTGCTCTGAATGCTAAACTAATAGTCCGAAGATATTAAATATTTCCTTCCAAATATAAAAAGTATTAATCTGGAAACAATTGCTTTTATGTTTATTTAATTTTATTTCTATTTTTTAGAAGAAAAATGCAGAAAAACTTATTGAAGAAAATCAAAAGAGACAACTAGCTAAACTAGAGAAAAAGGAGGAAGAGAGATGGAATAATTTGTCTCTCTATTGAAAAAGAAATTAAAGAGAATCTTCACTCTGGAATCAAAAGACTAGAAGATTTTTCTCCAGATATGTGCTGTTAAATCTGTAAAATTTATTGCAGAAATGGTTGGATTGGATGCCTGTTTCAAATTATGGAAAGAATGCTGTCTAAAACCAGGTATATAAGGACATCAATTCTAGAAGTTTCTTGAAATCAGAGATTAATAAGGACAGCAAAAGAGCTGGCATTGATTCTTCTGTGATTATGGAACTCTTGTGAAGTCTAGAAGGATTTCCTCTTGTTGGATCCACAGTTGTTTGTGTGTGAAAGGCATTGGTGGAAAGAGTCAATTCAAAAGTCAATGCAGCAGACAGTTCTTCATAGCCAGCTATTGGCCAAATACCACACACACACACACACACACACACACAAAATTGTTAAATTCTCACAATTCTTTGGGATAGGCTTCCTATCTTGATATAATACGTAAAGCCCTAGGAGAACCAATTATGTGCCTGAATGTCAGTGACACAGCAACATTTTTAATGAAAAGTTTACTTCAATCTATATGCACAAATTGAATAAGTAATAAATTGGGATATAATCACAGTGTCATGGCTGAAGGCCCAAGAATGAGCAATTTTGATTGGAGATAAGATAAAAAATATTTATCTCTTAATTGTGGTCACAGAAAAGTAATTATTAGAAGAGTAATAAAAGAGTATAGAATGGTCATGTTCTTAGGAAATTATTGTATCATTTTATGTAGATTATTTTGTTTAATCTTGATAATAGCCATGTGAGGTGAGCCCTGTGGTTAATATCTCCATTATACAGAGAAAGAAAACAAGGCTGAGAGAAGTAATTTGCCATGTTTCTATGTCAGAAAAGGCACGTTAAGTTTGCATTTAAGGTGTGTGATGAATTTTGTGAATATGTGCCCTGTAGTTTTTGTCAAAGCAGGCTTCCTGTTTTTCGCTTGCTAAGTCTAGCAGCACTTTTAGAATCTAGGAGCCCACACTTTTAATTGTCATGCAGAACTGGGAGTTGTGAGTTCTTTGATTATTGTGAGTGGTTCATGTGAATATGCCTTTCTTTAAAATCTTAAAATTAAGTCAGCGCTGGGGTAGAGTGTGGGTTGTTATCACTCTCTTGCTTCACTTAGGTCGTGCAATTATTTTACTTCAACAGAAGCAGAATCCAAAGATATAAATGTGGTATTCAGATGATGAAGAGGAATTCACATACTGCACGAGAAGTACTCAGAATTGTTACAGAATACACACAGGCAAAAATTAGCCAAATATCTAAAATATATCGGGTTTGACAACTTGGCACACACGTTACGTCCTCAGGTAAATGCCACGGAAGATACTACTTGACATTTGTGTGAGTGTGTGTGTGTGTATGTGTGTGTCTGTGAAATATTTTATGGGATATATTGAGAATCAATACCTGTCACCAGAACTGTATATTCTGAATATATTGAGAATCAGTATACATTAGATTAAGCTAATAGTTCACAGTTAACCATGCATTATACTGTATAGACACAGGTCTAATGTTTATGACTGTGTATTTTTCTAGGATTCATAGTTATCCACACAGCCGACTTCCCATCTTACCCAGGATGCCAGGGCTATACGTGTCAGGTCCCTAGTTACCTCTGTACTAGTTCCAACAGATTCTGTTGAGTACAGAGAACTACATTTGCTGCGGAGTTTTGCAGCAGCTGTTTTCGGTAGTTCATCCCCTCAGCTCATAGCCGGGCTGCTGCTTTTCCCTGTGCCTGTGCCAGATGAATGCAACGCTGTGGCGAGTCTTCACTGGAGACCATCTAGTATTGTGTAGCCTTTCTTCCACTCTTCTCCCTACCCAGGAAGCCACTAAGACATGTCCTTATTTCTCTCCTTTTTTTAAATTTTAATGTATACAAATTTTGTGTATTTCATATATACGGATTAGGAACATGGTGATACTATACCCTCCTTCCCACCCATGCTCCAACTGTTCTTCCTCCTCCCTCTCCTGTTCCCACTCTCAACTTTTACAATGATATATTTTCAGTTTACTTGAAACTCCTAAGATTAACCCTGCTACACTAAATAGTTCAACAAATAGTATGAAAGAAAAAAAAAAAAAACCACCATCCCTTAACAGTAGAGACAAGGGCTATAAACAGTCATCAAATCTCAAAATGTCAATTTAATTCAATACATTACATTTTAAGTACTCTGTTAGTTACTACAGATCAGGAAAACATATGGTATCTGTCTTTTTGGGACTGGCTTACTTCACCAAGTATAATGGTTTCCAGTTGCATCCATTTTGTTGCAAAAGTCAAGATTTCATTTTTTTTTATCACTGAGTGGTACTCCATAGTGTATATAAACCATAATTTCTTTATCTAGTCATCAGTTGTTGGACATCTGGTTGATTCTGTATCTTGGCTATTGTGAATTGAGCTGCAAAGAACTGGGGTTACAGATAACTCTTACACATATGTCATTGTCTGAATTTTTTTGTTTGTATTTATTCATATGTTCATTGTTTCAAAACTTTGTGTGCAAATTTCATAGGAGTGGAACACTTTTTGGTCATGGTTCTTGTCATGCCTTATCTTTAGTTAACTTTTAGAAGAGAATAAATCTTCCATACACTGATTCACTCCCATAATGGTTGTAATAGCTAGGCCTGGGCTAAGGTGAAGCCAGGAGCCAGGAACTCTATTCTGGTTTCCAATGTGGATCACAGATCCCTAAATACTTAGATCATCTTATGCTGCTTTCCCAGGTGCATTAGCAGAGAGATGGGACTGGAATATGGATGTTGACCTTGCAGGTGGAAGATTAACCCCTTGAGCCACAATGCTGGCCCCAGAGAAAAATTGTAGGTCAAAATATCTCTTCAAGGGTCCAGTGCTGTGGTATAGAGGATTAAGCCACCACCTGCAGTGCCAGCATCCCATACGGGTGCTGGTTCAAGACCTGGCTGCTCAACTTCCAATCCAGCTCTCTGCTATGGCCTGGGAAAGCAATGGAAGATGGCCCAAGCTCCTGGGTCCTGGCTTCAGATAAGCACAGCTCTAGCCAGGGTGCCCAGTTGGGGAGTGAACCAGCGGATGGAACACCTCTCTCTCTCTCTCTACTTCTGCCTTTCTCTCTCTGTAAGTCTGCCTTTCAACTAAATAAATTTTTTAAAAAAATCTTCAAGTAATGCCTTTAAAATAGTGTATTTAGAAATTATGAAGACATGCTTGGGGTACTGCATGGTCTTAGAGTGGAGATATTTCTGTAAGTAGAGAAATATAAGGGATGTGGGGAGAGATACCAGCTCAGGGTGAGAAGCCAAAAAGAGGAGATATAGGTAGCTCTCTACTTCCTGTGCCAAATCTCCCCATTTTAGGCTTTCTGACTTTCCTTAGGCTTCACTGGGACCCCCATCTTTGCTAGGTTAGCCTTGCTGGGAATCTCAGCAGGGCCTGTGGCCCCTTCCTTGGTGTATCTCGCTCTGCTCATCTCAGGAATACTTTCAACCAGTCTTTGGTGATTCTGTAGATTCACTAAGAGTCTGAGGTCAGGTTTCCTATCACGCAAACATGGAAGGAGCCCTACATCTCTGTTCCCCAGTGCCACAGACAAAATTTAACTATCCCATCTAATAAGCCTTCTATCAGGAAGACTGACATATTTAAGAAGGCCTTTGAAGCCATGAGGATAGAGAAACTAATTTCATTGGAAAGAATTATCTTAATGCAGGATGTGAACATCAAGAGTGGAAATTATGAGTCTTCACACAAATCCCTTCCTTTGGTTGTTCTATGCCTACCTTATGTTGCACAGGTTTAGGGTTTGTCTGAAGGGAGGAGAGCTGTTCCTCACTCCTTTAAGAGACTTGGAGACCTATAAGCTCTAGGAAAGCAACTCTCTCTCTAAAAAAATAAAACAAGAAAACCTTGATGGTGATGATCAGAACGGGAATCTAGCTATTTCCAACAGCTGTAGATTTGAAATAGGATATTTGCTTAAACATTGCATGACCAAAACTGCTATTACTTTTTAATTCTTAAATGAGAAAGTAAATAAATTTTAAAAAGCTTGTTTTTAAACATTTTCCATTATATTTTTGGCAATTTTAAATGAAGTCTTCTCTGCTCCAAGCCATCATTGTGTCCAAACATGTCTTGGTGTTGATTGACAGTGAGAACACTTTGGCACAGAAGTTTATGTTTTCCATGCATGGCTAATATGATCATAATCCAGTTTTGTCAGAACTCTGAGAATGGAGGCTCAGCCAAGCACGTGAATTTCCTGTGATGTTGAGGCCCTGTAGTAAGAGCTGTTGACCCATTGGGTGGAATTCTCTGAGTAAAATAGTTTGACTTGTAAGATGATAGGTATTTGTTATATAGATCTTTACAGAGATATTTATTTTTACCAAAGATGCCTTTTTAAGGTCAGAAAAAATTTCCTTAAAGGAAATACAGTTTTAGTGTGTGTATGTGTGTGTGTGTGAGTGTGTGTGTAATAATTGTGGAACAGTTATCAAAGATTTTACTAATTTGTAACAAAAGATCAATTTCATATTGTCTTTTACTTATATGCCATGGAAAATGATCTTGCCATAAAAATGATATTTAAAAAATTATACTGAATATAGCCTCAATGTTCCCTGTGCTATTGTAATGATATATTAAGTTGAGTGGCACTTTTACCCTCTGGTAACTCCAAAATTGGGTTATCCAGTTTTAAGAGTTGCAGCTTATTGAAAGAACATGAAAAAATAATCTCACTGAGGCAAAGCAAACTACAACAGGATTGGGAATAATTCCTGCATGCCCAGGTTAGGAATTGTAAAGTCGTACAGAGGTCTAATGCACCATACTTATTTAGGGGAAGGAGTCAGGTGCTGGGAAGGATATTTCTAAATACTCAGTTCACATGGGAGCCGCTCGGTTTCAGTTAACGCACATGGGCCCTTACTTGTTCCGAGAAGAAAGAAGTGATCCAGATCCCGGGTGCATCATTTTATACCGGACACGTGGCAGGTATTTCTCTAAAAGATCTGTCGTATGGAAAGGCAAAGACGCTTCGGTGAAACTGTGTGTTCAGACCTCATTGTGTGCGACAAATTTTGAAAATGCCTGTTGTTCTAGAAAGCGACTTAATGACAAGAAAAGTAAATCATGTCTTGGCCCAAGAGATAAAGCAATGCAGTGACGAGTCAGCTGAGTGACAGATACACTGGTTCTCTTAAATGGAGTGTGGGAAGCAATGCATTGAGAAGCAGCAGTTTGACCTGGTTGTGAAGCCATTGGTCAGGACGCCGCGTCCCAAACCATAGTGCTTGGGTGTCACATGCAGCTCCTGACTCCAGCTCTTGCTAATGCACACTAGGAGGCAGCAGTGAAAGCTCAAGTGATTGGGATCCTGCCATTCCCAGGGGAGACCTGGATTGAGTTCCCAGTTTCTAGGCATTTGGGGAGTGAACCAGCAGATGGGACCTGTCTTTGTCTATCTGTGTCTTTGCCCCTCAAATAAAAACAAAAGCAAAAACAAAACAAACAAGAACCCAACTATACACTCCAATTCTGTGCAGCCACTTAATTCACATAACAAAATAGGTGCCTGATGTATATTTGGCAAAATATACTGTTTTTTTTTTTTTTTAAAGTAGTGTTGCTTTTGGGTTGTCCAATTGTTCAACCACAGTCACTCATAATACATCATGATGTGTCACGGATCCTATTATGTATTTGCATACATTTTTTGAAAAACTTCTTTTCTACACCTTAATCATTCAGTGACCATAATTAATGAAACATGGAAATGAAAAGAGCAACAGGTTTTGGTAATTCCGTCTCAGCATGAGGTTTCCCTAATCTGAACTAAAAAGAACTCCAAGAGCCAGGCTACAGACCCGTGGCACTGTCCTCTGCTGTATTAGAGGGTTTTTAAATCTAAGTTTAAGTAAGGACTTTCCTGTCTCCAGTGATTTGGGTTATTTGCACATAGCTGGAAGTGGTGATTCCTGCCATCTTGAGCACTAGCAGGTCTCAGAACTGTAAACACTAGTCTAAGAGCTAGTTGAAGCTAACTTAAAAATGACAGTAAAGATGCATTTTCCAATGAAAGGTGATTTTTTTTCCCTCAGAGGGAACTCCTGGATGTCGTAGATTGTGATTGTTGCTCCAACCTCATCAGGGAAAACCTACGCCTCCTACTACTGCATGGGGAAAGTCCTGCGGGAGAGCGATGACGGAGTGGCCGTGTACGTTGCGCCCACAAAGGTATCGTGCCCTGTGACCCTGCGCTGTTCTAGGGGTGTTCCTCTGCCATAGCCGTGTGTCCCACCTGGTAGTGCCCAGCCTCCAGTGTCACACAGTCGTGGGCTTGGTGCTCATGTGCTGTGTGACCTTGGCCAGTTTCCTGGCATGTTTTCCACCTGCAAGGAGACACGGCACCGCTTACTTTATGCTGTTGTTCCGAGCGTGACCTGAGACGAGGCACACCAGGCATCCAGTGTACTGTCTGGGCATGAATAATGATGGGTAAATGTGCCATTCACAAGCATTTGTTTATTAGTGTTCTCTCATAAATCTCCCTAGGGCCAGCACTTGTGAAAAGACAGGGCTGGACACTTCTGAGAGTCTTGCCAATGGGAATGATTTGGTGTTGGTGCCAGGCTTGTGTACTTAAGAGAGGACAGACAAGTTCAAGAGAGAGAGAGAGAGAGAGAGGCGCTTCTCCCCTCAGTTTTACCAGCTCTGGGGTTGGGCAGGTGCCTGATGGAAGAGCCTTGGATTCTTACAGGGGCCATGGGTTTCTTCCTTTGCAGCAACCTGGGTGAAGTAGAGTTAAAGGGCACTTGCGAAATAAATATTCTTTTTCTCTCAAAAGGGGTTTTGGGATACACTCCTTCCTCTCACTTTCCCTAGCAAAATACTTAATTCCCAGGCTTACAGCTGCACTGCGAGGAGCCAGTGTGGGGAGGGGCCCTGCGTCCCACGAGCCACATCCTTCACTGATGAGGACGCGGGAGCTTAGTGAGCTTCAGTGCTGTGCCCATTACTGTTCAGCGTTGTAAAATACAGGCGCCATCTAATATTACCTGTATCAGCACATATTACACTGACGGGACGAGGAACCACTGTTTGTGTTTTGTTGCTGGCCATCCCATCAACAGGCACTGCATTGTATTATATAACATTTAGAAAACTTAAATGGAATTGGTGGAAGGATTTGCTGTGAGGTATTGCCTTATTAGGGCAGAATTGTTACCAGTTCGGTACTGCATTGTTGCGTATCAGTGGTTCCAGACTGTGGGTTTGCTTGAACCAGTTTTTTTGCAGCATTGTTGATAGTTTACTGAGTAGCCTGCTCACTCTGTCTTTTGTGACTGCAGGCTCTGGTTAACCAGGTGGTGGGAACTGTCTACAATTTGTTTACTAAAGCACTGCCGAAAGGCTCAGTGGTGTGTGGAGTTTTCACAAGGGATTACCGCCACGACACCTTGAACTGTCAGGTACGTCACAGCTGTCCCCGTGATGAGTCGTAGTGTGAATGTGGCACTCTGGGAGACACGTAGGGTTTTAATGGGGTAAACATGAAACCCACAGCTACCCTGATAGATGTATTTTATATGGGCTAGATGGTTTGTAGAATTTTTCTTATCTAAGAATTTGATTACTGATGATATTTTAATTCTATATTAATTATTAAATGTTTACATTACATAAATGTTACGTAAAGAGAATGCATTACTTTTTCTGAAATTTTAGCCTGAGGAAGCAACTTCCTCTTTAGTAGAGATGGTTTCAGGACATGGTGACTTTTGTATTCCCAGAATACTGTGCCAGAGAATATTTCTTTTTTTTAAAAAGATTTATTTATTTATTTGAAAGAGTTCTACAGAGAGAGGAGAGGCAGAGAGAGAGAGAGGTCTGCCATCTGCTGGTTCGCTCCCCAACTGGCCATTATGGTCAGTTGTGACCATAATGATCCGAAGCCAGGAGCCAGGAGCTTCTTCCTGGTCTCCCACATGGGTACAGGGGCCCAAGCACTTGGGCCATCCTCTACTGCTTCCCCAAGCCATAGCATAGAGCTGAATCAGAAGTGGAGCAGCCGAGACTAGAACTGGTGCCCATATGGGGATGCTTGCACTGCAGGCAGCGGCTTTACTGCTACATCACAGCACCAGCCCCAAGAGAATGTTTCTTAATGAAACAAACTTAACTGCTTTTGAGTGTATCAGTGGCAGCATATGTGGGGCTCAGTTGTACATATTCATTTTACTTCACATTAATGAAATATTTTTGAACATGGAAATGTCAAGATGGATATAGTGTGTCATAAATTTCTTATTAATGTTTGGAAATTAAAACAGCTTTTTTTTAAAAAAAAAAAAAACAGATATTAGTAACAGTGCCTCAGTGTTTGGAATTACTCTTGCTATCACCTCATTATCAGAAAATGGACAGAAAGAATGCGCTATGTCATATTTGATGAGGTATGTGCTTTTTATTCCTTTATCTCAACAGAATATTTTATGTCAACCAAGACCACATGTACCATATGTACTTTAATAAAGATGGCATTCATATGGTTAGTTACTAAATAAATATAAGTTGTTATAGAAGGGTTACCAATAAGTTCTGGGAGAGTTGTTTCCTGTTAACACTGCTTTTGCTGTATCCCACAAATTTGGTATGTTGTAATTGTTGTCTTCATTTGTTTCCAGAAATTTTCTGATTTCTCTTTTGATTTCTTCTATGACCCACTGTGCATTCAGGAACATGTTGTTCATTCTCCATGTGTTTTCATATAATGTAGAGATTCTTGAGTTGTTGATTTTCAGTTTCCTTGCATTGTGGTCCGAGAAGATGCATGGCATGATTTGATTTGCTTGAATTTGCTTAGACTTGCTTTATGGCCTAGTATGTGGTCAATCCTATAGAAAGTTCCATGTACCAAGTAGAATAAGATGTACCCTGTGGCTGTAGGGTGGAAGGCTCTATAGATAGCTAATAGGCTAATAGGTCTATTTTGTCTATGGTATTGATTAACTCTGTTATTTCTTTTTTGATATTCTGCCTCATTGATCTGTCCATTGCTGAAAGTGGGGTATTGAAGTCCCCCATTACTAGTTGTATTTGAATCTATATCTCCCTTTACATTTCTTTTAAATAACCAGGTGCCCTGTTATTATGTGCATATACATTATAATAGTCACATCTTCCTGTTGAATTGATCCTTTAATCATTGTATAGTGCCCTTCTTATCTCTTTTAATAGTTTTTGTGTTAAAGTTTATTTGTCTGATTTAGGATGGCCACACCAGCTCTTTTTGGTTTCTGTTAGCGTGGAATATCTTGTTTCATCCTTTCACTTTCAGTCTGCATGCATCTTTGTTGGAAAGATATGTTTCTTGTAGGCAGCAAATAGATGGATTTTCTTTTTTAATCCATTCAGCTAGTCTGTGTCTTTTAACTGGTGAGTTCAGGCCATTTACATTCACCATACGTATTGTTAAGTGCCGACTTTGCCCTGCCATGTTTCTGTAAATAGTTCTGTTTTTGAATTTTGTTTGTACTTTTGCTGGGTCATTTTCTGCATTCAAGTACTTTTGTAGGGATGTTCCTGTTTCTGTGTTTTTGTGTGTAGCACATCCTTGAACATCTTTTTAGGGCTGTGCAGGTAGTTAGAAATTCTTTCAATTTCTGTTTGTTGTGGAAGGATCCTTATTTTTCCTTCATTCATAAATGAGAGCTTTGCAGGGTACAGTATTCTGGGTTGACAATTTTTTTCCCTTAGGACTTGGAGTATGTCTTCCATTCTCTCCTTGTCTTTAGGGCTTGTGATGAGAAGTTGGAAGTGAATCTAATTGGGTTTTCTGAGTGTGATTTGTCTTTCTCTCCTGCAGGTTTTAAGATCTTTTCTTTCATGCGTTATGGAGGAGAGCTATGCTACAATGTGTCAAGGTGCAGATCTTTTCTCTTCCTGTCTTTTGGGAATTCTGTGTACTTCCTGTACTTGGATGTCTCTTTCTCCAGATTGCAGAAGTTTTCTGTTATTATTGCATTAAGAAGGCCTTCTAATTCTTTCTCTCCATGCCTTCTGGCAGTCTAGGATCTGTGTGTTGGGTCGTTTGATAGAATCTTGTAGATCTCCTACCATGTTTTTCAGTTTCCTAATTTCTTCTTCTTGTGTTTGGTCTGACCTTATTATTTCCAGAAAATTGTCTTCTAGTCTGATATTCTTTTTTCTGTCTCACTTATTCTATTGTTAAGGCTTTCCACTGCATTTTTTATTTGAACTATGGAATTCTTCATTTCTAGTATTTCATTCTGACTTCTCTTTTTTTAACTTTTATTTAATAAACATAAATTTCCAAAGTACAGCTTTTGGATTACAGTGTCCCCCCCCCCGTAACTTCCCTCCCACCTGCAACCCTCCCATTTCCAGCTCCCTCTCCCATTCCATTCACATCAAGGTTCATTTTCAATTATCATTATATACAGAAGATCAATTTAGTATATATTAAGTAAAGATTTCAACAGTTTGCACCCACACAGAAACACAAAGTGTAAAGTACTGTTTGAGTACTAGTTATAGCATTAATTTGCATAGTATAACACATTAAGGACAGAGATCCTACATGGGAGTAAGTGCACAATGACTCCTGTTGTTGACTTAACAATTGACACTCTTGTTTATGGCATCAGTAATCACCCTAGGCTCTTATCATGGGTTGCCAAGGCTATGGAAGCCTTTTGAGTTCACCAACTCCAATCTTATTTAGACAAGGTCATACTGACTTCTCTTTAATATCTCAATTTCTTGGGGAAACATGTTTCATTTAGATTGTGAGTTTATTTCTGATTGCTTCTAAGTAATCTGATGATTAATTTTCTGAATTCCATTTCTGGCATAACCTCAGCCTCTTCTCCAGCTTCTATTATTGAAGAGTTGTAGTATTCCTTTGGGAGGGACTCATACTGTCGTTCTTATCCTTATTAAGGTTTTTTCCTTTGTTTTTTGGCATTTCCGGTTGCTTTTCCTCTTAAATATGTGTCTTGGTGCTTGTGGTGATGTTACTGTGAATGGCAGAGTTCTTGTCTTTGCAAGAAAGAATTCAGGCGTGAGACAGAGTAGTAGAGAGTAAAATAGCAAAGTTTATTAGTGAAGGGACATCCGTAAGAACGGATGGGCACCTCTCCAGATAGGACCTGAGAGAGAGTGCGCAGTCACTTGGACTGGGGCGGGCGGGGGGGGGGGGGACGAGGTTACATGGTTGAATGGAGAGATTACACCTGGCCAGGCAGGCAGGCAGCTCAGCAGAGAGGCAGAGCGCACCGTCCGGTGGAGCTGGGGGTTTTTAAGGAGATGAGTATTTGTCTTCACACATCTCCTCCTGAAACAAAGGATTTTATGGATGCAAATATTAAGAAGCTCCTATCTGAGTTTTCCTCTGAAGGTATCAGACAGGAGGAAGCCTAGCTGGCACCATCCTAACCCAGGATCTGGAGCAGGGTATTTTAAATGCAGATACTGGGCTGCGATTGTGGAAGATTGTCAGGCAGAAGGGGCAGGGACCCCCACCTGGCAGATTATGGGGTAGGAAGGGGCAGTGCAGGATGTGAACACTGGGCTGCCCCTGAAACGTTATTGGGATGACTTTGAGATGCAGATGCATATGCTGGACATAGACGTCTTCTCTTAAGCCTTTATGTCATACCCACATAAGCTCATATCTGACTTCCTACCTAACAGTGAGATTTCCCACTGCTATGATCTGCTATGTGTCTGTGCGTTGCAAATGGAAGCATGCAGGGCCGCCTCCAGGAGGTCGTCCTGTTCACTTCTTGATCTTGATGGGGCAGGTACGAGAGCTCTGATGCACTAAGCCCTGCCTTTTGGGGTTGGGCTTGCTTCTCGCTTGTGCATGGAACCAGCTCGAGATTTCGATATTTAGTACTTCTCCTTGTTGTACAGCTTGCTGCTGGTGGTGGGGAAATTACTCTGGAATGTTGTGATCCTAGTTCTGGGGTCTTGTGAAGTGGCCCCCCCAATTGACGGACATGAGCATGAGCAGGCAAAGCAGTAGCCCCCTGCTTACATTTGAAGATGTAAACAATATATGGCTTCTCCCAGCAGCTGCAGGTCTGATTGTGGGGAGGGGAGACAGGGATGGTAGGAGGTGCCCAACCTCTCCATTTGTTCCCCTGTTCTTCCAGCTTGGAACTTCAAACACAGTTCACCAGGCTCCCCCGCCCACTTCTACCCACAGCTCCGTGGACTTGAGACCTCGTGTCCTCGCCTGGTCTGGCCGGGGGTGGGGGTGGTGTCAGTCTCGAGGTTCGGTTTCTCCACTGCTCTTCCACCACTTTTGCTCCCTCAGTGTGGGCCTGCTCAGTCTCTGTTGGACTCCTGGGCTTCTCTGCATGAAATTCTCATGGCTCTGTCACTGCTGGCTTATATACCGCCTTCCTTATTAGCTATTTTGCCCTGTGAGACTGGTCCTGTTGCCTTGGTCCTGACCTCCCTCCACCCCATTACTATTGTATTGAGTCCTATCTCCCTTTAGATCCATTAACATTTCTTTAAATAACCAGGTGACTGTAACTAGGTGGCATGTACGTTTACAATAGTCACTTCTTCCTGTTGAATTGATCCCTTAAATCATTACATGGTGCCCTTCTTTGTCTTTTCAGCAGTTTTCAAGTTGAAGTTTATTTGTCTGATATTAGGATCGTATACCAGTTCTTTTGGTTTCTGTTGGCATGGAGTATCTTTTTCCATCCATTCACTTTCAGTCTGTTTGTATCTTTGTTGATGAGAGGTGTTTCTTGTAGGCAGCAAATAGATTAGTCTTGTTTTTAATCATTCAGCCAGTCTGGTTTTTACTGGAGAGGTGAGCCAGTTACATTCAACATGACTATTGATAAGTAACAACTTGGCTCTGCCATTTTCCCCATAATATGCCCATTGTTTACTTTGAATTTCTTTTGTACTTTACTGGGGATTTTCTGCCTTTACATTCTTTCATAATGATGGCTATCTCTCTGTGTTTCTGTGTGTAGCACATCCTTAAGGGGGAAGAGAGAGAGAGAGCGAGCGAGCGAGAGCGCGATATCTTCCATGTACTGGTTCACATCCCCAAATGGTCACAACAGCCAGGGCTGGGTCAGGCCAAAGCCAGAAGCTAGGACTCCATCTGGGTCTCCCACTTGAGTGGCAGGGGCCCAAACACTTGGGATATCGTCTGCTACCTTTCCCAGGTGCATTAGCAGGGAACTGACCAAATGAAGCAGCTGGGACTCAAACAGGGGCTCACTGGGATGCTGGACCGGCTGTGCCACAATGCCAGGCCCCTCCACAAATAACTTTTCATAGCATACATTTCTGTGAACTTTTTGAAGACCCTTGATACACTTCTGAAAAGTAAGTCAAGTGAATACAAGTTGATGTCACACTGAGAGGCAGGCGTTTGCCCAGATCCCATATTGAAGAGCCTGGGTTCCATTCCCAACTCAGACTCTCGACTCCAGCTGCTTGTGAATGTGCACCCAGGGAGGCAGCAGGTGATACCTCAAGTAATTGGGCTCCTATCATGCATGTGGAGACCCATGTTGAGTTCCCAGCTCCTGGCTTTGGCTTGGCCCAGGACATTGTGGATATTTGGGGAGTGAGTCAGTAGGTACAGTGTTTGTCCCTTTCTGCCTTTCTCTCTCTTTTTCTTCTCAAAGAAAGAACTAAATTAATTGAAAGTAACCTCACATTGAGTCTTACCCATCACAGTGTTGACAATTAGAGTGTCAGGTGTTGCAGAGGAGGAGGAGCAACGGGAAGGCATGGACATTGTGCTCCTTTGGAAATTGTCTCAAAAAACTAGTGATGGTGACAGTACTTCAGGAACAAGGAATTCCACTTGTATATATTCTGAAATAGAAAAACAGGAGTCACGTTTTCAAGAGTAAGACTGAATCAGGCTAGGATACCTGTACAAAATGTTCATAGTCGCATCATTGGTGGTGTTATCAAACTATAAACAACTGAAATGTCCTCCAGAGTAGAAAAAAATAGAAGGTGGCACAGGCATTTGATAAAATACATAGAGTGAGGAAAGTCAATGAAGTGCAGATTAATTTTTTTTTAAATTTTTTGCCAGGCAGAGTTAGAGAGAGAGAAAGAGAGGTCTTCCTTCCATTGATTCACCCCCCAAATGGCCGCTACGGCTGGTGCTGTGCCAACCCGAAGCCAGGAGCTGGGTACTTCCTCCGGGTCTCCCATGTGGGTGTAGGGACCCAAGCACTTGGGCCATCCTCCATTGCCCTCCTGGGCCACAGCAGAGAGCTGGACTGGAAGAGGAGCAGCCGGGACTAGAACCCAGGGTGCCAGTGCTGCAGGCGGAGGATTAGCCAAGTGAGCCACGTGCCGGCTGAAATGCAGATTATTTAAAAATCATGTTGGGCAAAGGAAGTTAGATACAAAGAACACAAGTTAAATAATTCCAGTTATACAATGTTTTAAATGGGCAAAATAAATTTCTATGCTTTATATATAAACATACAAGTACATATATACACATGGACATGTGAAGAAGTAGAATGACCAATGGAATCATAATTTTTTCAAAAATTGATATAGTAACTTCCAAAGAGGGAAGCTGTTATAATCTGGGCTTCTGAAATGCTAGAGGCATTATTTATCTTGATTTACAGGTGCAGTGACAATGACATTTGGTTTACTTCATTTCCATGGATAATACTTGTGATCTGAAAAAATCAAGCTTTATGTAATTTATTGAATCTTATGTTTCACAACAAAATAAAGGTTAGGAAAAGAATACAAGCATTGTGTTAATTAATAATTAAGTATATTGTAACTTATGCATTGCTATACAAATATAATTGGCATCATTATTTTAATGTTTACTGTGATTGGCATATATTCTAAATAATTTCTAGGAAATTGTATTTCCTCTTTATAAAATGCCTTTGAAGATAGATACTGTTATCTATCAAGACTGTTTAAAGGTGTTGAGATTAGTGATGCATAAGCAAATGTGGGTTTGTATCAAGATTTATCTTAGTATCTGTTTAGGACAATCTCTGTCATTCACCAGTGTTTCTTTGTAAATAACACTTAACATGTGTCCCTTTTGTTCATGGTGTGCTTGATGCGCTTTCACTACCACGGCAGGCAATAGTATTTGCTTATGGGTCAGTCATCACAATGTGTTACAGAGCAAGTCATTCCTAAATACATTATTGTTAAAGTCTGGAACATACTGTGATTCTGCAAAACATATTGGCTTCTTTCACGAGCTTTGTCAGTGGGTAAATGAATGTTACTGAAATGGAGAGTAGAAGGGAAAAGTAGGTCTGGTAACAAGGTAGTTTATTAACATTAAAAAATAAAACCCCTGTTGTGGGGAGCAATCCGGACAGGACTAAGTTACTCGAATTAAGACTTATTCTATGCATCTGCTCTCCCACAATATGGCGCTGGGAGAGAAGTAAACAGCTTCCGCACAGCTGCCTCCAGTTCAACTAATAAATTGTAGGACTTGCTCCTGATTGGAGGAGAGCAGCGTACTCGGCGTGTGGGCAGCCGAGTTGGGATTGGCGGAGGAGGACTATAAAGGAGGAGAGAGACGGCATGCACCAGGAACATCTATGGGGAACATCTAAGGGGAACACCTGTGCAGCCCCCGTGCAGCCCCCGAGAACGAGCCGGCCGGCGGTGTGCCGCTCCCTGCGGAAGTGGGGAATGTGGCCAGGGGGAGCTGCCCTTCCACGGAGGTGGAAGGGATAGTAGCCAACCCGGGAAGAACCAGCAGCAAACCCGGGGAGGGCCGAGCAGACGAAAGAACAGCGCAGGGTCCTGTGTCGTTCCTCCACGAAGAGGGGGAGCGACATAATGGTGCCGTGACTCGGATATGAAGCCTAGGCAGGGCTTAGTGTCGTTCCTCCACGAAGAGGGGGAGCGACATAATGGTGCCGTGACTCGGATAGGAAACGTGACTCGGATAGGAAACCTGACTCGGATAGGAAACCTAGGACGGATAGGAAACCTAAGACGGATAGCAAACTTAGGAGGGAAGAAACGGGAAGAACTGGGAAAAATACTGGAGAGAGAGACTAGCAAACAGCCTAGGGAAAAGCCGGACGAAAAGGGTGCCGGAAGAAGCTATTGAAAGCCTAGGCATAGACTCAGATACGGACTACGGGGGGAAGCTGGGAGAAATCTCTAAGGTCGAAAGCGAAAGTGAAAGCTAGAACAAACAGACTCGGATGCGGACTGTGGGGAGAGGCCAGGAGAAATGAGGGAGGAGTATTGTTGGAGGAAAGCTTGGGGAAACATACCGGGTAGAGAAAAATGTTAGGGAAATTGAAGCCGTGGGGGGCAGGCCAAGGCGGACACGAAAGCCACTTTGGGATTCTCAAGTTAGCCCGGGAATAGGGGGCGAAAAGTTGAAACCAGAAGCTGAAACGTGAGCCTGGTTGGGATCCGTCTGATTAGCCCGGGGAGCAAAGGACGGGAAGCCAAACCGTGGGGCGGAGACGTACGCTGGGTTGAATTCGCCAGGCTAGCCCGGGGAACTTAGATTGAATGCTAGTGGCGGACACGTAAGCTACGCTGTGTTACTCGCGGAAACCGCCGCGTGCAGAGAGAGCGTGCGGGGCACAAGTAGATAGGGAACGGGGCTGGCGAGGCCGTGGTTCAGACGCGAAAGGGTTAAGTGCGAGACCGCGGAGCGCGCGAAGCCAAGCCGCGCAAAGCCGAGCGGCGCAGAGGAGGCGCGGGCTGAAGCTGCGCGGAGCCGTGAAGCTGCCGGCAGCGCGAGGCACCGGGAAGCTGCAGGCATAAGAGAAATAGAAGCTTAGAAATAAAATGAGAGAAATAAGAATGCTGGGAGATAGAAGTAAAATGGGAGAAATAGGAATGCCCGGAGATAGAGAAATAGAGAAATAGAAAGGCCTCCCCTCAACATGGCAACGAGAAAGTTTGGATTCGGTCTGCCTGATTAAGTGAAGCGATGAGCACGATGAGCACCTGCGGCGGCTAGCAGCTTATGCGCCGCAGGTCACTGAAGACAGGCACGAATTAACATCAGTAAGGCTTCCCCACAATACCGCAATTAGAAGGCTTGGATTCGGTCTGCCTGATTAAGGCGGTAAGCGCCAGCAAGCAGCTCCGACCAGAGTATGAGCTGCAGGTCACCGAAGATAGGCACGAACCAACACTAATAAGTCTCCCCCACAATAAGGCAATGAGAAGGCTTGGATTCGGTTTGCCTGATAGGTCTTGTAAGTCCCCTGCAGGCAGAGCAGAGCATGCGCTGCAGGGCACCGAACACAGACACGCATCAGCGCCTAAAAACCTCCTCACAACATGGCGAAGAGAGGACCCGGATTCGGTTTGCCTGATTGATAGGACTTGTAAGAGCCTGTGGCAACTCTAGCAAGTAGAGCAGAGTGTGTGCCGCGGGACACCGAAGACAGGCGCGTATCAACGCCAAAATAAAAGAAAGGGGGATCTGTGGGGAGCAATCCGGACTGGACTAAGTTACTCGAATTAAGACTTATTCTATGCATCTGCTCTCCCACAATATGGCGCTGGGAGAGAAGTAAACAGCTTCCGCACAGCTGCCTCCAGTTCAACTAATAAATTGTAGGACTTGCTCCTGATTGGAGGAGAGCAGCGTACTCGGCGTGTGGGCAGCCGAGTTGGGATTGGCGGAGGAGGACTATAAAGGAGGAGAGAGACGGCATGCACCAGGAACATCTATGGGGAACATCTAAGGGGAACACCTGTGCAGCCCCCGTGCAGCCCCCGAGAAGAGCCGGCCGGCGGTGTGCCGCTCCCCTGCGGAAGTGGGGAATGTGGCCAGGGGGAGCTGCCCTTCCACGGAGGTGGAAGGGATAGTAGCCAACCTGGGAAGAACCAGCAGCAAACCCGGGGAGGGCCGAGCAGACGAAAGAACAGCGCAGGGTCCTGTGTCGTTCCTCCACGAAGAGGGGGAGCGACATAATGGTGCCGTGACTCGGATATGAAGCCTAGGCAGGGCTTAGTGTCGTTCCTCCACGAAGAGGGGGAGCGACACCCTGTCCCCATTCTGACATTGAGTCTGTTTACACTGACAGGTTCACTGCCTTGGGGGAGAAGTTGGAGCGGAAGTGTGGGAACATCTCCTTGTTATGATTCGTTGTCCCTTTTTGGCCCTTTCTGCTACTATCAGTAACCCTGAGCATCTCACTGAGTGAGTCTGAGATTTATATTCATTCTTTTTTTTTTTTGAAAATTAAAGCTTTTCTTGTTTAAAAAATTTTATTTAATTTAAAGTATACAAATTTCATCCATTTCCTGTATGCAGATTCGGGAACGTGTGCAGAGCTCTCTGTGTGCACGGGTCCAGCTGCAGTGGTCTGCCCTGGCAACCTAGGAGTTCTGAAAGTGTGGCTCTGCACCCAGAACTTACCCAGCACCCGCTACACCCTGCCCCCTCTCACAGTCACAGTGTTTTCACAGTCTCAGCACCCTGGGCTCCCACAGACAAGGACTGCAAGAGAGTACACTCTGCCCCGCTAGGCTGTCCTGTCCACAGGGAGGCTGTGTGTTTCACCCTGAGCAGACTCAAAGTCCACAGGGATTTTTTGCCTTGGTAGAATCCCTGGGTTGCAAGCAAGCACAGTACTTGCCATCTGCAGCCCTGCTGCTTTCAGAACTGTGCTGGGTGGGTACAAGAGCCCTGAGGGTGGCGCTTCCCTTTGGTGGGGATGGCTCCCCCTCCCCACCCTTTGCCATAAGGGTACAGAGGAGCTGGTGTTGTTGGCCTGATGACAGGTGGGGACAGACCCCACCAGTTGATTCGAACTGCTCTGGTTGCCCCTGCCAACAGTTCCCACTAGCTACTGGGTGCGCTCGGAGAAGCTGGAGCCGCTGCTCTGATCTTGTGGAATGACGGCAGCTGTCTCCCGGCCTGTTAGCTGCAGGGCGCTGGTGTGGTAGCGGGAACCGTGGTGAGGGAGGTGCTCGGCTTTTCTTCCCCCACTCTGGGTGAGCAGTCGCCCCAGCTCCCCTGAGGGTTCTGGGCTGGACTCAGATACTGCACAGTCTACTAGATTCTTCTTCCAGCTGCACCAGCCGTGGTGTGGCAAGGGCCGGTGCAGCCTGACCCCACCTGGCTATCCAGGTGGGCTGCTGGTTCCTTTGTTGTGTTCCTGCTCCACGCTCCGAGCTCCTTGCTGTGTGCCTGTGCCTTCCCCTTAGGTCCAGGCCGTTTCCACTGCTTTTGCAAGATCTCCCACTGCAGTTTTCCCGGAGAGTGTGACTTCACTTTTTTTTCTGCTAAGTTCGTGGAGCCTATAGAAGACTTCCCTGTCACTGTTCCACCATCGTGCCTCCCTCCAGTCATATCTGCTTTTTAACATCTTAAGAACAATTTTAAATTTGCAGACAAATTATGAGATACAAAGAGTTACCATATTCCCCTTCACCCAAGTTCTGCTATTACGCTTTATGCTGATATCTTTGTCAAAGTTAATGAACCACACCCATCATTTCCAATTTTTCATTTTATCTTTTTAAAATTTTTTTATTTAAGGTAAACAAATTTCATGTGATTCATATATACAGACTTAGGAACACGTTTTTCTGCAACAATGATTGTTCTCTTTTTGTAACTAGGTGGTTGGCGTTAGTTAAAGGATATTGGCAACGTGTTGAAAGCACAATGGAAAATGCTGATCCATCAAGAAATGCCTTAAAAAGCTCAAAGAGACAACAACGAACAAGAGTGGGAAAGCCATCGTACAAAGTTAGACTGGGTATGGATTTCTTCACTCGGGAGAGGGGAGTGCAGAAGTAGCAAGCATACCCCGTGTGCTCGTCACATTTGAGGGTGTTCTACATACGCAGAGCAACTTGTTCTTATTGTAACCGTGAAAGGCAGTGCATCTTACTTTCACTTACAGAGGAAATGAAATAGATAGGAAACAGCTCTAGGAGGTGATATTCCGTGTTGACGTCCACAGAGCTGACTGACTGAACTTGGAGATCAAATTCTTTCCAAATATTGTCTATTTTGGTGTTGTGCGAATTCCTTCATGATTTAATGTGATTGATATGGAGTCATAGCCAAGATAAGCATTTCACTCCTGTTCTGTGAGAAAAGACTCAAACAAACCTAGAGGACAGTTCTGGCTCACTGAACAATGTGTTTCAAAATTTCCAATTCACCTGTGGTCCCAGCTTCTGTGCTATCCCCTGTTTCATCTAAGAAATCTTCTCCTTTCAGGACTTTCTTGATAGTTTGGATTATTAATTGTGCTCTGAAATCTGCCTTTGAGTTTCAGGTTTTCTTCTAGAACGCTCTCCCTGGGTCACTTTCCTCTGTACTTGGCCAAGTCCTGTCTACTCTTTATTGGAAAGATTCTGCCTTGCGGCACATCCCGAACACCACCTTGATTGTTCTAGGTCAGGGCCCATAGGGTGTCCTATGTTACGCAATTTCCTACCACCTGTGGTAGTTATTTTTGTATGTGCCCCTCTTTTCCTTGGAAAATACTGGATATTTGAAATCATATGCTTTTATCCATATCATAATTGTTTTATTATGCACATACTCTAAATGTTTTACTATTGAATTGAGTATTCCTTACCGCATGCATTTGGGACTATTTCGTGAGAATTCTCTGAAGTAGTATAGAATCATGTTTATCTGACTACTTTTTTATTTTTCTTTGTATAACGAGAACAGATTTCAGATATACAATTTGCAGGACATAATGATACTTCCCACTCTCCCTACTACCGTCCTCCATCCTTTCTTTTTTTCCCTTTTAATTTTTGCAATAACATACTTTCAACTTCTTTCATCACAGGGCTAGTCCTCCACTAAATAAAGGATTCCACCCATAGGAAGACCACTGTTCTACAGGGGTGTTGACAAGGGCTATAAGCAATAATCAAATCTCAGGATGTCAGTGTCACTCATATACATGACTTTTTGTGTACTCTATATCTTACTTACCACAAATCAGAAAACCTACTATTGTCTTTTTGGTTCTTGCTTATTTCACTAAGTAAATTGGTTTCCAGTTGCATCCATTTTATTGTAAAAGACAGGATTTCATTCTCTCTCTGTTTTGTTTTTTTTTTTTTTTTTTTTTTTTTTTTGGCTGAATAAATTCCATCATGTATGTATACCACATTTTCTTTATCTAGTAATCAGTTGATGGACATCTAGGTTAATTCCATCTCTTAGCTACTGTGAATTTCAGATTCCTATATGTGACATTCATGCTGTTTTATTTCATTTTTGTTTTAATTTTAAGAATCAATATGCTTATAGATACAAGTCTAAGAACATAATGGTATTCCCTTCCTCCCTCCCAGTCTCCTTCCTGCTACCTTTCTTTTTTTAGGTTTTGAGATAGCATATTTTAAATTTCCAGTACTGTAAAAAGGCTGAATACTAAAAAAGGTTAATACCTTACCTAATAAGAAGTTTAACATGTAAAAAGCAAGACGACCCTAGTTTAGTGGGAATATACACAGCGGCTATCAATAATTGAAGAGAAAAAGTGACCATTTCACCCATACATTTTTTAAAATGAAATAGAAGCGATGACAATGTAACATTTAAATATTTCCTGTGTGGTTACAGGATAATGATTAAGTTCATTTAGACTTTAAGCCATTTTACACAGAAGAATAATTTTTGCAGATTGCAATGCAAATAATTATACATTACTTTTTGATACTCTTCATTACCACAGATCAGGGAAAACATATGGTATTTGTTTTTTGGAACTGGCTTATTTCACTAAGTATAATGGTTTCCAGGTACATCCAATTTATTGTGAAAGACAGAATTCCATTTTTTACAGCTGAGTAATATTCCAAAGTGTATGTATTCCACATTTTCTTTGTCCAGTCACCACTTGATGGACACCTGGGTTGATTCCATATCTGAGCTGTTGGAAATTGAGCTGTAATAAACTTGGATGTACAGATAACTCTTTCATATGCTGATTTTACTTTGTTTGGGTAAATTCCCAGGGGTGGGATAACTGGGTCATATGACATATCTTTTTTCAGCTGTCTGAGGAATCGCCATACTGTCTTCCACAATGGCTGTATTAGTTTGCATTCCCACCAACAGTAGATTAGAGAACCTTAAAAAAAAAAGGTTAATTTATTTGAAAGCAGAGTGACACAGAAAGGGAGAGATTGTCCATTTGCTGGTACATTCTCTCAATGACCATAATAGCTGAGAATGGGCCAGGCTGAAGCCAGGAGCCAGGAGCTCCATCTGACTCTCGTACGTGGTTGGCAGGGGCTGAAGTACTTGGGCCATCATCTGCTTTCTCAGTACAATATCAGGGTGTTGGTGGATGGAAGTGGAGCAGCCGGGACCTGACCTGTCACTCTATGGGATGGCAAGGTTGCAAACAGAAGCTCAACCAGGTGTGCCACACAGGCCCCATATACATGTTTTCACTTGACAATGTCAAAGTACCTCATCTGTGCCAGATCCCACTCAAGTCCCTAGAGATAGAGCAGAAAACAACTCCTTGCTTTCCTAGAGCTTAATTTTTATGGAGATGCAGGGTTAAACAATGCGTAAGTAAAATAGATAACATGTTAGGTAGGTAAATGCTAAATTGTCCTAATTTTAAGTGACATATTAACAAAGCCCTGTGGCATACTGGATTCCTGGATTTAAAAAATGAGTAAATGACAGAAGAAGGCTCGTTTTCTCTGGGAGATGGTGATACTGTTCTCCAAGACAGGGAGATGATCCAGTAACACCCGTGTTTCCTATTGAAATAGTTGAATGGGTTGCAGGCCTTTTTATTCAAACCATGCTCCTTATGCAAAAGCATGCTTTCCAAGAATATTTAGAAAAATATACACTAGGAATTACAAGAAGCAAGGATGGACTGTGACTGAAGATCCAGGCCAGGAGGGCAGGTAAAACATCTGTGTGCGGTATAGGCACATAAGTTCCTCCTCCACTGCATGGCCCTGTTGTCGTTTTGTCGACAGAGGCTTCCAGCACAGCTCTCCCTAGGCCTAGCTGTCTTTAGAAAATCGGAATTACATCATTGCTGAGAGACACAAACCCATCTTAATCCGCATTTTAATTCCACTTTCACAGTGTGTTACAAAGAACGATACAACGATCTAGAAAAGTATGTGTGTTCTCTAAAGGATAACGATTTTGTCATTGCACACTACCACCCGTGCGCTGCACTCACAGTCAACCATGTAAGTACAAAAGCACTTTGGAAAAGGAGGCGTCAAGGTGGTTAAAATCTGCATATGGGATGGAGATCAATGGTTTTGCATTTTCTGCTTTTCAGATAGAGAAGTATGGAGTCCCTGCAGACCTTCAGTTTTCTCCTCGGGAAAGCATACTTCTGTATGATGCTATGGTACACATTTGGCCAGAACGGTCAAGAATGCAGGTGTGTGTATGAAAGTAAACACTAGGAACTGTTTCTCTCTCTGTGTGTGCGTAAATACGTATAATACACTTACATATGTATATATATTTCAAAAATTAGAGGAAATGGAGTTGTAAGTTTGTTTTGGTGCAAAGTAATTTTGAAATTCATGCAGTTTGTTTCACAATACACATTTCCATGAACTTTTTGGAGATTTCTCGTGTGTGTGTGTGTGTGCATTTCGTGTATGTCTGTGTATGTGGTGTTTGTGTGCATGCATATTTGCATGTGATGTGTGTATGTGTGTGTGTGAATGTGGTATATGTATGTGTGTGAACGTGATGTATGTGTATGTGTGAATGTGGTGCATGTGCATGTGTGTGTGTACGTGGTGTGTGTGTTCATGGTATGTGTGTATCTGTATGTTGTGTGTGGTGTATGCGTGTATGTGCATGTGGTGTATGTATGTGTATGGTGATATGCGTGTTTGCATGTGTGTTGTGCTTGTGGTGTATGTGTGTATGTTGTATATGTGTGCATATGTGTCTGTGAATGGTATGTGTGTGTATGTGTGTGTCTGTGCATGTGGGGTGTGTGTGTGTGTGTTTGTGGGTATTCCTTAGCTGATATTTCTAGTCCTGTGGCATGATAGTCCGTTAAGAATGAACAAACTAGATAATGGTGTTACTCTGATGTAGATGAAGGCGTAGTATTCCATAGTTCAAAGCAGAAACTTCAGAGACTCATTTCTCTAGATTTAGAAAAATTAGTTAAAAGAGCTAATAATGCCTATTTTGTAGCATTGTTATTAACATAAGCCAAATAATTAAAAGTTCTTAGAATAATGCTTTGCTACAGTAAGAATGATATGTCTTTTTTTTTTTTTTTTGATGGGTTTTGTCCCTGCCTGTAACTGAATGTCAAGCTGAGAAGTATTTTTCCTCCCCCAAAACTGTGCTTAAAAACTCCAGTGCCACGGGCCCCTTCTGGTTTGCCTCTCTTGGGGCCCCCTCCATGCCACTCTGGCTCTAATAAATCTTGCTTTTTTTTTTTTTTTTTTTGACAGGCAGAGTGGACAGTGAGAGAGAGAGACAGAGAGAAAGGTCTTCCTTTGCCGTTGGTTCACCCTCCAATGGCCTCCGTGGCTGGCGCACTGCGGCTGGCGCACTGCGCTGATCCGATGGCAGGAGCCAGGTACTTATCCTGGTCTCCCATGGGGTGCAGGGCCCAAGCACTTGGGCCATCCTCCGCTGCACTCCCTGGCCACAGCAGAGAGCTGGCCTGGAAGAGGAGCAACCGGGACAGAATCCAGCACCCCAACCGGGACTAGAACCCGGTGTGCCGGCGCCCCAAGGCGGAGGATAGCCTAGTGAGCCGTGGCGCCGGCCTTAAATCTTGCTTTTTAAATACTTAAAAACATTATGTGTTCAACTCCTCATGTAGTTAACGCTGTTCATAAACATGGATGCAGTGAACTGAGAGATTTGCCTCATAACTGTGCATGTGGCAAACTTTAGACCAGGTGATAACTGTATTTTCTTTGGTATTTGTGCTTCTTCATTTTCAAGGAGTTAGAACCTGAAGAATTCAGCTGCTTCAAAAATAAAGTAGTCATCATGAGGACAGATGCCAAGAAATATGAAGAGGAACTGAAAAAGGAACTGCTTAGTTGGATGCAGCTGGACCCAGGCAAGGTTGTGACAGACATTTAGGATTTTTTATTTAATATAAAATGAATCTGATTTATTCAGTTATGGTAAAGAAAATCCCCATAGGGCTCTTTAGTATTTGAATATGGAAATCCTATTACTGTACTTTGCCATTCTACCTTAAATTTAGCCAGCTAGGTAAAGAAAGATGTAGAGAATCATTACTTTAGTTCCATCCGGGACAGCCCACACCTGCTACTACTATATCCTCTTTGAATGTGCACCTCAGTCAGTAAAACTCACTGGGACAGGCCACACTGATCTGCAAATGTGAAAACCACCTAATGTCCCAAATCATTATTAAATTCATGAGGGGTTCAACCCTGGCTGCTTATCAGGAATCATCTAGGAAGCCCAATCTCATCTAGAGATTCTGAGCTGATTGACCTCCAGTGGACTGGGGCACTGGAATTTTAAAACAACCTCCTATGTAATTTTTAGAAAAAGATTTATTTATTTATTTGAAAGAGTTAAGCAGACAGAGGAGAGAGAGAGAAGAGAGAGAGAGAGAGAGAGAAATATCTTCCATCTGCTGTTTCAATCCCCGCAACTGCCGTAATGGCAGGAGCTGGCTGATCTGAAGCCAGGAGCCAGGGTCTCCCATGTGGGCACAGGGGCCCATGCACTTGGGCCATCTTCCAGTGCTTTCCCAGGCCGTAAACAAAACAGCCAGGACACGGACCTGCACCTGTATTGGATGCTGGTGCCATAGGAGGAGGCTTAACCTTCTATGCCACAGTGCCAGCGCCCACCCTACTGAATCTATTACCTTTTCTCTGGTAACTTATACCACGTAAAAATTGTAGCTTAAAAAATAATGAAATATCCTATTAAAATACTATTTGTAGACCATACGTGTATATGTGATATCTATAGATAAGAAAAACTATTTCAGATATTCTTGCCATTAAATGTTGAAGTCATCCTTCTGTAGCCTATATTTACTGATAATGATCAGCATTAAGTCATGATAATCCTTTCAGTAAGCACAACACCACAGTATTACATAAACTTGATCACAGTAGTGTAGAACCATGTCATTCAAGTTTTCTGAGGTTTTCATTGTATTTAAATGCTTAGTATATGACTGGTTGAAATCCTAACTTTGTACTTACATTGTCATTCTGAATATACTGTTCAACAGCAACTTGCTTTTCACCCTCAAATATCTGCGCATTCTGTTGCCTTCCTTTGCGGTCGTCAGTACCTTATCTGCCTTTTATTTGTGGTAACTTTATTCAGGTGAACCAGTTACTGCAGTACCTTAAGCCTCAAACTTTTGACAGTGCAAGAATTGAAAAGGAACGAATGCTTCCTTGTTTTGTGGAAAAACTTAAAGAAATGGATAGGCTACCAGCAATATTTTTTTCGTAAGTAATTATTTTCTGTGGAAAGCATTATACATTGATTTATATGAATTTGCAGACTATTGAAAAGGAAGAACTTATAATCTGACATATCTTAGAATTTGAGAAATTTGTGAGCATATTGAAGTTATATTTTCTTTTTAAATTTTTAGAATATAGGGAACAGATTTCATGCATTTTATAGTTGTACTTTTTTTTTTTTTTTTTGACAGGCAGAGTGGGCAGTGAGAGAGAGAGACAGAGAGAAAGGTCTTCCTTTTGCCATTGGTTCACCCTCCAATGGCCGCTGGGGCTGGCACACTGCGGCTGGCGCACCGCGGCCGGCGCACCGCGCTGATCCGATGGCAGGAGCCAGGTACTTATCCTGGTCTCCCATGGGGTGCAGGGCCCAAGCACTTGGGCCATCCTCCACTGCACTCCCTGGCCACAGCAGAGAGCTGGCCTGGAAGAAGGGCAACCGGGACAGAATCCAGCGCCCCGACCGGGACTAGAACCCGGTGTGCCGGCGCCGCAAGGCGGAGGATTAGCCTAGTGAGCCGCGGCACCGGCTATAGATGTACTTCTAAGATAAGCACAGTTCCCTCTCTACCTCCCTCAATCCACCTTTCTCCTTTCCTTAATTTTCCTTTAATTTTTGCAATAACATATTTTCTGTTTTAAAAAAGATTTATTTTATTTATTTGAAAGACAGAGTTACAGAGAGAGGTAGAGACACAGAGAGAAGTCTTCTATCCACTGGTTCACTCCCCAGATGGCCACAATGGCCAGAGCTGCACTGATCCGAAGCCAGGAGCCAGGAGTTTCCTCCAGGTCTCCCAGGTGGGCGCAGGGGCCCAAGAGCTTGGGCCATCTTGTACTGCTTTCCTAGGCCACAGCAGAGAGCTGGATGGAAGAGGAGCAGCCGGGACTCGAACTGGCACCCATATGGGATGCCAACACTTCAGGCCAGGGCTTTAACCTGCTGTGCCACGGCGTCAGCCCCTGCAATAACATATTTTCAATCTATTTTATGACCACAGGATTAACACACCACTAACCATGATGTTCAACAAGTAAAAAGTAGGAAGACCAGTGTTCCACAGGAATATAGAAAAGGGTTATAAACAATAATCAAATCATAAGGTATCAGTTTCATTCTGATATGTTATTTTTGTATCTATATCAACTAGCACATATAAGAGATATTTTCTATAGCAACTTGGATATAATACAACAGAAACAAACACTCTCTTACTGAATTTTATTTGAAAATCTAATTGTATGGCTTGGTAGAGTGGAATTTCCTGGGCCATAAGTTAATAGAAAGTTCAACATATTTGTAGAATCAGATATGGTAAAAAGAGTAATGTGTATTTGGCAAAACAGAGTACATACATTAACATACACCTATATACACATATGATGGCATATTGAGTGTTTAGTCTGCCATTTTTCTTTTGTGAAGTTTTATTATATATAAGCTCTCTTTAAGTGGAAAGAAAAGACCTTGAAGAATATTTATGACAATCACTTCAAAGAATTAAAAGAAAAATTAGATAGGGCCTGGTAGCAAGATGATTTAATTAGCAATCATGTTTTCATCAGCTCTTTGTGGGAGGTTTAATTTATGCATATTGTGTATATGTGGGCACTCACCGACATAGAGTATATATATACATATATACTATATATATAAAACTTCAAAATTGGAAGGAAAATATGAGGCCAAATTGTCAATTCTTTACATGTCTGTATAGGAATGTGCATTGATCTTGTAATAAGTCTGAAAATTTTTGAGAAAAGTGAAGAGAAAAAGGTTAAGCCAAATATGAGGAAGTACAAAAGTACTCCTAGAAATCCAATTCCTAACTCAAACTTCATGTCACAGGTGAAAAGGAACTAACTAGTAACAATGACAAGTAGGTGCTGGTCTGTTCTTTACAAAGATTCAGCAGTCTTAATATGGGAACTGTGTCAAATGAGAAAAGAGCAGTTTTTTTTTTTTTTTCCCTAGTAAAGAGCCTTTACCTAACTACTCTTACCATAGTATCAAAATTCACCTTTGTAACTAACTCTGATCTTCCCTTCCATTCACATGAACTCTGATTTAGGAGTTAAATGGGCAAAAATGAATGAATGACAGAGATTGATGTTACCCAAACAAAGGTTCCTACATCCAAAAATTGTCTTTATTAATGAATGCAGGGCTGGACTGGAATGAGCATGCAGTTATCCAGTGTTCTCACATACTTTACTTTAGATTCAACATTCACTCAGTGGAAAGGTCAGCTTCACGCCTTCTTACTAATATGTTGATGAGACAATATACTCATAGTCACAACTCTGAAGGAGAGAAGAATTTAAACAGGAAACTGGAGAAAGCAATTAAGTCTCAAAGGAGAATGTACGCTGCGTGAGTATTTCTACTGGAATTGTGGAATTCATTGTGAACTGAAACCTTTAAGTGTGCAATTATTTATATAATTAAAATCATATTTCACTGCTTTATGTTTTTATGATACACCAACTTAATTTAATTAGAACATCATTTTGGGGGACTTATGTGGGAGAAGATTATTGAGTATTTCAGTAATTGTACAATGTTTTACAGTAACTTTCTTCAGTTGATTAGCTGATTTCTAACATTTTCTTAGGTCCACAAAGTTTAAGTTTGTGATTAACAACCTAATCATATATTTAAAGTCCCACAACACTCAGTACCATTATAGGGATCAAGCTTCATTATGAGTTCTGGGACAAAATATATTCAAATGATAGCAGATCCAAAAGCTTCCTACTCACTTATTATTTCATTCTTTTTGTTGGTGTTTCTTTAACTAGATAATTGAAATGGTCTGTCTTTGAATTAGTTGATTCTTTCTTTCACTGGATTAAGTTTGCTATGGAAACTCTTGAATTTTTTGTTTCGATGATTTTGTTCTTCAGCTTCAGAATTCTTGTTTATCTATCTTTGTTGAACCCTCATTTTGTTCATGTATTATTTTGCTGATTTTTAAAATATTTTCTTTCTATGTTCTCTTATATATTGCTCACTAAACTTCTTTAGGATGATTATCTTGAATTCTTTGTTAGGCAGTTCATAGATCTCCATTTCTTCTGTTTTAAAAAGATCTATTTATTTATTTGAAAGACAAAATTGGGGGGGGGGAGAGAATCTTTCATCTGCTGGTTTATTCCACAAAGAGCTGCAACAGTTGTAGCTGGGCCAGTCTGAAATCAGGAGCCGGAAGATTCTTCGGGGTCTCCCATGGGTGTGCAGGGGCTCAAGAACTTGGGCCATCTTCCACTGCTTTCCCAGGTGTGTTAGGGAGCTGGAGTGGAAGTGGAGCAGCCGGGACTTAAACCGGTGTCCATATGGGATGCTGGTACTACAGGCAGTGGCTTTACCCACTGTGCCATAGTGCCAGCCCTAGATCTCCATTTCTTTCTTTTTTTAAAAGATTTATTTATTTATTTGAAAGTCAGAGTTACACAGAAGAGAGGCAGAGAGAGAGAGAGAGGGAGAGGGGCCCTCCATCCGATGTTCACTCCTCAATCGGCCACAATGGCCAGAGCTGCACTGATCCAGAGCCAGGAGCCCCCTCAGGGTCTCCCACACACATGTAGGGGCCCAAGGCCTTGTGCCATCCTCCACTGCTTTCTCAGGCATAGCAGGATTGGAAATAGAGCAGCCGGGCCTCGAACCGGCTCCCACATGGGATGCCGGCACTTTAGGCCAGGGCGTTAACCCGCTGAGCCACAGTGCCAGCCCCTAGATCTCCATTTCTTTAAGCTTCGTTATTGGAATCTTATTTTATTCCTTTGGTGATGTCATGTTTCCCTGATTCTTTGATTCTGGTACCTGCATGTTGCTCTCTGTGCATTTGAAGAAGCAATCATTTCTTCCAATCTTTATAAACTGGCTTTGGCAGTTTTACCAGTTGGCTTGAATGGAGGTTTTAGATGGGCCAGTTAGTGGAGCTTATGGGCTTACTGGCTTGCCAAGTCTGGCGACAGACCTGTTGCTGGAATCCACAGGTGAGCAGGCCTCATACCAGAATCTGTAGTCAAGCAGGACCAAGAATGGTTTTTCTGTTTTCTGTTAAGTAGGTGTCAATGCATATGTTAAAAATAACAGATGGTAAGCAATGAGAATTGAAGTAATTAAGGCCTGGTGAATATCCTTTAATAAGGGCAATCATATTTTGGGTTCAAATTACCAGGCATTCTTTTATGCTGGCACTTACAGACACAATTTCAAATGTTGAAAAGAAGAGGGCATGTTATAATCAATATTCACGACGTTCCTGATTTTTTATATTCAGTTATTTACATTCAAATTCAACTGCTCGAATTCAGAGATTGATTTTATGGGACGCTGAAATAAAGGAAATAAAGAAGAGTCTTAAAAAGAGTAAAGAAGTTCCTCCGGACTGTACTTATGTTGATCGAGCAGGTGTGGATAGCAAGGTAAGAGACGAGAACAGGGGGCATGCCTAGGTGGATGGATTCATTTGCTAAGGCTTCTGCACCAGGGTACCACGTGTTAGGAATTTATTTCTTAACAGTTATGCCTGCTGGAAGTCTGGCACCCAGTAGGATTACTTCCTACTGAGGCTTCAGAGGGCAGGGTCTGCTCCAGGTCTCTCTCCAGGGCTTACATGCATTACTTTAGAGGGCTCATGAAAAACAGAATTAAAAAATAAGTTTATTTTATGCAAAAGAATTTTGAAATCTGCCCACACGAGGCATCTTCCCAGAGGCCATGGAGAATACATGTTATGAGAAAGCTCTGCGTGAATTTCTAAAGTTTTTTGCACTAGAATAAACTTAGTTTTTCGATTTGATTTTTCCATGAACTTGTTGCAGTCCTCTTGTATAATTGGGTACCTTCTCCCTGCTGTCTGTTACCACTACATCGTGTTTCCTCTGTATGTGTCTGTCCGAAATTCCTCTTACAAAGGTAGTAGTCATATTGGATTGCAGCTCACTGTAATGATTTTACTTTTAACTTAATTGTATCAAGTACTTCAAAGTTCAGTTTTGGTGGTGCACAATCTGGCGCATAACCTTATATGTGTGTGTGTGTGTCTATACTGTACTATGCAGTTTATAAAACACAACCTATTTCATCTAAATTGATCTTAATGTATGGGAAACTGGAGTTGGAGGCTGAAGAAGTTAAGATTATATATGTAAGCTTACACAGCTATTAAAAGTGGTTCAAAGATTCATGACGAGGTATAGCAAGTGCAGGCTTTTTCTTTGTGCAGTCGACTGCATCTGTTAAAGTTAATGATAATCTTTTATGTAATAGAAATAGAAATAGAAAAGGTAAAAGTAATCACCAAGAGTCACCCTCCAGTAAGTAAAGAATTCAACAAGCAGTCAGCAAAAAACCCCACTGTTCCTGAAGAGTATAGACAAGGGCCATGAGCAATAATCGAATCTTGTGACTATAAAGTGAATTCAAAGTATATCATTGTAGAAATTAAAAGAAAATAAGAAAGGAAGGAGGAAGTAGATGGGAGCAAGGGAGGGAACAAAGGAGGGTGGGAAGTATCATGATATTTTAAAAAAATATTTATTATTTTGAAAGGCAGAATTACACGGATATACACACACACACACACACACACAATCTTCCATCTGCTGGTTCACTCCCCAAGTTGCCACATTGGCCAAGACTGGGCCAGGCTGAAGCCAGGAGCCAGGAGCCAGGAGCTTCTCCTAGGTTTCCCACATGGTTGCAGAGATCCAAGCACTTTGGCCATCCTCCACTGCTTTCCCAGGCACATTAGTAGAGGACTGGATAGAAAGTGGAGCAGCTGGGACTCGAACTGGTGTCCATATAGGATGCTGGCACTACAGGCAGTAGCTTTACCCGCTGTACCACAGTGGCGGCCCCATAATTATGTTCTTAAAACTGTATATATAAAATACATGAGATTTGTTCTCCTTATAGCAAATAAAAAATTTAAGAAAAAGAAAAGGTAAATGTTAAATCTCTTTTCTGAGCTAATGCAGTGACTTGCTACCAAGAAATCAAAATCAGATTTGTCTTTCATTTGAAAACTTCTCCCGTTTTCTGTGCTTCATGTCACCAAATCATCCACCACATGCCCAGTTTTACAAACTAGAAACGGTTGCCTTCTCCTCCACTGCTGTGTGTCTCACTCAGAAACTAAGCCCAGAACACTGAGAGATATGCCAGATAACGGGTGTGCATCTGTTGGTTGGTTGACCTACTAGACCATGTAGTCAGATCAATGGTTATTACTTGTGTATGTTTGCTTTTTTCTTTTAGTGATGGTGCAGGTTGGAAAGGGGGAGGGAAGCAGAATAAAAGTAAAAAAGAGGGTGGGAAAGAGAAGAAAGAAAGAAAAAGAGCAATAGTGACTGACAGAGGTAGAAACTGTTCAGGAGCAGACAGGGAGTTTCAGAGAAGGGGCTGCAGGACAGAGATGGGGAGAGAGTGTGGAGAGAGAGACAGGAAGTGAGAAACACAAAGGTGCCAGCCTGGAAGCACAGGGAGACACAGACAGACACGGGCAGACAGTGGTCAGATGTGATTGGAGTGAACAGCGGTTAGTTAGTTTCAAGTCAGCAGCAAAAATAGAGCACAAGGCAGTTGATCATCAGACTCCGCTGAGAGCTGTGTCGGGGCCAGGGATGGATTTTGCTACTTGCCTGGAGGGACGCTGGGCCTGCATGGAGCATCTTCCTCTTGGAATTCTTACTGTGTTGCTTCAGTGTTTCCTCATTACCCCAGGATGAGCTGGAGCTGCCTCCAGCATTGTGGGAATGATGTCAGCAGGTGTATGAGGGAAAATTGGGCACATGGCTGCTGTGAGGAAGGCATGTGAAGAAAGGATCAGTGCATTTGAGGTTGGGCTGCATTCTACTTTCTCAGGTCTTATGCATGAATGCCACTTAGGACAGAACTGCTCTGTTTATGAACTTGAGGTTCTAGCCTAAAACACAACTGCTCTTCCCAGAAATGCATCTAACTCTGCCTGCTAAAGCCTTCTAACACATAAAATCAGGCTTCAGTCAAAGGACATATGCCTTCATTTGATTTTGCAAACTGTGTGTGTGTTTCAGACTTTCAGGAAGATTGTATCCAGGCTGAGATGGACAAGAGGAGGCTCTGGTCTGATCAGGCTGTTACAGCGGGGCATTGGCTACCATCATGGTTTAATGGAGTACAAACAGAGACAAGTTGTTGAGACCCTTTTCAGACTGAAGCACGTCAAGGTAGATGAACTCACTACAAAGCACAGCTTTCACTTTAATTGGGTAGCTGCAGTGGCTACGGGACGGAAGATGCTCTATCTAGCTCTCTCTCAATCCCTGCACCTGGGGAGATGCGCCACCTACATTTATCATATTTCCTTCCATACATTTTACATAGTTAATATGATAATGTGTACCCAATTTGGGATCTTGTCTGCCTTGCCTAATATTATTTTAATAATTAGCATGAGGTAATAAACATGTGTGCAACAGAAAATACACATATTTAATTTACTTAAGCATTATACTGTTAATTTTCTTTCAACATAGACAATCATTTTTTAAAAGATTTATTTATGTATTTGAAAGAGTTACAGAGAGAGAGAGAGAGAGAGAGATCTTCCATCTGCTGGTTCACTCCCCAAGTGGCTGTAATGGCTGGAGTTGGGACGATCTGAAGCCAGGAGCCCGGAGCTTCTTCCAGGTCTCCCACTGTGGTGGGTGCAGGAGCCCAAGTGCTTGGGCCATTTTCTGCTGCTTTCCGAGGCCATAGCAGAGTTGGATTGGAAGTGGAGCAGCCAGGACTTGAACTGGCGCCCATATGGGATGCTAGCACTGCAGGCAGTGGCTTTACCCACTGCACCACAGTATTGGCCCCATCAATCATCATTTTAATTATTTATTTAGAATTGATTGATTCTGCTAAGTGAAAGAAATGTCTCAGAAGGAAAAGGTAGCAGGCTCTGGAAATACATAGCCAAATTTCTTTCCAGGATGACTCTTTTTAACTTCATTTAGATTTTGAGTATTAGGGTTAAAAACTGAAGTTGTTATGATGGTACAGAGAATATCTCATGCCACCCAATTTCTCCTTTTATTAACATCTTACACTATTACAACATATTATTGCCACAGATGAATCCATATTGTTACATTTTTATTAAATAAAATCCATTCTTTTTTTGAAGATGTATTTACTTATTTTAAAGACAGTTACACACACACACACACACACACACACACAGGGGGGGGGTGGAATCTTCCCTCTATTGATTCGCTCCCCAAATGACCACAATGGCCACAGTGGGCCAGAATGAAGCCCGGAACCAGGAACTCCATCTGGTCTCCCACATGGGTGTCAAGGGCCCAAGTACTTGGCCATTTTCCACTGTTTTCCCAGGCACTTTAGCAGGGGGCTGGGTAGGCAATGAAACAGCCAGAGCTCAAACTTGCTCTCCTATGGGATGCAGGCACCTCAGGTGGCAGCTTAACCTGCTGAGCTACAGTCCCAGCCCCGAAAGTCCATTCTTTGTTCAGATAGCCCAATCATTCCCCAGTGATCCAGAAAGATAACTGTATAAACTGCAGTGTGAAAATTAAGAGTAAATTAACGGGGTAAAGGAGAACTAATAATGGAAATAAGAAAGTTTATTTATTTATTTTTAAAGAATTATTTATTCATTTGAAAGTCGGGGTTACACAGAGAGAGAAGGAGAGGCAGAGAGAGAGAGGTCTTCCATCTGCTGGTTCACTCCCCAGTTGGCCGCACTGGCTGGAGCTTCGCTTATTGAAGCCAGGAGCCAGGAGCTTCTTCCTGGTCTCTCACGTGGGTGCAGGGGCCCAAGTGCTTGGGCCATCTTGTACTGCTTTCCCAGGCCATAGCAGAGAGCTGGATTGGAAGAGGAGCAGCCGGGACTCGAACCGGCGCCCATATGGGGTGCCAGCACTGCAGGCGGCAGCTTTATCCGCTATGCCACAGCGCCAGCCCCAGAAAATTTATTTATTTGCTAGGTAAATAAAATGCTGTATAGACAAACTTCTGTGATGCAGCTAAGCTAGTAGTTGGAGGAAAATGTATAACCTAACTATGTTTATTTTCAAGAGAAGAAAAGGCTACATGAGAAACAAAAATGTATCTGAGCAACCTTAGGTAGGTTTGAGATAAGACAGTTTCCAGCAGTAGATTGACCTTTCTCTAAGAAATGTGAACCCCTCGGTATCTGCAGGGGACTGATTCTAGGACTTGCACAGATACCAAAATCCATCAGTGCTCTAGTCTTTTATATAAGACAGCATAGCTTTGGCATAGAACCAATGCATATCCTCTGTGTCTCTAGGTTACTTACATTACTTAGTGCAGTGTATTGTATGTAAGTAGTTGCTACAGTATATTATTTAGAAAATAATGACAGGAAAAAAAAAGACTGTAAGTGTTCAGTACACTTTTTTGTCCAAATATTTCCAGTCTTTGGTTGGTTGAATTCACAGATACAGAACTCAGGGACATGGAACCCAGTGCTTTTTCCTTCCACATTAAAACAGCCAGAATACGTCAGCAAGTGCTTATCAACTCTCTCTCTCTCTCTCACACACACACATGCACGCACACACACACGTGCACACACATGCATGTACAGCCCACATCTCTCCACTAGGAATATTTCCTGTTCAATTATGTCATAATATGTTGTCTAGAATAATCTAAAAGCATTCTGTCAGACTTCTACTTTTGGTAATCACCTCCTACAATTATTTCCTCCCAGAGCTGCCAAATCGATCTTGTAAATATTAATTATATCATATTACCTTTCTTTCTTTTTACAATCTACGTCTTAGAATGGTTTTGTCATGCTTATTATGACTTGCTTCCTGCTTAGTCTGACTTTGTATCATTTACTATTTTCTGTTCTTGGAAATCTTTTAACGTGAAAATAAACTCCTTGTATAACATATTGCTCTTATTCATGCCAAACACACACAGACAGTAACACTGAAGGCTTACTGAATGGCTTTGATTTTGTATCATTTTGTTACCTGGAAAATGCTGTATAATTGTAATGTTCAGCAAGAATATGAGAATGAATGAACATCCAAGTGGGATGTAGAGCTGTCTATTCCAAAAGCAAGCATAGAGTTTGATGTTTTGCAATACTGTCTTAACACTGCACTTTTACTCAAGAAAAATAATGTAAGGGGATTTAATTTGGTCAATACTTACTACGTATGCATCTGTGTATGCTACATGAAATATGTTTTCCCAATTTTTTATTTTTTTGCTTTCCATCATAGGTAGTGACAGCTACATCATCCCTTGCTTTGGGAATTAATATGCCCTGTAAAACCGTTGTTTTTACAGAAGACTCTGTTTATTTGGATGCTCTGAACTTTCGACAGGTATTTATAATACATGACTTCTGTTACGGTTCTATATACAGGTATCTGAAATGCTCATTCAGTAGGCCAGGAAAAGCCATTTGTTCTGAAATATTTGGTGGCCATAAAAATATTTGAAACTGAGTTTTTATATATGTATATTAATGAATATGATTACACTTAAAAAACTTGTAAAATATATTGTCAGTAGCTTAGTTTTCCTGAAGATATTCTCAATTTGATAAATATTCTTGAACATAAACAAAAATAATATTGGAGGGAAGTAACTACATCTTTGAGCACCCAATTCATGCCAACCACCAATAATTATATGTTAAGTGTCTATAAGGTTTTGATTTTAGGCTCGTTTCTGGAACTACGTTGGTAAATCAGAAATTGTGCCTGCTTTAAAGGCCATGATTTTAATTTAATTTTATAGGCAGAGAGAGAGAAACGAGAGAGGAAGGAAAAAAGAGACAAAGAGGTTTCCTACCCACTGGTTCATTCCTCAGACACCTACGGTGGCTAGGGTTAGGCCAGGCTGAAGTCAGGAGTCAGTAACTCAGTCCGGATTTCCAGTGTGAGTGATAGGAACCTGACTACTTGAGCTGCCACCTGCTGCCTTCCAGGAAGCTGGGAAGGGGACCAGAGCTGGTGTTTGAACCCAGGCGTTCCAATCTAGGTGTCAGGCATCCCAAGCATCCTACACCAAATGCCTTCCCTAAGGTCATGATCTTTATTTGTTTATTTAAAGATTTATTTACTTATTTGAAAGACAGAGTTATAGACAGAGAGAGGTGGGGGGGGGTCTTTCATCGTTTGGTTCACTCCCCAAATGGACCCAAAGGCTGGAGCTAGGCCAATCTGAAGCCAGGCGCTAGGAGCTTCTTCCACATTTCCAACATGGGTGCAGGGACCCCAGCACTTGAGCCATCTTCCAGTGCCTTCTCAGGCCATGAGCAGGGAGCTGGATCTGAAGGGAAGCAGCCGGGACTCCAAGTGGTGCCCATATGGGATGCTGGCACTGCAGGTGGCCCAACCTAGTTAAACCACAGCACCGACCCCAGATCATGATCTCTAAACACAGGAGCTGGTACTCCATTTATTTTTTTAAAAAAGAGGCAATACTGTCTTAACACTGGACTTTAAAATGTATCTATAAAAATATATCTATAAAATAAAATAATTCTGCAAGATTTGACAACATCAATATACCAAGAAACAAAAAACTCATTGAAGATTTATTTTCAAATGTTTAATGTTCCACATGGTATAGGTAAGTGAGACATTATTTACAGTGCCAGGATTTGAACTTGCATAAGTTTTGTGGTCATCTCTTTAGATGTCTGGGCGTGCAGGAAGGCGTGGAGAAGATCTTATAGGAAGTGTGATCTTCTATGATATTCCATTACCCAAGATAGACCGGCTCTTGAAGTCTGATGTGCCCAAGCTGAAGGGTCAGTTTCCCCTAAACATCACCTTGGTTCTCAGACTCATGCTGTTGGTTGCCAAAGCAGATGACAAAGAGGATGCCAAAGCAAAGGTACAGTCTCTACCCTCTCTAACAGACATAATCATCTTAGCTCAAGTCTAAAGTAAGCCTCGCCTGTTAGGTATCTTGGAGGGAATAAAATCACAATGTGCAGTTCGCAAACTCTTAGCAACATTTGATTCTTGTCTTAGTGCCTTTCCTTCACACAAGAACATGGTGGTAACTTCTGTACACGTGACAAATTAAGTCCATGATTATAAATACACTCTGCATATATGAGAAATTTTTTTCAATAAATATATCTAGCCTAGAACATTTAAAAGTAAATTTTCAAAGAATTAATGGTTGAAAATGTACTAAATACTGGAATGTTCCTAACTCTTACTTTTATATATTCATAAGTTTACATTTATTTCTCAGTGGTTATGAGTGAAGTTGTCATTGTTCATCTCTCCCAGTAAATTTTTCATCCTATTATGTTTTATTCATACATAGAGAATGTAAAACTTATGGCATATCTGTAATAATTATTTAGAGTATATAATATAACAAAGTCATTAGTGATATCTCAAACTTTATAGCTAGCCTGTCTAACTTTGGTGTTTTGACATGTGTGCATAGGCATTGTCGCTGCTCCAGTATTCCTTGATGTCCTTCAAGCGACCAAAGGTCAAGTGCATGTTAAAATTTTACTTCATATATTCTTTGCAATTCTTGATCAGAGAGGTAAGATTTAAACCTGTTTTCACTAAAGTGTTCGTACATGTATTTAACTTTACTACTGAAATCTCCTTACTTGATGACTTACCTGTTGGGTATTTCTGAGATCTAGGGACTGAGGCTAAATTGTTAAATTGATTCACAGGGATACCTGAATCAAGAATGTGTTCCCGTTGGATATGCTGGCCTTGTGTCCCACCTGCACTACCACGAACCTTCAAACTTTGCTTTAGTAAGCATGCTGGTGAAAGGTCTGTTTCACAAGCTGTGTGTTCCAGTCATCGTAGATGGTGAGCAGCTATCCTTTTCCCAACTCCTACCCCTTACACTGTACATGTACACACAGTGACATCCCATACGACTGCTTCACATATACCTGCACGTTCCCCAGAACTACATTTGCTTTTGATGGTGTGCCATCTTTAAAAGATTGAGAGGGAGGGAGGGACAGGGGGAAGAAGGGGGAGAGACAGGGAAGGAGGGAAGAAGGGAAAGATGGGGAGAGAGGGGGGGAGGAGGGAAAAGAGAGAGAGAGGATGAATGAATGAATGAATGAGCGAGTAGACCAAGAGAAATCTTCCACTGATTTGCTTTCCGATGTCCACAGTAGCTGGTCCTGGGCCAGGTCAAAGTTGGGAGCTGGAAACTCAATCCATGTCTCTCATGTGGGTGGGAAGAACCCAGTCAATCACTTGCGCCATCATCCTGCATTAGCAGGAAGTAAGAGCTGGATCTGAATTTTAAACCTGGGTACCCCATATGAGATGTGGGCATCTTAACTGCTAGCTAAGCATGCATCTTGGTAGGCCATTTTCTGATTGCCCATTCTCCTAATGTATCTTGAAGGTTTTTCTTGTCATTTTACAAAATTAAATATGTTTATAAAATATTATTAGCATCTGAATTTTGTATGTATAATCATAATATAAATATGATTCTTAATGATTATTTAATATACTTTTAAATTTTAAGAAATTATAACCTTTAGCTTTGTTAAAGACAATAAGCATTATTCTACTGAAAAATTTTTGGAAGTTATTTACATAAAACATTGTCATCTGTAATGATTTCCTTTACTATAATTTTAAATTAGTTTTTCCCTTTTCTATAACTGAAACACAATGCTGTAAGGTAAAGAGGGAAATAGAACGGTGTGATCCAAACACAAATGCAGGCAGCTAAGGCTAGAATATACAGTTAGTGACCCATTGTTCTATTTTATTTTTGGAAACATCAACTTTTATCAAAATAGTACAGAAATAATTAAGATGATATGGTAGTATATATCTTTTTAAAAATATTTATTTATTTATTTGAAAGTCAGAGTAACACAGAGAGAGGAGAGGCAAAGAGAGAGAGAGAGAGGTCTTCCATCTGCTGGTTCACTCCCCAATTGGCTGCAATGGCCAGAGCTGGGACGATCTGAAGCCAGGAGCCAGGAGCTTCTTCCAGTTCTCCCACATGGGTGCAGGGGCCGAAGGACCTGGGTCATCTTCTACTGCTTTCCCAGGCCATAACAGAGAGCTGGATCAGAAGTGGAGCAGCCAGGACTCGAACCGGTGCCCATATGGGATGCCAGCACTGCAGGCCAGGTGTTAACCCACTATGCCACAGTGCTGGCCCATGATATCTTAACACTAATAATAAATCAAATCATAAAGCCTTTGATCCATGTGAACCTGTTTTTTTTTTTTTTTTTCAAGAAAGAGTCATGAATTTTACTTATGATATAAATATTGCGTAGAGGGTCTCAGAATTCTAAAGCAATTTGAAAGCTGGGCACAATTTTCACATGATGCTAACAATGTATAGAAATCAAGTTCGAGCTGGCGCCACGGCTCACTAGGCTAATCCTCCACCTAGCGGCGCCGGCACACCGGGTTCTAGTCCCGGTCGGGGCGCCGGATTCTGTCCCAGTTGCCCCTCTTCCAGGCCAGCTCTCTGCTGTGGCCAGGGAGTGCAGTGGAGGATGGCCCAAGTGCTTGGGCCCTGCACCCCATGGGAGACCAGGATAAGTACCTGGCTCCTGCCATCGGATCAGCGCGGTGCGCCGGCCGCAGCACGCCGGCCGCAGCGGCCATTGGAGGGTGAACCAACGGCAAAGGAAGACCTTTCTCTCTGTCTCTCTCTCTCACTGTCCACTCTGTCTGTCAAAAAAAACAAAAACAAAAACAAAAACAAAAACAAAAAGAAATCAAGTTTGAAAGCCTCACTCTGCACGGCATTTCTCTGATACTGCAGGTAGTTGTAGCCTGTTTCCTAGTCTCTCATGAGTGCCTGTCATTCAGCTCCTTCATCCATCATGCTCCCAGTGGTCTGGACCCTGGCCCTCTGCAAAATGCTGGAGCAGATCAAATATCGGGAATTTCACATAGGCTTTCCCTCTAGGAGATTTAGTCCCTAGTGTATTGCGAGGGCTTTGGCATAAGAAAATATGGGGAATAAATATTCCAGGGAAAAAGCAATATTGGCAGCAAAGGCCTGTCAAGAGGAGCAGGTGCGAGTTCTTTCTGTAACGTGCACCAAAGAGAGAGTGGGCGCAGATTCACATCACACAGGGCCTGGAAGGGCAGACGAGGAGTTTAGCAAGCAGCTTCGGGCCTTTGTTCCTTGGCAGGGGTTGCACCAAGGTAGAAAAAAATGAGTAGAATGGAGACAGAGGAGCAAAGGGCAGACTTGGAGCCAGTGAGGGAATCCCCAAGCAGTTACAGAGTAGGGGCAACCATCGCTCATTGACCACCAGGCTTCTGCAGGTAAGAGTGGGTAGGAGGATGCAAAGCGTTTTGTAGCAAGATGCCATCAGTTAGCCTGCAATATTGTGAAATGCTGGTGTAGTTTGTTAAAAAGTCACCAAATTCATAGGAAGTAAGTTTTCAGCTGTGTCTTACACATTACATTTGTTCTCCAAGGTTTTGAAAAATTTAACTTTTTTTTTTTAATAACAAAATACAGGCAAAAAGACATTTTCTGAAGATGTGATGGAAACCTTGGTGGTGGTTTTAGCGCATCTTTTTGGAAAGAGATACCTTCCTCCCTGTGCGAAAAAGTTTAAGAAGGTGTTTTCTCATTCAATGGTAAGAAAATAAAATACTGCAATACTCGTACTTTGATGTAACCTCTTTCTGCTTTAATAATAATGAAGTGCAACAGCATTTTCCCAGTAACAAGATTTTGCCATCATTCACTCGAGTTACTTCTTCATGCTCCAGTTAGTCTTTGGGATGCATGAGTGCAGATTTGTATATGAATGCTTTGTTTTTTACTAATATGCGTTCTCCATGAACTTTTTGAAGATCCCTTGTATGAATAGATGTCAGTTTGTTTTGCAGTCAAACTTACCTTTTAATTACAGTTTCCATGAACTTTCTGAAGTGTCATAGTGTAGTAATTGCAGATGAATGGAACTTATTCCTAACAGAGATGAATAGCCAGCTAGTCATTTAATATTAATAAAGAAGAAGATAAGAAGATCAATTTAACACCTATCTGGAAATAGTGTTCTGGGAATTCTAATCCTTGCCAAATGGAAAGAAAGGAAAATCGGATGGTTTTCATTCGATGCAAAGGTGGACAAGGTGAACAGCAAAATACTACAGCGTATGATGGAGTAATGTGCTGGGTCACCCGCCCAGCCCTGCCACTGAACTGATGGCACATTTCTGTACCAGACCTGTTTTCTTATCTGAAAACTGGCAATTGGAATAGCACCCACTTTGAAGAGTTGCCATGAGGATTAGATGAGTGAATACCTGCAAAGTGGGGCCAGCATTGTGGCTCAGCAGGTTAAGCCACCACTTGCAATGCAGGAATCCCCTATCAAATGCTGGCTTGAGTCTCAGCTCCTCTGCTTCTGACCCAGCTTCTTGCTAATGTGCCTAGGAAGGCAGTGGAAGGTGACATAAATACTTGGGTCCCTGCAACCTACATGGGAGAGACCACGATGGAGGTCCTGGCTCCTGGTTTTGCCCTGGCCTAGACCTGGCTGTTGTGGCCATTTGGGGAGTGAACCAGCAGATGGAAGATCTCTGTCTGTCTGTCTGTCTGTCTCTCTCTCTGTCTCTTCCCCTTTCTCTGTTGCTCTGCCTTTCAAATCAATCAATCAATCTTTAAAAATACACGCAAAATGCTTAAAACAATGTTTGGCATATAAAAACACTCAGTAATGTTGGCTCTTATTTTTGTAATTGTTATTTACAGATAAAATCTCTGGCTATGTAAAAAGCCAAGAAAATCAACAGAAAAATGTTTATAATTTGCCAAAATAATCTATTGAAATGTATAACTTTCCCTATACTAAAGTTACAAAGAAAACAAAATGTAAAATCTCAGCTGTAATTAAAGGTAGAGAGTAATAAAATGCTTGGCTCATCTGAAAATGTGGCAAAGATCTCAATGAACAGTTACACTGATCTCATAGATCCTTTAACAACATGCTTTAAGGCGGGCATTTGACTGAGTGGTTCAGGCTGCCAGTTAAGACGCCCATGTTTCATGTTGGAATATCTGGGTCAGTGCCTGGTGACAGCTCCAGCTCTCTGTTAATATGCACTTTGGGAGACGGTAGGTGATACTCGAGTACTTTGGTCCCTGCCACCTATGTGGGAGGCCTGGATCACCTTCCTGCTTCCCAGCCCTGATGGTTATTGGCATTTGGGACACAAACCAGCAGATGGGAGCTCTCTGTCTCTCCATTTCTCTGTCTCTCAAATAAATAAATAAAAATTTAAAACATAACAATTGCAAGAGAAAGTGATTATTAAAAAGGAAAACTTTACATACATTTCAAGACTGTTTTGCACCACAATAAGCTTATCTTTTAATTGCATTTTCCCTGAATTCTTTGAAGTTTCTCATAGTTAAAATTGTATGCACTTTCTAGTAAATGTTCCAGAAAAGGGAGGTTGGGTACCTCTTACCAGCTGTGCATTGACTAGAACAAATAGGAAATTTCTGCTGGCCACTATCACTTTAAGTGAGGGTTGCAGGGCTAGAATTACCTAGAAACCCAACCTCAGGCTGCTAGAAGCCTTGTTAGAGTCTGGTCATGTCTCTTAGTGTGGGATTCGGATGGAGCTGTCCTGTGCCCAGAGTTCTGCAGCATTGGGAGAGAGGAGCTGGCAGGCTGCAAATATAAAGAAAAGGTAAGGAGGGGTCGCTGCTGTGGCATAGTGGGTAAACGCTCCGCCGGCAATGCTGGCGTCCCATGTGTGCACTAGTTTGTGTCCCAGCTGCTCCACTACCAATCTAGCTCCCTGCTAAAGGTGTTGGGAAAACAGTGGAAGATTGCCCAAGTGCTTTAGGCCCTGCAACCCACATGGAAGACCTGATGAAGCTCCTGGCTCCTGGCTTTCACCTGGCTCAGCCTTGGCCATTGCAGCCATTTAGGGAGTGAACCAGTGGATGGAGAGAATCTCTCTCTGCCTCTGTATTCTGACTTCCAAATAAAGAAATCTTTTTTTTTTAAAGGTAAGGAAATGGAAAGGCTAATTACCTCATTGATCTGCTTACATGTGATGAAACAGTATACTGTACCCCAGAGAAACGAACAAGTCTTATATGTTCTTCTAAATTTTTTTTTTCTTTAGTATTTGAAGTTCTCAGTAGAAATGCGTGATGACCAAGGATTAGTTTCTTAAAGCTGCTCTAATGAAGTGGTACAAACCAGGTAGCTTACATGGCAGAAATGAATTGTCTCAGCTGGCACCGTGGCTCACTAGGCTAATCTTCCGTCTGCGGCACTGGCACCCCAGGTTCTAGTCCCAGTTGGGGCGCCAGATTCTGTCCTGGTTGCTCCTCTTCCAGTCCAGCTCTCTGCTGTGGCCTGGGAGTGCAGTGGAGGATGGCCCAGGTGCTTGAGCCCTGCACCCGCATGGGAGACCAGGAGAAGCACCTGGCTCCTGGCTTCAGATCATTCAGATCAGCGCAGCACGCTGCTTGGCTTCCCAAATAGCTGCAGCAGCTAGGGCTGCCCCAGGCAAAAGCCAGGAGCCTGGAACTCTATCCAGATCTTGCAGGTGGGTACAGGGGTCCAAGAGACATCTTCCACTGCCTTCCCTGGCACATTAACAGGGGCCTGGATTGGAAGTGGAGCAGCTGGGACATGAGCTGGTGCCCACATGGGATGCCAGCATTGCAGGTGGTGGCTTTATCTGCTTGCAATGCTGACCGCTAAAATTCATCATTTTAAATGAAGTCTGTGACGTGGGAAAATGCACCAAATACAATGCTGAGTATGAACATTCTGTTGTGAAGCTGCATACTGCACCCTAGTTAGAAGGTGATTCTAATCACCAAAATCTTTATAACCTATATCCCTGAATGGTAGGATTACACATTAGTTTTTACTTCAGTTTATGTATTTGTGTGTCCATGAGTAAAAGAGTTTATATTTAGAAGTACATTTCCATCTATATTTTTAAAATATACATTTTAAATATGCATTTATTTCATCTACTTGCAAAGCAGAGAGCAAGTGGAGGGGGGGAAAGAGAGCGAGTGCACACGCGAATGAAAATTCTTCCATTTGCTGGTTCATTCTCCAAATGCCCATAGCAATAGGGGCTGGACCAAGAGCCTCAATCCCAGTCTCTCGCATAGCTGGCAGAGGTCCAAGTACTTGTGCCATCATCGGCTGCCTCCCAGGATGCACTGGCAGGCAGCTGATATGGGATGAGGATATCGCAGGCAGCAGCTTAATCGCTGTCCCTAAGAAGATTTTGGCCCCGTGTCTCCCAGACCTTGGCCATGCTCTGCTCCTGGTTTGAGCAGTCAGGCCCATCTGACTCCTTGTTCACAGGTGTTCCTCCGCCATCTTCCAGAGGACTTCGCTGCTGCAGTGAAGGAGTACAATGCCAGGATTCGGAAGAGCTTTGGTTCCTTCCTCCTGACCGTTTCTAAGCTGGCTGATGGGAGCCAGGAATACCGACTCCCTCTTTCAGAAATAGGTAAGAGGAACAGAAGGCCCATAAAGTAAAACATATCTAACTATGCTGAGATAAAACGGAAGTTTGGAAGATAAAGATGTAACTATTGCAAGAGAATATACAAAAAAAACCCAAACCCCCTAAAAGTCCTTCAGTTTATGCTGTGGAAATTTTACCCTGATAAAAATCTTTTATTGTCTGGAATTAGGTAAGTCACTGTAGATTTCATTTGACACTAAATGCTTAAAATAGTTCTATTTTCTTCTGGCACAATCATGAAGAAGCACCCCCTTGCCTAGTCTGAATTTATTATAGAATATTTCTTTACCTATTGATATTATTTGTCCTTTAGTGGATATTGACACTCTCCACTTAGTTCAACTTTTCAATGTGAATAGCTTTGAAACTATGAGAAGAGGCATGTTGGCATATTTCTTTAGGACCATCAGTGCGTTGTGACTCCCTCAGTACAAAGTGGGCGGTGAGGGAGATAAGGCATCGCCCATCTGATTCAGGAAGGGAGAAAACTGCACGAGAAAGAAAATGACAAAAATATAAAGAAAAATAATGAATCTATGACAAATAAAGGTTCTGGAAGCAGGTCATGCACTCAGTGTCCTTAGCAGGGAGACAGAGAGAGCTAAGAAGATGTGGGAATGTGGCAGGATTCTGTTTTCATCCACTTCCTGTAGAAACAAGGAGAAAACCGTGGTTCTGGTGGGCTGCTTTGACTTCTTCCTATTTCAGGATCCATGATTATATTGGAATATGGAAGGCGTGTGAGGGACAAGGCAAAATGTTGGCCTTTTCAGCCAGGGAATGAGAAGTTCACCAGTCATGAGTCAGTTTCATGGGAAAGAACCCAGTGTCTCCGAGCCATGGCTGTCATCCAGAATTGGAGGGGTGTGGCAGGGCGGTGATCTCCTTTTCCTCTGGGGTGACTTCTGGGGTTGGCAGGGTGAGTCCCTCCCCTGCCTCCATGGATGTCCGGATCCTCATCTGAGGAGCCTGAATGTTTTGTGGCAAAGGGAGGATGAAGCCTGCAGATCGAATCACATCTTCTGATCTGCTGCTCTTGGCTTGGGGAGACACGCAGACTGGGTGGACCTGATCAAGTTGAAGAGGGAGGCAGGAGCATCAGAGTGAGAGGACATGGCATGGGAAGAGTTAACCGACCAGCTGGCTCTGAAGGTGGGAGGAACCAGAGAGGCAGCTTCTAGGAGCCCTCCCAGGACGCCCAGAAAGAACAAGCAGAGAGCCCTGCTTATGACTTGCTTTAGCCCAATGACACCAATTTCCGCCTTCTGACAGATTTGGCTTACGTTATGCCACAAAGGTGGTGTCCGTTTCTTACATCAGCATTAGGAAACTAATAGAACTTCCAAGAAGAGCCATGTGAACAAGAGATGACAAGTAACAGGCAGCATGTTTTTGCTGTTGTTGTTGAGGTGAAATTCATGTGGCATACATTAACTTCTTTAAGATGTACAAGCCAGAGGCATTTGATACAGTCAGATTGTGCAACCCCTCCCTCAGGTTGCTGTGTGTGGCTATGGGATTGGCTTGGTCCAGCTTCTTGCCCCATCACAGGAAGGAATTCAAGGAAGAGACGTAGGTAGAGGCTAACAGACAAGCAAGATTTATTTACGTGAGAAGTGAAAGTATACAGGAAGGAGTGCAGGCAAAGCCAGGAGAGAGAGTTGCAATCAACATGGCTTGGGGGCTGTCTTTTTATACCATTTGGAGGCATAGGGGCTGTGGGCCTTAATCAGACATTCAAATTCGTGGAGTTTGGAGTTTGGAGTGCCACATGCTTCCTTGCCCTTTGCAATCAGAAGTGTCATGCTGTCAGGTGTGTGATGGGAACAGGAGTGTCACCCACGGTAACATTAGTGACCCTGTGTTGAGCTGAAGATCATCATGGGGGCACAGCCTGCAGCCATATTGAGTATTTCTAGCTGGCACTGGTTCTAAGTTGCAGCACTGCAGAACCTGCAGTCCTCTGCTACACAGAAGGGGTGGGGGGCTGTGCATGGAAAGGGGATTTGAGTGGTGTGGGGGCAGGCAGTTTGGTAAGTGTGGGCCAGATCGTCACAAGGGCTGGGGCCGGCAGTTCCTCTCTGCTCTTGCTATCTCCCTGCCTCCGTCAAGATGATCATAAAGGTTAAATGTCAAAGGATTATTCTTTATAGGAAAAATAAATCCAAGTTATACATTTAATTGTGGAGGCTTAAGGGTCAGGCATTAAACCTTGGTATTCATAGTCCCCTCCTAAACTTGGAATCGAATGAGCAATTAATGTGGGAGTCCTAGGGATGAGACTGAGTAAGAGAACATGGTTTTCACGTTCAGTGAAATAAAGCAAAGCCCTGAGTAGAACACTTGCCCGTCCCCCAGGTAGAACTACAGTGCCTGTCTCTTTTAGATGAACGGAAAAGACAGTAGAATCTATCTCCCTAGTGGTCACATGGACCTGAAATACAGAAAGATCAAAGAAAGGCACAGACTGATGGGGGAAGACACAGAGAAGTGTGTGTTAAAAAAGTAAAGAAAAAAGAGACAAAAGCGATGTAGAGACATTCGGAGAGAGAGAGAGATGAGAAACAAACACAGGAAGATTGTCAGACAGATGGAAATGGAGATGTAAATAGATAAATGCATGGATAGAACGACAGAAGGAGAGAGACAGGAACGCAAAGTACAGAGAAAGCTGTGAGGGAAAGAGGAACAGAGGATGGGGTGGGCTTTCGGTGCAGCCGTAAAGTCACTGTTGGGACACCTGATCCCACATCTGAGTGCCTGGTTCAAGTCCCAGCTACTCCACTTCCCATCCAGCTTCCTGCTTAATGCACAAGCTGGAAGGCAACAGATGATGGCTCAAGCACTTGGGTCCCCGCCACCCACGAGGGAGACCTGATGCAGCTCCAGGCTCCTGGCTTTGGCCCCGTGCCAACTGTTACAGGCCTTTGGGGTGTGACTCAGTAGATGGAAGATTCATGTCTGTCTCTCCACCTTTCAAATAAAATAAAAAGAAAGCTTTTAAAAAGAGGAAGAAATGGGGCAAGGAGGAGCAGAAAGACGGAGAGGAAACAGAAGAGAGCGAATCATTCACAGAGGGAGAGCAGGACACATGGGATCCAAGAAATCAGCACACTAGAAGCACGGAAGGAAGACATGGGGACGGTGGAGAGAGAGAGAGAATGATTTGATTGGACGTTGAGTATCTCCCTCTACCAGACCCACTGTTCAGGCCTGCAGTGAGATGGGTGAGCTGCACAGGGACCGGAAGTGTCCCTCCCCACTTTTGCCTCCTGGTGAGGGAAGTGGGACTTCCTTGCCATCTGCGGGTGTATGCACAGTAGAGTTAACACAGGAGAGTAGGCGGTGAAGCCAGCTTTAACTCCATTATGCGAAACTTGGCAGCTGTAACACTCCCCTGCATCTTGAGAGGAATCTGAATATAAAGCTGTTGTAGAGGGCAGGTAGGTGACCCCGGTTTTTGAGCTCAGGTCCTTGGATCCAATAGGGCTCGATGAAGCATCTGCATCCCCCTTAGTAAACAGTGTCCACATAAGTTCGCAGTGGGTGGACGCACGGAGCCACCACGTGGGACCACCGAGTGGTAGAGCCACTAGCAGATGCTAGAATGAGTTTGGTTTAGGGAGAAGAAAGTCTTCACAGTGGTGATCCAGCAATACAATCCCCAGAGTGTTTGCTTAAAAAAAACCTCCAATAAATTTTCTGGGAATAATGGTATAAATGAGTTTGATTAGTTTCAAATGGTTTATGTTTCATAGGAGAATGGTTTTCCATTTGCTTCTTCCTAGACTTTTCGGGTAAAGAGTGTGAAGACTCTGAGCTGGTGTCTCATCTGATGCCCGGGACTGAGAGCAGATCTGCTGTCTCCCCATTTGCTTGCCTGTCCAATATCACGGATCAGGATTTGTTTGGTGTTCACCTGACAAATGACGTAAGTCCGTTTTGTTGTGACAAGTTCTTTCATTCTGTTTATTCATCGATGAGAAATAGCCTTTATCTGATTAGAACACTAGGTCAGTGTCCATGTCTGAATAGTGATGCTTCCCAGTGGCATGGGAAAATACTTCTAAAATAAAAAATACCAGGAAAACAGGGAGGTTTCTCAGTCACCATGGCATTAGTCAGCTTTTCGATACTACAGTGAAATACCAGAGGCAACTCACTCTTTTAAGGAAAAAAGTTTGTTTAGCTCACAGGTTTGGAGGTTCAAGTCTGGGGACCTAGTGCAGACCCTGGTGAGGCTCTGTATTGTGTGTGCAGGAAAGATCATGTGGTGAGCCAGGAAGCAGAGAGCCTGGGCCCGAGCTCAGGTGTTTGGAACAACCCGCATCACCTGAAGGCCTCCCACTCAGCCCCACCTCCTAAAGGTTTCCCCTCCTCCTAATGCCACCACCTTAGGGAACAGGCTTCTACCACGGGGGCCTTTTGGGGACATGCGACATCCAAAGCCATATCCGGACCACAGCAGCTGTATGCACTGCCTCTCATAAGCCCCTGCTACTCCAGGTGTGAGCCAAGGAGACCTGGCTGTCCACGTCACCTGCCAGCAGTGCAGTCTCGGGAGCGTCTCTGGGTGTTACGTCCAGAGTGCACACTGGAGTTAGATCCTGCTGTCAGTCATTCGAGGGCAATGTGTTTTGTTTCTTCTTGTTTTTATTTTTATTTTTTATGTCTGAATGCATAGAGTGGTGTGTTGTACAGCATGGAGATATGAATGATTCAGCATGAGCCAAAGAGGTCACTGTGGCATAGTCAGACTCCCAGTCCTGACTGTCCCTGGACAGTTTATTCAGGTAGCAAGTTGAGAGGAAATGAGCCCTGATGACTGGGACTGTGTCACTTGCCACGATCTGGTCATTGTGTCCTGGAAAGCAGTATAAGAACAGATATTGTGGAGTGTGGGGAAGAACAACACTCTCACTGTGTATTGTTGCCAAGATAAAGCTTGGACATTCAGAAATATTTTCTTCAGGGAGAATTAATCTAAGAAATATTCGTAATATGTTTCTGAAGTTGTAAAAGTGGCCGTGTAAATTCTTTTACTTATTGAAAGGCAAAGTTACAGAAAGAGAGAGAGAGAGAGAGAGAGAGAGATCTCCCATTTGCTGATTACTCCCCAAGTGGCTGAAATGGCTGGGGCTGGGGCTGGGCCAGGCCAAAGCCAGGAGCCCAGAGCCTTTCCCAGGTCTCCCACGTGTGTGCAGGGGCGCAAGTACTTGGGCCATCCTCCACCACCCTCCCAGGCGCTCTAGCAGGGAGCTGGTTTGGAAGCAGAGCAGCTGGACCGCGAACAGGTGCGCGTATTGGATGCAGGCACTGAAGGCAGTGGCCCAACCTGCTACACCACAACAAAGGCCTGACCATGTAAAATTAATTCTAAATAAATTGGAGTCATCATTTCCATGCTTTCAAAAACAGTTTTGATATTTTATCTGTTCAGTCATATTATAGTTTTGGGAAACTTGGTACACTGTTTACTGTCTGATACTAGTACTAAACATGTATTGAGTTATTGTTTTATTTTAAATGATTTATTTATTTATCTGTGAGGCAGAGTGACAGTGGGGTGGGGTGAGAGATGCTGGCTCATTCTCCAAAAGGCCATAGAAGCTGGGGATGGGCCAGTCAATAGCCAGGAGCCAGGAGCTTCTTCTGGGTCTCCCATGTGGGTGCAGGGGCCCAAGCTCCTGGGCCATTCTCCACTGCTTTCCCAGGCACATCAGCAGGGATCTGGATGGGAAGAAGAGCAGGTGGTCTAGAAAAAGCACTTCAATGTGGTGAGCCTTTATTGCAGGTGAGACTTAACCTGCTGTACAACGCTGCCTCCTGGGTTACTGCTTTAACTAGCTACCGACAATGAACCGTGGTGACCAGATTTTATAATAAAGGTCACTTTAAGAGAAAAATGTGAGTAACCTGAGGCCTCTGTGTACCCTCAGGCTATCTTACGAACACTCAGTGTGGATGTCAGCAATGTTCCTCTCCTTTGCTTGTACAAACGGGATCAAAGTGGCCGGAAGTATTTTTTGAATGCCTATGCACTGGACTTCTACAAGCATGGTTCCTTGTTCTCACTGGCTTCAGACAACTGGTATGACTGCTCCTACTTTAACATGCTCCAGATACATCTGTGTGTTTGTGTAATGGAGGTTAAGGGGGCTGATGCATTGCTATGGTTTCTGTGGCATTAATTTTAAGATGCAGTGTTTAAGAAGGGTAATTAAGAGGCAGTTTGTTTTGAACAATTACAAGGTTTTTTTTTCCTAGAGATGAAGTCTACATGATATAAAATTAACCACTTTTAAGTGAGTAGTACAGTGGCTTTAGGTATATTTGCAGCATTGTGCATGCACTGCTGCTATCTAGTGACAAAACATGTTCATACCCCAAGGGTAAGTCCCTGACCTTCAAGGAATAGTTCCTGTCCTCTCTCTGACACTGCCAGTCTGCCCTCTGGCTCCGTGGGTTTGCCTTGGTCTGGGTGTTTACTATGAAGGGAATCACGTGGCTGTGTAACCTTGCGTGTCTGGCTTCTTTCGCTGTAATACTCCAGTGTCCATGCTGGTGCAGGTTTCAGTACTTTGGTCCGTTGTAGGAGGGGTCTTCCAAATGTTCTTGGCAGATGCATATTATGAAAAGAATGCCTGCCTGGATTTCAAAATATTTTTTGAATGAAAGTAAACGTTTTGTTTTATTTCATTTTTTTCCCCAAACACTTTATATTTGTCTTTTATTTGAGAGGCAGAGAGAAGAGACAGAGAGGGATCTTTCATTCACTGATTTACTTCTCAAATGCCAAATATGGCCGTGGCTGGGATCTTAGTCCAGGTCTCTCATGTGGGTGACAGGGACCCAATAACTTGAGCCATTACTGGTGCCTCCCAGGGTACACGTTAGCAGGCAACAGGAATCAGGAATCAGCCAGAACTCAAACCCAGGCACACTGAGATGGGATAAGACCATCCCAAGCAGCATTTTCAATGCTGCGCCAAATGCGTATCACTGTGTTTTATTTTTGCAGACTTCTTGAAGTGTCCTCGTGTGTACATACACAGTTCTTTTATGTAGTTGAACATTTGGGTTGTTTCCACCTTTGGCAGTTGTGAGCACTGGTGCTATGAACATGCATGCACACGCGTTGCTTTGCATTCCTGTTCTCAATTCTTTTGGATCTGTATGTAGGGATAGAATTGCTGAGTCATATGTTAACTCAATGTGTACCATTTTGAGAGACTGAAAATTGTTTTCCACAAAAGTAAACCAGGTTCCATGAAAGTAAACATTGCCCCAGCAATGTACAAGGATTTAAATTTCTCCACCATCTACCATGCTTGTTATTTCATTTTTCCCCTTTATTATAACCATGGTGGTAGGTATCAAGGGGTATCTCATGGTTCTGATCTAAATTTTTCTAAATACTAACAATGCTGAGCATGTGTTCATACACTTGCATGTCATTTGCACCATGGTGTTAAAATTATCCCCTGTGTTAACCTTCTCCAGAGAAAGAGTATCTGTCTAGCAAGTCCCTTTGTATCTATCATCCATCTATCATTTAATTTTTTATTTAAGGAGTTGGCTCAAATGATTATGGAGACTACGAAGACCCAGCCAGAGACCCAGGGAAGTCAGTGCTGTAAATTCTAGCTTGAGTCCCAAAGCCTGAGAACCATGAACTCCTGATAGTTCAGGTTCGAGTTCAAGAGTGGATCAGCGTCTCAGGCAGTCAGGCCGAGAGAGAACGCATTCTGCCTTCCTCTGCCTTTTGTCTGTTGAGACGTTGTCATGGAGTATTGAAAACCGATGAGGAATTGCTGGAAGAAAGTTTATTTGAGAATAAAGAGTATACTAAAGCAGTGTGTGTTGGGGGAATTAAAAAACTACGACGACCATGGTGACAAGGTCAACAACATGTACATGCCTAAGGCAGAAGGTTCGCTCAGGGAAAGCGTGAGATGAGCCTACGCTTTCACCTCTCGCAGGTCTCTAGGAACAGTGCAAGAAGGGAGTGAATTTAAGACAAAGATCAAAAACGGAACCAGACAGACGGCAGCAGGTTGTTAGATTGCCTTGCCGTGTTCTCAAGGAGTGCCTGCTGCTTCTCTCTCTCTGAGTGCCGACGCAGGCTCCGCAAGGGCAAGTGCCTCACCCCTCCTTCAGGCGGCCCCTGGACAGCTCAGAACTGACAGGGCGGCTCCGCTCCCCCTGCAACCAGGGAACAAGGGCCCCCGCAGCGAGCATGGGCTGCTGTCTTCAACAGTGCCCCTGAGCTCAAGGGGAGGATGGAGGAGGGGGAGTAAAGATGTCACAGTTTTCCCGCCTTTTTCTTGATTCAGAGTTAAGCCTTTGTTTCCCAGAGTCTGATAAAGCTGACTGATAGTTTTTGCCTGCTCTCTCTCTATTTTATGCTTTTACTAGGGGATGTGTCCTTACAGCAGCCCACTCTGTCTCTCACTGACTCTCCTGTACTGGACACTGTAATATTAATTCTGGTAATATCAATGCGCTAATATACAAGAGCATGGAAAGTTGTGTCTTTTTTTTAGCCAAATGATGAGCCTGTTTACCAGGCTACCTGGAGCTGAACGCAGAAGCAAAGCACTGGCCCTGCCGAGGGCAAGCCAGAGACTGCGCGCTCCCAGAGCTGCGTTGACAGTGTCTCTGGACAGGCCGACAGTGCAGCATCCATGGATTACTCCCCCTGCTTCGGGGGGGCACACCAGAACCCACTTCATTCCCTCACATGTCATTTTACTCTTGTTTATCTGTAGGTTGAACATGGGCGATGCTTTTCACTTAATCAGAGACTTCATACTGACCATTCAGTCCATCAGGTACCGTACACTTCTCGGTGTTGGAAGCCCATAGAACCAGTTAAACATCTCTAGGCACACATCACAGTGCTAATAAACACTGTATGTTTTTATACAGAATTTCACTAAGTGAGCTGTGCGGTGATGAGAATGACAATGTTGTGTTAGCGTTTCAACAACTGAGTGATGCCTTCAGTAAGAAACTTTGGAAACGAAGATGACGCTGTCTGTGTTAAACCGGGCCCTAGGAACTTCCTGGAAGATGAAGACGGCTAAGAGCTCCCTGTGCCTTAGCGCTTCAGGAAAGAGGCTTGCAAATGGCTGTGCAGGAACCACCCTTTCCCATAAGACTCTGATAAGACACCCAGCATTCCCTCGCTTCCCTGTGCCAATGCTTGATTCTCCCTCCAAATTCCCATTCATGTCTCCCAAAAAAGCCAGCTGATGTGTTTTCTTCCCTAAGCAATCTGGACGTAATAGCAGTTACCTTGACCTGCTCCTGCTTGACCTTGACCTGCTCCAACTTTACTCAGGATTCTTCCCTCCTCACAGGGGTCCTGAACGTGGCCCACCCTCAGACTAAGCCCCGCTGAGTGGCCTCTCCTTAAACAGCTCCCCAGTGACACCTCAGATGATTGTCCCCGAGCGGCTGTGCTTGCACACATCAGCTTGACTGGCAGTGTCAGTCCAGGATGTTCCCCGAGCCACTGTTCACCTCACTCTCCCACAGCTGATTCTAGAAGTAAAATAAGTTGCCTAGCTAAAGTATAGGTTGCGTAATTATTGAAAGACATCATAGCAAAGAAACCCTTGTTTTAATACCTGAATTCTCAACAGAAACTAACATTTTCCTTCTATGAGCATTTTAGCATGCAAAGGTAATATATGCTAAATAGCTCAAACAGTTGCTATTTTCAAATTATTTTAATTGTACTTACTTGTGGGCTGCAGTGTGATAATTTGATAGATGTATGCAATGACTTGAAATGTTCAGATCATGAGAATTTAAAACTAGAAGTCAAGCTCGATTTAAAATTATGTGATAACAGCCCTTAGAAGGGAGTTGGAATCTTGACATTGACTTCAGAAGTCTAATTATTGCTGAGAGTTCATGTTGTCCCCAAGTCCTGTAATGTGAGTGCTCCATTTCATTCCTCCTATCAGACACTTAGGCTCTGGGTACGTTCCCCCATCCCCCCCGAGACCAGCAGGAGCAAGCACACAGGGACTAGACCATATGCTGTTGAAAAAGTCCCATGTGGGATAAGCACAGTAGAACCCTCACCAGGCCATCCGGCTGGATCGCCTTGCTCAGCCTCACCCACCACCGCTCCCGACCACCCTGGTGTGTTGTCTGCTCTGGCTGAGCCCGGGAGTCTTCTGAGCTAAACTCACCTGTCCCTGCCTCTGCTTTCCTTCGTGGCTGGATTGTGGCATCAGTTTGTGTTCTCTCCCAAATCTGAGCTGAGTGTGTTGCTGACCTGCTGAATTGTGGGAGACAGAGGGAATCGGGCTTTACTGATGGCACAAAGCATTTGAGAGTCTTTGATGCCGATCTGAAGAAGTGAAGACAAAAACGTGGAGCGATGAATTTCCTCACATTGCTTGGGCAACTGATTGGCATTATGCTTGGTTGTTAAGATGCCTGGCGTTGTGGCATAGCAGGTAAAGCTGCTGCCTGCAGTGCCAGCACCCCATATGGATGCTGGTTCAAGTCCTGGCTGCTCCACTTCCAATCCAGCTCTCTGCTATGGCCTGGGAAAGCCGTAGAAGATAGCCCAGGTCCTTGGATGCCTGTACCTGCGTGGGAAACCTGGAAGAAAATCCTGGCTCCTGGCTTCGGATCAGCACAGCTCTGGCCATTGTGGCCAATTGGGGAGTGACCCAGTGGATGGAAGACCTCTCTCTCTCTCTTTGCCTCTCCTCTCTCTGTGTAACTCTGACTTCCAAATAAATAAATACATCTTTAAAAAAAAGCCTGTGTCCCACCTAGTAGTGCTTTTGTTCAGTGCCTGGCTCTGGCTCCTGATTCCAGCTTCCTGCTAATGTGGACCCCTGGTGGTGGGGGTGTGGGTGGTTGGTGATTGCTTAGGTAGTTAGATCTCTGCCATTCACATGGAGAACCAACTTTGGTTCCTGTCTCTTGGTTTTTGTCACAGATGGGAGGTCTCAGCCTGTCAGTTTCTCTGCTTCTCAAAATAAAAATTAGCAGGAGATAAGTTGCCTTTAACAGAGTGTTGTCAAATATGCATATCTTATTAGGATATCCAAGTCTCTTGTGAACTTGATATGCATATGTCTGGCTGCATTTTGCTGCTTTATATGCATTTTATTTTATTTATGTATTTTTTTATTTAGTAAATATAAATTTCCAAAGTACAGTTTATGGATTGCATTGGCTCCCCCCCATAATTTCCCTCCCACTCGCACCCCTCCCATCTTCTGCTCCCTCTCCCATTCCATTCCCATCAAGATTCATTTTCAATTATCTTTATATACAGAAGATCAATTCAGTATATACAGTATATATTAAGTAAAGATTTCATCAGTTTGCACCCACACAGAGACACAAAGTGTAAAAATACTATTTCAGTACTAGTTATAGCATTACTTCACATTGGACAACACATTAAGGACAGATCCCACATGAGAATTAAGTACACAGTGACTCCTGTTGTTGACTTAACAATTTGACACTCTTGTTTATGGCATCAGTAATCTCCCTAGGCCCTAGTCATGAGTTGTCAAGGCTATGGAAGCCTTTTGGGTTCGCCGACTTTGATCTTATTCTGACAGGGTCATAGTCAAAGTGGAAGTTCTCTCCTCCCTTCAGAGAAAGGTACCTCCTTCTTTAAGGCCCTGTTCTTTCCAACTGGGATCTCACTCGCAGATCTCACTTGCAGAGATCTTTCATTTAGTGTGTTTGTTTGTTGTTGTTGTTTTTTTTGTTTGTTTGTTTGTTTGTTTTTTTTTTTGCCAGAGTGTCTTGGCTTTCCATGCCTAAAATACTCTCATGGGCTCTTCAGCCAGATCTGAATGTCTTAAGGGATGATTCTGAGGCCAGAGTGCTATTTAGGACATCTGCCATTCTATGAGTCTGCTGTGTATCCCGCTTCCCATGTTGGATTGTTCTCTCCCTTTTTGATTCTATCAGCTAGTATTAGCAGACACTAGTCTTGTTTGTGTGATCCCTTTGACTCTAAGTCCTATCAGTGTGATCAATTGTGAACTGAAATTGATCACTTGGACTAGTGAGATGGCATTGGTACATGCCACCTTGATGGGATTGTATTGGAATCCCCTGGCACATTTCTAACTCCACCATTTGGGGCAAGTCTGATTGAGCATGTCCCAAATTGTACGTATCCTCCCTCTCTTATTGCCACTCTTATATTTAACAGGGATCACTTTTCAGTTAAATTTAAACACCTAAGAATAATTGTGTGTTAATTACAGAGTTCAAACAATAGTACTAGAACAAAAAAATACTAAAATGGTTATGGGACATGTACTCTATAGAATACTATACAGCAGTCAAAAACAATGAAACCCGGTCATTTGCAACAAGATAGAGGAATCTGGAAAACATTACGCTGAGTGAATTAAGCCAGTCCCAAAGGGACAAATATCATATGTTCTCCCTGATTGGCGACAACTAACTGAGCATTTTATTTTAAAGACTGCCATAGGAGTTCACTTGAACTTTATTGTATTTTTACAGAAGTTTGAAAATTCCTCTAAATAGGATGATCACACAATGCATTTTCCTTGCTGTCCCAAAATACACTAAGGAAAGTCTTGAGTAGATTCCCTGTCGGGTACAGATAATTCTCATTTAAATAAAACCTATTCTGGGGCCGGCACAGTGGATTAAGCTGCCACCTGTGACATTAGTATCCCATAAGAACACCCAGCTGCTCTACCTCTGATCCAGTTCCCTGCCAGTGTACCTGGGAAAGCAGACAAAGATGGTTCAAGTGCTTGGGTCCTTGTACCCACATGGAGGACTTGGATGGAGTTCTAGGTTCCTGGCTGCTTGTGGCCATTTGGGTAGTGAACCACAGATGGAGGATCTCTCTCTTTCATTCTCTATCTCTCCCTCTCTGTTAACTCTGCCTTTCAAATGATTAAGTCTTGAAGAAAAACCAAAACACCGTATTCCATGGCAATATTGTTATTATTCCATCATATACAAATTAATTCTTTGATGATCAAATAACAGGTGCAAATCCTTGATCACAGATTTTCATTCATAGATTTTGGAATAATTTTACAGACAGAAGAGAAAATTTGATCTTGTAGTTTGGTGGTGGTGTGAGTGACAACGCATGTGTCACACTCTGTGCTCTGATGTGTCTGTGAAGAGTGCCCGGCGCTCCCCATCCTCCCCTCTGTGTCAGCAGTCCTCCATGTCACCAGCACAGATGGCCAGCAGTGCCTTCTTATAGTGCCCTGAAGCAAAGTGCTGAAAAGGAAAGAAAAAAAATACAACGTATATGAAATAAAATTGTCGGAGAAACACAGTGTTTCTGAAGTGCAAAATTAGCCTTCCCAAAATTATTCACTTTTTTTTTTTTAATTTTTTTATTCAGTCATGAAGTCCCTGGAATCATAGTAGGGCTTGATACCATACTGGTGTCACACTCTGCCAGTCATCCAGAGAGTATGGCAGCCTTCTTTTTCAACTTCTTTGTCTACTAGTGCATCACTGGACCCAGCAGGCAGCTCACTCAGATAATTTCAGTAATGGATTTTGGCTCTCTGTGCATAATAGATGACAATCCTTATGAAGTATCCAGTTTGTCTTATAGCTGAGAGATTTGAACCTGCTGCAGATGTCACATCTAAATTCTTGAACGGATTTTTATCATCAGTGTCACCTCCTCCTCCTCCTCCTCTTCCTTGTCTCTCCCACTTTTTTTTAATCTAAAGATTTAATGTTTCTGAGAATGGTTCCCAGTGAAACCGCTGAAACATAATGCTGTGGGGATAGTCAGCAGTGTGTGGGTGAAAGCGCGTTGATTGACGTCTGCTTAGCACAACAGTGACTTGCAGTAGAATTCAATCTCCTCAGCTGTAGAAAGAGCTGTCTTACATTATTATTGGTATAAATCAGGGCGGAGCCTGGGGAAAAATTGTTGCTGCATCTCCAAAGATTTAAAAATGCTCATATTCATGAATGCAGTAATCCTATCTCAGGAAATAGATTTGAAATTATTAGTTATGCTGTGTATAATAGTGAAAAACTGAAAAGCGGTGTAAAATCATGTGAGGTAGCTTAAGTATGTTACAGTTTATAGAGTGGGATACCATGATTCAGTAGAAGGATTCCTTTTATTAATGAGACATATCAGTAGTTATTTATTTTTAAAAGACAACCCAAAGCAGCCATCTATTTGGGTTGCTATAACAAAATACCATCAAGCTGGAATGTTATAAATGACAAGAACTTATTTCTCTTGGATCTGGGTGCTGGAATGGCCAAGATCAAGTTGCTGGCAGATCCGGTGTCTACCCAGGGTCCGTGCTCATATGGACAGCCGCCTTCTCACTCTAACCTCATGTGGTGAACCCCATTCTATGAAGACATTAATCCCATACAGAGGATTAGGAGACTAGGATTTCCCCATCTGAATTTTGTGGGGTCCTCCAACATTCAGACCATAGCAGCACCTACAACAAAATTTTATTCTACGGTGGAGAATTAGGGAAGTTTTTATTTTTACTTTTTATGCTCTTCTGTAGTTTCTAAATTTCCCCAAACAATGATAGTAATAAATAAAATATGATAAAAATTTATCTTTGTTAAAAAATCAGCTATCGTATTAATGTTCTCTTGCACAATGTTGTCATGTAATTCTCATTCACTGCTTTGAATGCATCCTGAAGTTGTTCTAATTATGTGAACTCTTAGCAGACTTTGAGGTGGCTGAGATTCATTATGCTAAGCAGCTAAGACCTAGCCATTCATGTGGAGAAGGAGTTATGACCTGCATTGCTCCATGGGAAATGTTTAGTGTCCCAAGCGAGTTGAAGGTTTCGGAGGTTTTAGAGGTGGATGTAAGGAGAGCTTTAGCAAAGATAAAGGAATTGGATTCCCTTAACTGCTCCACCTGGGCTGCAAAGGGCCTGCAAAGTCTTCTGGATTTATGATCTCTGGGTCTTTGGGTTGTTGAATTGCTTCTGGATCACTCTTGCAATAAACTAAAGAGCTGTTTCCAGAAGTTGAAAATTTCCATTGAAAACACATGAACAAGGATACAGCCCTTAGCTCTGTGCAGATGCCAACTATGACATGTTCTCAGTGCCCCATTGCCAGCATCTTTAGAATTAGTTTGAACAAGAGGCCAAGGAGTGTTTATTTTTCACTGGTTCCTAAAAATTACATAGCTGATCTTATGTATTCTGATAGCTTTTATCAAAACCCACAGTAGAGGTTAGAGGTATCAGGATGAAGAGCTGACTTGTTTCCTTCTGATGTGTAGAGTGTTCTACAACCAGTAGTGCCAAACTTCACAGTGGCCGGTTGACAGCGTCTGGCTGGCTGCTTGCTTTCCGTGGCTTGTGAGAGCCCAGCTGGACTGGTTTTAGAATCTCTTCACCATTAATATGATCTTGCTGCAAAAGCGTGTTTTTCCTCATCCTGATCACACTTCAGAATTTAGCTCATAAGGTGCAATTCTAGGGCATGGATGTTTTATTTGGTTACATCTGTGATTTACCTTAGACTAAGAGGAGTCAGCTCTGTCAATTCAGGTGAAGGGGTTGTCTGCGGCTGCAACCTGTTGTACTCAAAGGCAACAGTAGTAGTTGCTCGAGTAGTAACCCAGACTGCCCCTATTAGGACTCTACCAAGAAAGCATTCAAATCAAAGCGTTTAGCACAGTCACAGTTTCAGAAACGATGAGAAGGGGGTCACGTTGCTCACACGCAGTAGACTTACTCTGATATCATGAAACAGGGATTTCCCATATCTCTCTTTGTACCGTGTTCTTATGGTCATCAAGTCTATTTCACTTCTAGCAATGAGGATCCGGATCACGGTTTTATTATGGAAACCGAAGTCCTAAAAGATACAGAAGGGGAGGGAGGTGGGTTGAGGAAATCGTACTTGAGCATCAAGAGAGATTGAGCCCTTGGCTGGAGCGATTGCTGTTCTCCTAGTCCTCAAATGCAGGCACTGCTGTCCCATCCCATGGTGCTCAGCCTGACCCTGAGAGCTGCCTCTGTGACTTCTGCTCACTTCAAGCACACTTAGGGTGAGTTATTCTGTTCCACCTGATGTCTCGCCTGCCCTGGGTCATGGCCTTGACTCTGACCCCTGTCCTTTCTCCCTGACTCTGTAATAGTTTCTCCCTTTTCCATCCTGGCCAACCTTCATATTGTCTCTGTCACATTTCGTGCTGTAAATGGCAAATCTCATTATGTGTTCTTTCTAGATAAATATCCTGGGGAGGAGGGATTCCAACCTTTATTAGTAGAGCATGGATATAAGACATTACATTGTCATTACATTGTCATTCTGTAATCTGGTGATTGTTGAAAAGTTGTAAAAATAAGAGCCCCAGGTGCTTGAAGTACTTTCTGATTTAAATACCCCAGAATACAAGATCAATGGCCACGTACTTCTCGCAGATATACTGCTTGACAAATGGTTCCAACTCTTTCCAGATGAGGGAATGGTGATCTCTAGTGGCCAGCAAGCATAATGCAATTTTTGATAATTGGGATAATAGATCTCACAATTTGAGGTGATTAAAATGAATGATCCAACCAAGTTCCCAAATGTAGATTGTAGGTCATTAACTTAGAGTGCCCTGGGGAGAACACAGGAAGATGCTTTGGTGTGTGAATGGGGAAATGGCCTTTTTGACAAATATTTGGCATCTGAGGTCCTCATATATCAGACATTTGATTACCTGACTATGCAGCCCTCCCCCTTCGCCTCCCAACCACTTGTTAGTGCACACGCCTTCCTGCTCCCATACAACCTATGGACATATGCGATACTTAGACTAAGTAGCTCTGAATTTAGGCATCAGTGGGATCAGGGTAGCTGAGGTGATTTTCCATGGTCATGGACTAGTGAAGCTTTCTCTGTTGCGCAGTGGTTAGCTCTTTGGAGCAAAGACTTGAATCACCCCATAGCTTTGCCCAACACACTGCTCTACTTCAAATACAACTTCAATCAAATCAATCTTTTCTCCTTGGAAGGGTTACTTCCTTTCTATAACTGGAACTTACTTAGGTTCTTGTGCGTAAATAAATACTCAACTCAGAAGATGCACAATAAAGTACCCTTGACTATAAGTATTTTCTTGGCATGCTGGCTGCATTTAAGAAGTTGGTGTATAAAAATTACTTTGAAGATAAAGCTACTAAAATTACTGTGTCATTAGATTTTTTTAAGTTTTCAAGGTTCTCTCTCTACACACACACACACACACACACACACAGATGTATATACAATCTTCAAATATATTTCATGCACATTATGGATAAAGTGTACATGAGAGGACTTCAGAAAGTTTGTGGAAAAATAGAATTAAATAAGTATTTTGGTACAAAAAAGTTTAAAATCTATGTCTAGTTTTGTTTTTATAATATGAATTTTATATTCTTTTTTTTTTTTGACAGAGTGGACAGTGAGAGACAGAGAGAAAGGTCTTCCTTTTGCCATTGGTTCACCCTCCAATGGCCGCTGCGGCCAGTGTGCTGCGACCGGCGCACCACGCTGATCCGATGGCAGGAGCCAGGTGCTTCTCCTGGTCTCCCATGGGGTGCAGGGCCCAAGCACTTGGGCCATCCTCCACTGTACTCCCTGGCCACAGCAGAGAGCTGGCCTGGAAGAGGGGCAACCGGGACAGAATCCGGCGCCCTGACCAGGACTAGAACTCTGTGTGCCGGTGCCGCAAGGCGGAGGATTAGCCTAGTGAGCTGCAGCGCCGGCTGAATTTTATTTTCTTAAAGACTGTATAAATGCATGGATTTCAAAATTTGGGCATCAAAACAAATTTATCTTTTAAATCCATTTCCATGAACTTTTTGAAGTCCCCTCATATTATCTGGTGTACCTGTTTGTTTCCCTAAACACAAATGCTCCAAAGAATGTGATTATCATAATAAAATGTGAAAAAAATGTCAATTATAAAATAGCTTAGAATTTAGCACTGTCTAGCCATTACTTTAAGTATGTTTGGAAAACAACACCTCATGGCCGGCGCCGTGGCTCAATAGGCTAATCCTCCACCTTGCGGCGCCGGCACACCGGGTTCTAGTCCCGGTTGGGGCGCCGGATTCTGTCCCGGTTGCCCCTCTTCCAGGCCAGCTCTCTGCTATGGCCAGGGAGTGCAGTGGAGGATGGCCCAGGTGCTTGGGCCCTGCACCCCATGGGAGACCAGGAAAAAGCACCTGGCTCCTGGCTCCTGCCAGGATCAGCGCGGTGCGCCGGCTGCAGCGGCGGCCATTGGAGGGTGAACCAACGGCAAAAGAAGACCTTTCTCTCTCTGTCTCTCTCTCTCACTGTCCACTCTGCCTGTCAAAAAAAAAAAAAAAAAAAAAAAAAAAAAAGAAAACAACACCTCATGTTTAAAAATAACCATTAGCATTATTTTGTGTTTTTAAACTTTAGGAAAGTAGCAATTCCTTGCCAAGAGTATAATTTTTTGACATGTTCTTCTTGGTGCCACATATTTTGTGTTTGCATAAGATGATGTGCGCTCTTTGGAAATAAAAAGCATTTGAATTTGCCATTTCTGTGGCTGCTGAGACTCCAAAGGACATGGGGGACAGGAAAACAAAGAACCACACTTCTTAGGTACCTGCATCTGTACAGAGAGCAGAGCACTACTTTTCTTTGATGAGTCTTATTTCCGTTGCATAACATGATTTTTTCCCCCACTTAGACATATATTTTTTGTACCTGTTTGCATACATGTTCAAGAATGGAAATCAATATTTAAATAATCGAAATAAAAATAGCTATTGGAGAAAACAGATTCCATTTCTGAAGAAAGTTTGAAAATGTGTGGGTCTTACTTACATGGATGGCACTGTGCAGTCGATAAGCAAAGTAGGCTGGTTTATCTCGAACACAGAGCACTAGGAGAAATCAGAATGAAAAGGAGGAGTGCTGGGTGTGATAATGTTTGAGAAACAACGAGATGCTTTTTTCCTGCTGTTACAATCCTCATGTTGAATGGTGATTTCAACATGTAGAGCAATGATCACACTTGTGACAGTTTATGACACCAAGGTGAGATCATTCCTGTCATCTCTAGACAGAATTCGGGCTGGGAAGTATTGCAGGAACGGCTCATGTCTGCCTGTCCGGGATAACAACTTTCTTGAGATCCCAAAGCAATTCTTTCTCTTCTACAAGCACTCCATGCTTTGTACTACTCACACCTGCAGGTATCCACAGATTTCGGGAACAAGGTTGATCTTGAACACTGTTTATGATTGCAGCTTATTCAGACAAAACGCTCTAGAGAGAACGCTTGTCCAGCAATGAACCAACACCCATGAACTGATGTCAACTGCTGCCTTGGTTTTCCAAGAACAAAGAACTTCGTATCCAAGTCCTTGCATAAATTTCTTCCCTTTGCCTAAATAAACCTCCTTGAACCCTCCCATAGTTTACTAAAACACTCATATCCCCTTCACAATGCTCTGTCATTGTCAAATCCATGTCTTCATTCTTTAGAGACTCTCTTCTCTGATTGTTATTTAGACTGATACACCACAACTCTTAGAAAACACATGAAGCAGCAGTGTTGTAATGATTCATTCAGAATTTCATTTAATCTCTATCTTTCTCTTGGAACTCTGTTGGTTCCTGGAAAAGCAAAGTTTGTCATCTTTGAAAAGGAACTAAGTAGGGCTTCCAAAAGGCCCAGTTTATCAGCATTGTTACTGAAGCTTTGCTAATGTGGGATTCACCAAGACATAGCCCCCATGCAGTTCCTTCATCTTCCCAAATGCTACTTTTAGTCCCTTATAGACTTGTGGGTAGATCTGAAGTCACTTAAGCAGAACGTGTAAGGGCCATAACTAGTCTAGGTCAGTTTTAGGAGTCATCCAATCAAAACTGCCATAGCATTAGAACAGCATAGAGCCTTGGTCAACAACTATCCTGGATGGAATTCAGTTGATGACTGTAGCACTCAACAGAGTAAGTGGATGAATGCGTGACTGAGTGATTAATGTGTGAGAGGTTATGACATAGAATAACCGTAGAATAAGTGCATCGCAACAGCATTTTCTCTGTCATTCAAGTAATTGCTTTAGGTTGTGAGCCCACATCTTCCTCCCTCTCCTGAACAGTGAACTCAGTGATCGCCCTTGAGTCCCTTCTGGGATGCGAGCTCCTTGAAGGAGGAGGACTTTCGCTGTGTCTGTTGATGCTTTCCTCTTCCGTCTGCAGTGCCTACATCAAAGGTCAGTAGTGCTCACTGAGTGAGTTAATGACTCAAGGTAAGATGTTTTATGGTGTTTCTGATACCCACTGTGGCCTGTCTTATGTCCACGCTTTGTGCCAATGATCTACATTGGAAAGAGAGCTGGCAAGGTTCAGATGACATGAGCTCCACTCGTAACTTTGTCGCTCATTAGCTCATAGACTTTGGAAGTCACTTAACCTCCTTTGGCCTTGTTTGTAAATGGCAGGGTTTTGATGTGATGTATGGTTACTAGATTTTGTTGAGAATTTTCTAGAACATATGTACCTTATTGTCAGAAAAATACAAAGATGTAAGCAGTCATATACTCTTTCAGGGTTTTGTAAACTCCACCAGACCATTTTCATAGAAACTGCACCCCATGGGAGACCAGGAGCAGCACCTGGCTCCCGCCTTTGGATCAGCGTGGTGCACCGGTCACAGCGCGCTGGCCACGGCGGCCATTGGAGGGTGAACCAACGGCAAAAAGGAAGACCTTTCTCTCTGTCTCTCTCTCTCACTGTCCACTCTGCCTGTCCAAAAAAAAAAAAAAAAAAAAAAAAAAAAAAAAAACTCCTTTACTAGATAAACTATGAGAATACTGTTCTCAGCTCCATGTTCATGCAGGTATATGCTATTCTATGCATGGAAAATCAAAATGCTCATTGATTTTGCTCATATCCAAGTAATTCCTGTGTACCTACTATGGGGATATTTCACAATGACCTGTCTTTTATAGTCATTGAACTGTCACAACCCAGGACAAGAAAAGCAAGGGTGACTTATGGTTGATTTTGTAGATAACTATCACTGTTTCTCTGCATGGAAGGTAGTGTTTTTCTACCTAGGAAGCAGAGGGAAGTGTGTGTCTCACAATTGTCTGCAGAAATCACGACTAAATAACAACTCAGTGAATCTCTTTTAGGTAGGATTTACTCTTTTTTTTTTTTATTTACTCTTAAACTTTTTGGAGAAGGTGACCAACTCTTCTCCACCTCCCTACCAACCCAAACAAAAAACTAAAACCCCTTTTCTTCTTGGAGGAAAAGAAGCCACATGGCTGGCCTTGATCTGCTCTTGAACAGGGGATCAGGAATCAGAAAATGTGACATGGATTTAACAGAGTGAGAACCGTTCCTGAGAGACAGCATCCGAGAATGCTGTTTGTTAGTCAGAAAGTTGACGCAGATGTTAGAAGAGCGCTCAGTTCTTCAGTAAAGTCATCAGCCTGGCCGTATCGTACGTTCTGTCTCCTGATGTCCTTTCTCTATGTAGGGTTTATATCCCCTTTAAATAATTATTCAGTGGAGAACAGCCAGGCCAGCCAAGAGCTCACTCATGCACCTGTAATTCACTCTGGCACACACAGGTCCGCTGAACCTCATATTTATGATCACTCACCAATGGCAACCAGCAGCTGCTGGAAGTATCCGTCGTAACAATCATTGATGGCATCTACTATGTCTTGCCCAGAGATATTTTGAAATTCCTGGAAAACTTCAACAAATTGGTAGAATTCAAAGGAGATTTTTTTGTATCATAACAATTGCTGATTGCCGTACATAATGAAGGTGAACATTTTATGTAAAGCAATGGACAATACTGCTATTGGTTGTGTAAGTGGAGTCAGCATAGATCTTGGACTTCAAGGATCTACTATTCTCTTCTGGGGAATGATCACTACTTCCTGGGGATCACTGCTGATTTAAATTGACAGGAGGCACATGTCTAGCTGTTATTTATGGGCCTTTTGTTTAGGACATACACTCAGCTGTACTTAGATCAATAGCAAACTTCTTCTAGAGCTTAGATATTAGAATAAATAAGTGTTAAAATTCTTTGAGTCAGGGCTGGCGCTGTGGCGCAGTGAATTAAGGCCCTGGCCTGAAGCACCGGCATCCCACAAGGGCACCGGTTCTAGTCCCGGCCGCTCCGCTTCTGATCCAGCTCTCTGCTGTGGCCTGGGAAAGCAGTAGAAGATGGCCCAAGTCCTTGGGCCCCTGCACCCATGTGGGAGACCTGGAAGAAGCTCCTGGCTCCTGGCTTTGGATAGCTGCAGCTCCAGCCATTGCGGCCAATTGGGGAGTGAACCATCAGATGGAAGACCTCTCTCTCTGCCTCTTCTCTCTCTATGTAACTCTGCCTTTCAAATAAATAAATAAATCTTTAAAAAAATTCTTTTAGTGATGATTAAATTGTGATCATACAATCTAGGAAGAGGTGCAGGTGTTCAGCCTAGCAGTTAAGATGCCATGTTTCATCCCAAATCAGAGTGCCTGGGGTTGATTCACAGCTCTGCTCCCAATACCAGCTTCCTGATAATAAAAACTTTGGGAGGCAGCAGGTGATGGCTCATGTAATTGGGTTGCTGCCACTCAAGTTGGGAGACCTGGATTGAGTTACCGGCTCCCCACTCTGACCTTGGCCTAGTCGTTGAGGATATTTGGGGAGTGAACCAATGGATGGGAGTTCTCTGTCTCTCTCCCTATCAAGTAAAAGGTAATATGTTAAAAAGAAGCTATGGGCCGGCGCCACGGCTCACTAGGCTAATCCTCCACCTGTGGTGCTGGCATCCCGGGTTCTAGTCCCGGTTGGGGTGCCAGTTCTGTCCCGGTTGCTCCTCTTCCAGTCCAGCTCTCTGCTGTGGCCCGGGAGGGCAGTGGAGGATGGTCCAAGTGCTTGGGCCCTGCACCCGCATGGGAGACCAGGAGGAAGCGCCTGGCTCCTGGCTTCAGATTGGCACAGCGCCAGCCATAGCGGCCATTTGGGGGGTGAACCAACGGAAGGAAGACCTTTTTCTCTGTGTCTCTCTCTCACTGTCTAACTCTGCCTGTCAAAAAAAAAAAACAAAAACAAAAACAAAAAACAAACAAAACAAAACAAAACAAAACACACACACACAAAAACAAGAAGCAGCAGCAGCAGCAGCAGCTATGGGGGCTGGCATTGTAGTGTAGCAGGTAAAGCTACTGCCTGTGATGCTGGCAGCCCCTGTGGGCATCAGTCTGAGACCTGGCTGCTCCACTTCCACTGTCCCACTGCTAATGCATCTGGGAAAACAGTGAAAGATGGCCCAAGTGTAGGCCATTGCCACCCACTTCAGAGACCTGGAAGAAGCTCCTGGACCCTAGGTTTGGCCTGGTCCTGTCCTGACCATTGTGGCCATTTAAGGAGTGAACCAGTGAACGAAGCTCTCTCTTTTTGTATCTCTACCTCTCTCTCTGTAATTATGCCTTTCAAATAAATAAGTAAATCTTAATCTATGAGGAGTTTTATGAGGACTATGAAATCTCTATTAGGGGCATAGGGTGGCGTTTACTCAGCCAATTTTGCTAAATTAAGCTTCCTATTTCAAGAACTTACTTATCTGGCTTTAACACAGGAAACTAAGTTTTCATTCATTCTTACAGCAAATTGGAAGTGAGGAGGTATCTTTTTACTATGATTTCTAATTAACATATAGAGTAGTGGGGAGTAGGTCTCTCAAAAAATTCTTATCGACTTTGGTGCTTTATATAGAAAAAAACAGTTTTTTTTTTCAACTTTTAACATTTTAAAAACTAAGTACTGTACAGGATTAAGTGGTACCATGTGGTGGTTCACGGTGTTCAAATCAGGGTAAACATCTCTATCTCCTCAAACACTTATCATGATGAAAACATTCAAAATCCTTTCTTCCAGCTTATTTTGAGAAAAATACAAAGGTCGTTATCTTATCTGTGTTCTCCCTATTGTGCAGGAGAACTTCAGAGCTGCCTGCTCCTATCCAGTGTAACTTAAGCACCTGTTAGCCAGCCTTTTCCCAGCCTCCCCCCACCCCTTCTCTCCCCAGCCTCTGGATTCGACTCTCAACTTCTATGAGGTCAACTTACAAAGTCGATGCTTTCGTTTCTAAGTAAGGGAACAAGGCACTGACATTTGGGGAAAGTCAGACTAATGTCAGCGTCCTTCTGAGACCACTGAGACACTCCTGCTGTCACACAGATTGTGTCAGGAGCAGTGACCCTGGCTGTTACGGGCTCATGGAACCATGCTCCTCAGCCAGTTTTCAAGGAAACATACAGTGTAATTGACAGGAAATAGCTAATTTTTGGAGTAAGTTCTTCATCAAAAAATAGATATCAATTTTAAAAGGTTCAGTATTTGGAAGTTTACGCAATTTAGTAAACGCAAATAATAAAAGTATAGAGAAAACTTTATTCCTTGGTAATGCCCTGAGATGAAGCAAATCCGTACCAACAAATTTCAAAAAGTAGCTTTGAAGCAAATGGACTTTCCTTTGTTGCACCTTTTTTACTACTTAGCTACTTGCTTTTTTAAAAAGTTATATTTGTTTGAAAGGAAGAGTTGTGGTGGTGGGGGGAGTGAGAGAGGGATTGATCTTCAGTTCTCTGGTTACTTCCCAATGGGCCAGCTCGAAGCCAGGAGTCAGGAGCTCCATCAGGGCCTCCCGCCTGGGTGGCAGGGACTCAGCTATGGGCCATCACCTGCTCCCCAGGTGCATTAGCAGGGAGCTGGAACACAAGCAGAGGACACGGGACTCCAGCTGGTGCTTGATATGGCATGTGATATGGGATGTGGGAGTCACAGGTGGTGGCTTAACCCGTGTCCCAGCCCCAGCCCCAGCCCCATGAATGTTCTGTTTTCTGTGTCATAATCAGTGGAGGAGCTGGAAAGAGCCCGCGCTCATCCTCACCCAGCCACAGCTGCTGGTAGCTCTTGTTGCACAGGATCATCTGGAGCATGGTTTTGTGCGCCCCGGTCTTCTGCTGGCAGGCCTCCCACAGCACCTGGAACAGTACACAGCCCACAGGTGCGTCAGACCCACCCAGCCGCTCCCACACAGGCTGTACACAGTCAGGGCCAGCGCGGGCTCTAGTTACCATTGCGTCCTGGGCGGCCATGGCGGGGTCCGTGTAGCCCTCCTGTCTGGTTGCCTGTAGAATAAGCACAAGTTTTCCTTGTAAGTGACTCAGTAGACGTTGACAAAAATCCTGGAACCATCACATGCTCAGGTCATTCCTGAGCAAATTCTTTTCTTTCTTTTTTTTTTTTTTTTTGACAGGCAGAGTGGACAGTGAGAGAGAGAGACAGAGAGAAAGGTCTTCCTTTGCTGTTGGTTCACCCTCCAATGGCCGCCACAGCTGGCGCGCTGCGGCCAGTGCACCACGCTGATCCGAAGGCAGGAGCCAGGTGCTTCTCCTGGTCTCCCATGGGGTGCAAGCCCAAGGACTTGGGCCATCCTCCACTGTACTCCCTGGCCACAGCAGAGAGCTGGCCTGGAAGAGGGGAAACCGGGAAAGAATCCGGCGCCCTGACCGGGACTAGAACCCGGTGTGCTGGCACTGCTAGGTGGAGGATTAGCCTAGTGAGCCGCTGCACCGGCCCTGAGCAAATTCTATCACTGTTTGGAGTAAGTCTCTATTTCTTGACTACTTCGTCTTCATCCTGTGTGATCCACGGTAGCAGGATCTGGGGCAACCACGCTGTGCTCTGTGCTCTCCTTGCTGCGTGCCCCTTGCTCAGCTCACAGGATTGGGCTCTCTCTCTGTTTTTCCTTCTTTCTCACTGGTTACGCCTCCTCCCGTGAATTGGTTCCTCTTACTTTCCGGTAAGTCCCTGTACTTAGTCACTGACCGTCTTCTCTGTATTTACACTGCTTCTCTTGGTACTCTTATCTATACCTGTGGCTCTGGATCCCATCTGTGTAGTCTCACCCGAATAGTGTGCTGGTACCCAGATTTACATCTGTCATCTGAACCTCTGATGTGTCTATTCCAGTTGCCAACTCAACTTCTCCACTTGATTCTCCTTTATATATACCAAATTCCTCGTTCAAAATCCAACTCTTGGCCTCGCGTCACCACAGGCACTCCTTAAACTCCCGTCTTCCACATCTCTGTTGCTTGCCACTCCGCACCCCCTGCTCAGACTGAAAAACTGAGAGTCACATTTGGGTGCTTCTTTCCCTCGTATCCCACGTCCAGTTTCTCAGGAAACACCAACAGACTTTACCTCCACAGTCCATCCAGAATCTGGGCACCTTTCACTCCTGCCGCTGCTCCCATAAGGGGCCGCGTAGATGCTCTGTCATGGCTTTACTAAAGATACAGCCCTCTGCAGGCTGCTGTTTGACTCCTGTCTCCCTCTAGTATTCTCACAAGGCGGCATCTACTGTGAGCATTTGTAAAGCTAAAGATCACATTGTTCCTTTCCTCAAACTCCAGCGTGGAGGGACTTCTCCCCCATTTCACTCAAATAAGAGGTGCGGTCCTTCCAGTGGCTGCAGGATCAGGGATCATCTCACCACTTGCGACGTCTCTGACTCCCTCTATTCACCCACCACTCCCATGCATTTCGCTGGCTGTCCTATATGGCACCAGCTGGCCTCCTTGCTACACCTCAAACCCATCGGCTATTTTCTTAGACGTTTTCTAGAGTTGTACACTTTGCTGCGACAGCCTGCCATGTCTGTTCATTTGTTGATTGACTCTTTCATGCACCTCTTTCCTCACATTTCACCTTCTCAGTGGGACCTACTCTGATCAACCTATATCATATTGCAACCTGCCTACAACACCTGTCTCTCTCACCCTGCTCTGCTGTGTCTTTCGTCAACTTCTAAAATTCTATGTAAGCTGCCTGTTTTGTAGACTTACGTTGAGTTGTGCATTCCCCCTTGCTAGAACGTAAACAACTTAAGGGGCTGGGAACTCTGTTTCTGTTGTTCACTGATAATTCCCCGAGTGTCTCAAATTATGCTCGGCACACACTGCGGGCCTTCCAGAAACTGTCGTTGGAAAGGTCAGAAACTTCAAAGATCGGTTGGTAGACGTGGGGAGATTTTTCTGGATCATTGACATTTCCTCGGTGACCTCCAGTGTCCCTAGACAGCTTAGTACATTCCGACCCTGGCAAAATTGGTGAGAAAAACAAGAATTCCCTGAAGTTCTACACCTCTGACACATCGTTTGCAAAGATAGTATTTTTGGACATTTAACTTGAAATGTTGCCCATCTGCTTACTTTCCTGTGCAGTCAATTGCCAAAGACACTTAGATATGATGGACTGAGAAATGTGAATAACTAAGTTTGTGATTTTACTCTTTCCATAAAGTCAGACAAGGGTGACTTGGTCGTGTAAAGATGCCAAGATAGTCACTTGATATATTTAATAGGTGCCAGAGAAATGGCAAAAAAAGAGTACAGGACTTAAAGAAGGGTCAAGATAAAAATGTGGAGGGGAGAAACTGAGGGGAGTAACATTTGGCTGAGAATATTTGGGGCTAATAATTCATAGATGAAAGCTCCTGGCAATAGCATCTCTGGAGGCCTCACTGCCAAGTTTGAGAGGTGATAACATGCGCAGTCCTGGGAGCCAGAGGGGAGTAAGCATGCAACTGGAGAGCTTCCATTACTTTCTCTCCTCATGTTCTTTTCTCAGCATTGGCTTTCCTTTTTATTTTTTATTTCGGTATTCCCAATTCAAAATTAACAGCACACATGTGCACACAGACACACGCACACAGAATAAAGAATTAAATCCATGTGGCTTGGCACTATGACTTCGTATTCTAGTCTGACATGCATATTTATTAATTCTTCAACTGAATCCTATAAACATATGTGAACTGCAATATGAAGTTGTAGCCATGATTAGATACACATTAAAGGAGACCACAGCCTCTGTGTTGGACGTGTTCGTCCGCCCCAAATGAGGAAAATGGAAGGATGATGGAAGAAAACAAAGTAATATTGAAGAGTAGGTTCCTTGAGATGTCTTAAGGGAAATGATTACCTACCTCCCTCCTAGCCTCTTTGAAATTTGCTTGTTTTGTTCCTTATTGAAACTCATCAAAATAAACAAAAATAATACAAACACACATGGGACTAAATTGTGTTTGCGCATACTGTATGGCAAAAATAAAATAGAAGGAATAAAAGACTACAAGTTAGCTTCATCTTTGGCTTTTTATTCATCTCAAAGAAACTATTCCTGGTAGGATCAATTACATGGAAAAATATATCTGATATATTCAGATTAAAATGAGATACTTATGCCCTTTATATGATATTTCCTCTTTGATGATATGATAAATATCATTAATCTACATGAAAGATGGAAAGCAGGACCAAGAAACTTATATGCTGGGTCTCCTAAAAGGTAATTTGAAAGCATGTGCAAAAAAACATAAAGCATGGATAAAAATGCAAAGATATTTTCCTTTTAAAAGTACTTTTAGGAGAGAATGCTCAGCATTTTTGTTTGGTTATACACACTACCCTTTTAGAACTTCTTGTGCCTAAGGTAGTCACCTGTATGAGTTTTCTCTGATTGGCATATTCTTCTCCACTTTACCGTCTTCTGGGGCCCGTTTGCCTTTCCTGGTTGTAGAGTTCATTTCTCTTTACAGCTTTCATGCACGCTGGAGGCTGATCGCCAAACGTGTTTCACTTTCCTTCAAGACCAACAGCTGCACTGTGTTTTGCCCCCTTGATAGAACACAGGGCTTACTTGAGGCTTGGCCAGTGAAACTTAGGCAAGACTACATGCATCACAGTGAAGCTCGTAAAAGCTGCCATTGCCTTTCTACTCTGCGTGTTGATGACACGCTTGGGACGCTTGCAAAGCAGGTGCTGCAGTGGGTGGAGACTGAGACTGGAGGTTGCTTCGTGGGGGAGAGCTCCTCCATGATCATAGCAACCTGGTCTGGTCCTCATGTGAGCTTTGCAAATGACATTTACTTTATGATTTTAACTGTGTATTGCAAGAAAGAGATGAGCTCATGGAATAAGGGACTGGCTTGCAAGCAGAAATAAAAGTGAAGAGAAAGTTTAGACATTTGGTGCCTCTAAGAGACTATGAAACACTGATTTCAAGCTGTTCCAGCTGAAACTCAAAGAGGCTTTGAAAGGCAAAGTGCCTGTTTAGGCGGCCCCAAAGCAATGCCAGCCAATTTTCCTGTCTGACAGAGCCCTCAAGGAATTGTCTTCAGATTGTGAAAAAATAAAAAAGAGGTGTGGTAGTGGAGTTGCCGGCTGCAAAGATACCAACAAGTAAGCCATATTTGAGAACTAGATCATGGGAAGAGCTTTGGCTAAGTGGTATGCAGAACTCCCTAGAAGCAGGTGCATCACAGCTCAGCCGGGCACTCTGATGTGGGATGTGAACAACCCACGTGGTCCCTCACAAATGCCTGCCCCTGTTCCTCCATGAAAGCAATGGAATCTTTTCTTAATTTCCCATTCTCATGTACAAAAATTCTGTCTCTCTGTGGCTTTTAGTGCAGTTCTTGGCTAACTACTCAGTAATGTTTTTGATATAGAAAGGAAAGGTTTGGATATTTATATACCTTTGTGTCATTTCAAGTATACACATGTGCATACATACACACACCCTTACACACAAAACAAAAAACCTAAATCCTGGCTTGAAAGACATTTTTTTTTCCCAACTGTGGGCTTCATGTGTTTGCTAAATCAGGCGACAAGCACATTCGAGAAACTACATAAAACAAATGATAATTGTATCTTTAAAATAGTATTCTGACTATAAAGCTAGTAAGATGAACGTCTTAAGAAATATTATATGAGGGCCAGCGCCGCGGCTCACTAGGCTAATCCTCCACCTGCAGTGCCGGCACCCCAGGTTCTAGTCTCGGTTGGGGTGCCAGATTCTGTCCCAGTTGCTCCTCTTCCAGTCCATCTCTCTGCTATGGCCTGGGAGTGCAGTGGAGGATGGCCAAGGTCCTTGGGCCCTGCACCCGCATGGGAGACCAGGAGGAAGCACCTGGCTCCTGGCTTTGGATTGGCACAGTGTGCCAGCCGCAGCATGCCAGCCGTAGTGGCCACTTGTGGGGTGAACCAACGGAAAAAGGAAGACCTTTCTCTCTCTCCCTCTCTCTCTCTGTCTGTCTAACTCTGCCTGTCAAAAAAGAAAGAAAGAAAAAAAAAGAAATATCTGAATGGAAGCAATTACATACAATTTAGTTGATATAGAAAAATAAAGTAAATGACAAAATCTAACTTAAAGTTGAAGTCATCTTGCTTTCATGATAGGATTTTTTTGTAGGTAGCTCTGGGCGTGCTACACAGTCACATGGGGTCTGTTGGATTCAATTAAACAATAGATGTCCATCTATTAACTCCGTAGACCATCAATGGATAGAAGCTTATACTTTTTGATTCTGTTTCATCATTTCTAATGTGCTTATGGGAATATCCATGTTGTAATGCTTTGATGTGATGAATCAAATAGGTTTCTCATTTACTATGTGTCTGAGGCTCGGAAAAGTTTATAAGCCCTCCATTCATTTAGCAGTCTTAAAAATGAAATTAATTTCTAATAGAATTATGAATTTTCACTGTAATATTTCTAATCTTTTCTATTTTCTTAGAATGTATCAGATGTGTGTGTGTGTGTATTCCTTGTAAGTATGATGAATTTTAATTATTTGTGCTTGTCTCTCTACCAAGTCAAGTTTCTGAGTGCCCTGAACACAGCTGATACTCATGAAGGGCTATTGCATAGTATTAACTGTTGACTTCTAGTGTACCACGGCTCTCTGACCTGGTTTTTGGAAATAGCACATGTCTGTCACAGGGCAGAGTGGTGTGAATTGTGCAATGCCATACCTGGACCAGGTTCATGAGGGTGTCTCTGAAGTGTCCCGAGGTCTCTGACTGAATGTCCTCTTGGAGGTTGTTGTTGTATTCTGACAAGAAAAGAGCCACATTACAGTACACCTGTCTATAGCACCACACATCAGTCTGCTCTGAGCTACTTCCTGCTACTGCCCAAGCTGTGATTGAAAGTCCTAGAAAGACAATCAACCTGCCAACATTTCTCTGTCAATAAACTGCCCACCACTAAAATCAGTCACCCAATGACTACAAAGCTATAGGCTTCTTGTCTTAAAAAATTATCTTTATGGGGGCGGTGCTTTGCTGTAGTAGGTTAAGCTTCTGCCTGCAGTGCCGGCATCCCGTATGGGTTCCGGTTCGAGTCCTGGCTGCTTCAGTTCCAATCCAGCTCCCTGCTAATGTGCCTGGCAAAGCAGCAGAAGATGGCCCAAGTACTCGGGCCCCTGCACCCATGTGGGAGACCTGGAAGAAGCTCCTGGCTCCTGGCTTCGGCCTGGCCCAGCCCTGGCAATTGAGGCCATTTAGGAAGTGAACCAGTGGATGGAAGACCTCTCTCTCTCACTCTAACTCTGTCTTTCAAATAAATAAAATAAATCTTAAAAAAAAAATCTTTATTCCTAAAGTGAGAAACAGCATTGAGAGTCACTTCATTCTCTTATTCTCAAAATGTAGAATTACACATTCCATTTCTATAGACTGCTGCCCACTCTAGTACTTTTCCTAAGTGCTGCCATGACTCATTTTACTATTTCCAGTAAAGATTTTTATATCATTGCCCTGAGGAAAGTCTTGTCATTCAAATGCATTGGAGGTGACTGGGACATTTTCTTGACATTCAATGTTACATACTACATAATACGTGGGAGCTTAAGAAATTAAACCCTTTCGAAAACAAAACTAGCTACTCCTTCTACTTTTGAAAGGTACAAAAATCTGATTTTGGGATAGATTACAGGAATTAAGAAATGTGCATAAAGCATAGCAAATATATTTGCAGAACTCAAAAATGTCTCCCCAGATGTGGAATTCTGGACAGTTCGACAACCACTGCACTTCGCTGTGTTTTGCCTGTTGAGCAGGTCTCTGCTGTCAGAGACAACTGCCCTCTGACCTGCTGGGACTTTTCTGTCGGGATGAAAACATTCATCTCACAGCAGCTGGTAGCTCTTCAGGGAGGATGTGCTGAGCTGGATTGTCTAGGGAATGGTTTTATTTTTAGCACAGCAGTCATCCATTGCACTTGATGAGTTAGAATCTTGAGTGAGTGATATTTCACATGTAAAAGTATCTTAGAGAGTTCTGTAGAATTCATAGGCTGAAGTGTTTCATCTACTGAGAAATATGAAGTTCACGTATGTGTACAACACATGGACACAGACGCATTTCCTTACGCAAACTGTAGGCTTCCCGCATCTGGAAAATTTCTCCATTGGTTCTCGAAGCTAATATGTCAATGAGGCAGTTCTCATCGGTGCCTGCTCCCTAGAATGAGAAAGGAGAGAGATCCATAGGCACTTTTGTTGGGAATAGCAGTGTGCCTTATGTACTGTACAGGGGGACACAGCATTCCTGGTGGTGTGAGGGGTGGCAGGAGGCAAGGACATGTGTTTGGGATAAAGACAGACCCAGCTTCAGTTCCGGCTCTGACACTGGGTAGCCGCTTCACCCTGAGAAGATGCTATTATCCAAAGGAAACCCAGTTTATTCATTTATAATAAAAAGCATGGGCATGCCTCTAGCATTTCCATTTGCTACTGGAACATCCATTCCATAGCAAGCTGAAGTACAAACATAGATTTTCTGGAGCCAGTGTCGCCATGCAGCAGGTTAAACCGCTGCCTGTGACACCAGCATCCACTATGGGCACCATTCAAGTCCTGGCTATTCCAATCCAGTAACTACTCATGCATCTGGGAAGGCAGCACAATATGGCTTAAGGGCTTGGGCCCCAGAGGCCCAGATGGAGTTCCAGGCTCCTGACTTTGGCCTGGCCCAACCCTGGCTGTTGGAGCCATTTGAAAAATGAACCAGCAGATGGAATATCTCTCTTTGTCTCTCTCACTCTCTCCTCTCTTTCTTTCTCTGTAATCTGCCCTTCAAATAAATAAAGCTTCAAGTTAAAAAAAAAAAAGCACAGATCTTTTAATTTCCCAAAGGAAATTAGGGCTCTTCATCTCCCTAAATGTGGAATTTTGTACAATTTGCCTAAACATTTGGACTGAGCACTTCCTGTGCTCCCTATTTAGACAGGTGCACTTGTATTTGTCTATGATAGTGATTTTCAGGGGCAGTGTGACTTTTTCAGGGAAGCCACAGAAAGCCTTATTGTTCTGTGAAATTTTGATAAAAATATCCATTTATACAGCAACATATGACTTTATTCTTACATTTTTAATCACAGAACTTTGCAAGAAGCTAGGAACTGTATGCAACATTTAAGAAAAGTTGAGTAGTCTAAATAAATAGTGAATTTTATACACTGTCTATTCTGATCTGTACATATGATGACCCAAATCCACATTTCTGTCATTGTTTTTCTTTCTTCTTCCTGTCACACGTGGTTCACAGATTGTGGTAATCTGGCCACTGGCAAGCATCCTCCTGGAACAGGTACTTAATGTCAGTCTCTGGAAAGAAGTTAAATTCACTCTTGTCTCTGTCTCTGGGCAACAAAATCTGTAACAAGCTTGTAGTTGATTTGGTTTACTGAAATGACTTTTTGGAAGAAAGAATTATTATTCCAATCCTTGCAAAGTAAACTTCTGATATATTTGAGCAATTGTTTTTATAAAGGACCAACCTAAGGTCACAAAAATAAAGCTAGATCACTTCTGTATTTTGACTCTATCGCTTCTTGGCCTTTTGGCTAAGATCAAGTGTATTTTGACTCTAGCTCTCCATCCCATTCTGGCTTAATGAACCAGGTCTTTAGAGATAATTTTAAAAGGTTCACATGAGTTTTAATGCATCCCCTTCAATATACAAATACACATTGAGGAGAGGCAAACCTGAATGGCCCTGGGCTCATCTCCGGCGTGCCTTTTGGTAGCTCATCTTGCAGCTGACTTGTTAGTCTGGGTTTGTCTAACCACAGAGCAGGCTGACCCCAGCCATGGGCTCTGGAGGCCCCATCTTCCTGCCCAGTTCCTTCCCTTGGCTGCAGCATTTCCACGGTCACATCACTGCTCATGTAGTCCCTCCTCCCTCCCTGCAGGGTCATACAGGTATGTCGGAGCACCCTGGAGCAGTCCACCCGTCTACAGAAATGCCGGAAATGCCAGCCTGCACCTGCCACAGGTATGTTTCTGGGCTAGATTGCTACCTTCATGGCGTGCCAGAGTTCGTGTGCATCGTAGGATGGTGGCGGGTACATGAGGCCAACCATGACGTCCTTGAAGTGATCAGAAAGCTGCTCCTTCAGCATGCCAATCAGGTCCTGTGGAGGCAAAAATAAAGGTTTTCACCATCAGTCAGCAAAGCAATGGGAGGAATGGGCTCACTGTAGGAAGGTTTCTAGTAGGACTTCCTTTTCCAGGCCATTCCACGTCACAACCGGGCTAGTTTTGATTACATGTACAAGCATATCTGTGGGTCACACACAGTGATGGACCTGAAGGTTTAAAGATGACTGATTTTTTTTAAAGATTTATTTGAAAGGGAAGGAGGGAGGGGTGAGAGAGAGAGATTATGATGGCAGAAGGCAGGGAGACTGCCTGGTGAGGGCTAGCTGAGGTCATGAGAGCTTGGATTAAGGTAGGTGAAGCAGAAAGGATGGGAGAAAAACAGTACATGTATAAGGAAGGCACATTGTGGTGTATTGACTGAGCCTGAAGCTAAAATCCTCTATCTGACAAAAGTCCCTAACCTTCCCCCTTTTCTTATATGTGATTTGATAGAAAAGCAAATCACATCAGACAAATAACTTTAGAGCTAAAGTATGCAGGTTGTTTACTGATTGGCCGATTCAGTAACTCATTGGTGCACTGTGCAGATACTTTGTGTGCCAGGCTAGTCCAGGAACTGGGAGTCCAGTGTTGACTTTTGTTAAATGTGCTCCCTACTGTTATTAAGCTTATATCACAAAAAGGCAGTGAGCTTAGATTCAGTGAGGACTAATGACTTTATAACAGGTTAATTTTAATGGTCTCTGGTGCTTTTATCCATCTATATTAAGTGGAAATCATTGCAACCTATTTCATTAACAATTGACTATAAGAATTAAGGAAATGAAAGCTTCATTGTTCTTATAAAATATTTTCTGTTTTGATCTATGTTTCCAGATAGAAGGTATTGGGATTTGTGGAATGGAGTTTTGTACAACTTTCTATGGTTCAGTGACCCTTGAGAAAGCCATCAAGACAGGACAAAAGAGATCCCTGTTAGAGAAGGTGGCACATCTTTTATGTTCACCTGACCCTGAAGGTCATGAATTTGTCCTCTGCAGGGGCCTACAAACCAAGAGTTAAACTAACCAAGGTGGCGGGAGCGGCACAGGCAGATGGTTACTCGCATGATGCCTTTAATGATAGATACCTGGGAAGTACCAGCTGCCTACCTGGGCCAGCACATTCAACAAATGCTAAGTGCTCTAACCAACAGTAACTACAGTGATCCTGGATAATCCCCTGAGGCTGGCTCCATCGTTCCTGTTCTAATAAGGGAACTGGAGGTGAGCAAAGTTCAATTGCCCAAGCTTGTATCTCTGAAGTGGCAGTGCCAACACTTGGCTCTGACTGTTTCCCAGTGAAGAACTCCGGGCTCTGTTTACCTGCTCTGACCACTAGTAGTATAAATTAAAGGCAGTGGAGTCCGTGAGCCTGAGGCTGTAAACCTTCTCCAGGAGCAGTCAGAGGGCCTTGGCCGTGCCCCTTCACAGAGGCAGTGCACAGCCAGGCGTTTCTCCCACTCTGTTCTTCTCCATTGTGCACAGGCTGGTTCTTAGACTTCTAGAGATGGATTGAACACTTGGTTTGGAGACTTCTCAAATCTCTTCCTAAAGCACATCGCTTAAATTGCAGTATCTTTCATTTGCAAATCCAGTGTTTAACTCAATGTCTTTTATAAAATATTTGAGAGAGATAAACAAGGTGGGGGTGGGGAGAGTGAGAGAGAAAGAAATAGAGATTCTATCCATTGGATCCCATCCAACTGCCTACAATGACCAGGGTTGGACTGTGACTGAAGCTGGGAGCTAGAAACTCAGTCTGAGTCCCTACATGGGAACCCAGCTACTTGAGCCGTTCCTGGGAGAACATTAGCCGGAAGCTAGAATCACGAGCAGAGCTCTTATTGGACCTAAGCATTCTGATATGGGGTGTGGATATGCCAACCTGTGTCTTAACCAGGAGGTCAACAAAATGCCTGCCCCTAAATATCTTTTGACTCTACCTTCTACTAAGAAAAGTTCTCATTTTTAATTTTTAGTCATTTTTTTCTGTGTTCTGCTAATTCACCAGATAATTATAATGATTTTTGTTATGTGCATTATTGAGAGATTTATAAATATTCCTGATTGATTTTTTAAAATATCTTCTTTATTTATTTGAAAGGCAGAGTTACAGAGAGGCAGAGGCAGAGGCAGAGGGAGGGAAGGAGGGAGGGAGGGAGAGAGACAGAGAGAGGTGGGGAGGGAGGGAGGAAGGGAGAGAAAGAGAGAGAGAGAGGTCCTCTATCCATTGGTTTATGCCCCAGTTGGCCGCAACAACTGGAGCTATGCTGATCCAAAGCCAGGAGCCAGGAACTTCTTTCAGGTTTCCCATGCAGGTGCAGGGGCCCAAGGATTTGGGCCATTTTCTATTGCTTTTCCAGGTCGTAGCAGAGAGCTGGATTGGAAGTTGAGCATCTGGGACTCGAACCAGCACCCATATGGGACGCCGGCACTGCAGGTGGCAGCTTTACCTGCTACGCCACAGTACTAGCCTCCTGATTAATTTTAAAATACAATACTACCTCCTATACAAGAGACTTTTCCTTACACCTTTTACTTGATTTAATCCTTAAAATACCCAGGCAGGATCAAACTGGTTTATAGATGAGGGAGTTAACAATTTTAGTGGTTGAAATTTGCCTGTGTTCACACTGTAAGCAGGTTGCAGGGATGGGGTGAGATGCAGATTCAGGTCAGTGTGACTCCAAGACCGTGGAATTGATCTTGACTTCTACTACATCTGGACATAACCTTTGGTTGGTAGATTCGATGAAGCCCCTGCTGGCCTCAGGCTAATTGACTTTTTTTTCAGTTGTATTTGTTTATTTGAAAGGCAAAGTTGCTGAGAGAGAGAGAGAGAAAGACAAAGAGAGGGTGAGATCTTCCATCTGCTGGGTCACTACCCAGATGGCCACAATGGTGGGGGTTGAGCCGGGCTGAAGCCAGGAGCCTGGAACCCCACTTCCCATGAAGCTGCATCTCCCAACGCTGCTGGGCCAGGAATCAAGCGTGCATGTGGGATTTTGAGGGAACAAGTCACCCCCAGACCCTGGCCACATGGATCCCTAGGGCGTGGCCCCTAACTGTCCGGACTGCAGTCTCTGGTTTCTCAGTCTTGCTAATTCGCTCTTCCATGATCGCCTACAGCTGCTCCCTGAATGTGGCTGCCGCACAGTTGGAGACGCACATGATTGAGGCATTTCCTTCGATATGGCCTGCAGTATATCTCTGTGAAGTGCAGAAAGATAATTTATATCTCCAAGTTATGGAGAATTAAAACAAAATAATGACAGCCTATAAATCCCCCTGTTCTAAGATTTTTCTGAAAGGAAAACATCAAACATTTCTGAAAAATATTTACTCATTAAACAAAGATTCATAAAAACATTGAGAAAATAGCTTAAAATAGAAAGCCAACTTGAATTCCTGAAGAAACCACGCATAATAGTCACAGAATTCTGTTTAGATCCATTTAACAGCTACAAAGTCATACCAGGACAGTAAATTGATTCATGAACATGTTTTAGGACTGACAACATGCCTGTGCAAATGGTTTAATAACATGAATTAGGAATATTTGGTTCACATGATTTTCTATGAAATAAATTCAAGAAGAAATTCTGGATATAGCTCATGTCACAATTTTGTAAAAAGAAACAAATGGAGTTGTTTGAATATTTATCTATTTCATCTCTCATATTCTCAAATTGGTGTTCATGCAAAGACAGTTTAGAGTTGTTTCAAGGTTTAACTTGCAAGGGAACTGGTGGCTATTGAAGTTTTATTTGTTGATATATTCTGCTAGATGATTTGCATGATTGTCCATTTAAGTCCTATAAGAAGTTCATTATAGGGGCCAGTGCTGTGGTGCAATGGGTTAACACCCTGGCCTGAAGCCTTGGCATCCCATATGGGTGCCAGTTCGAGACCCAGCTGCTCCACTTCCAATCCAGCTCTCTGCTATGGCCTGGGAAAGCAGCAGAAGATGGCCCAAGTCCTTGGGTCCCTACACCTGGGTGGGAGACCTGAAGGAGGCTCCTGATTTCTGGCTTCAGATCAGCACAGCTCCGGCTGTTGGGGCCAGTTTGGGAGTGGGCCATGTGAACCACTGGACGGAAGACCGGAAGACCTCTCTCTCTCTCTCTCTCTCTCTCTCTGCTTCTCCTCTCTCTGTGTAGCTCTGACTTTCAAATAAATAAATAAATAAATCTTTAAAAAAGAGTTCATTATGGAGATCTTAAGATCTCAAACATGAAGGTGAGAAATTGGAATTCCTGGTTAAGTCCATTGCCAAAGGCTCCACAGAAAATAAAGAGTGATGTCAGGGTTAGGACCAAGACCGATGAATCTGAAGCCTGTTGTCTTGCCAGTGCACCACAATTCTTGCAGCTATACTTTTATTTATGCCTTTTATCTTTTTATCAGCCATCAACTTCTTATTCTGAAAACATGCTTGCATTCCCTCATGGTCTATGTAACTTGTCAACAAAGAGAATACAGATAGCATTAGAATTCTTTGTCATCTAGTAGGCATCCCTATGTCTTCTAGTTGTATATATTTTATTAAGTTAAACATGTTTCAATTTATTGAGGTATAATTTATGTACCACAAAAACAGCTAATATGATAACAATGAAAAATCAAATGCTTTCCCTTTAATGAGAACAGGGAAGGAATTACCAATTCTGCTTAAAATTGTTCTACAGGTATATCCCCAAAACAATAAGCTAAATCTCTCAATCTTGTAGAAGAAAGAACAGGACAAGTCTTTGCAACTTGATATAGGTAAAAAAAAATTCTTAGATAATACTTGAAAATGCAAATCAAAATAAAAAAAAAAATAGGGGCCAGGGGGTGGTGCTGTGGTGCAGTGGGTTAACGCCCTGGCCTGAAGCACCGGCATCCCATATGGGCACCGATTCAAGACCCAGCTGCTCCACTCCCGATCCAGCTCTCTGCTGTGGCCTGGGAAAGCAGTAGAAGATGGCCCAAGTCCTTGGGCCCCTGCA